ATTCTTTATTAAATATTGTAGACGATTACAAATAACATGTTGGGATATATGGAGATCAATCTAAAATAATAGGAATGATCCCACTTAATATTTAATGTAATCCATTTTTAATAGGATAGATGAAGATGATTTAAAAATAACTTGGGTTAATTAATAAAAACTTTTTAAATTTGAGGATTAGTAAGAAGATCATAATAATTTATAAATGGATGGTTTAATTAAATTCTAAGCAAATATTAATATCCTTAAATATTTAATCAAATTAATGAGTAATTTTCCATCCAATAACAAACTTATATTATATGGACCATTAGGAGTAGGTAAAAAGACTATTTGTAAATTAGCTTGTAATATAACAAAATTAAATTATATAACTGATATAAATAGTGAGATTATGTAAAATTCAGTTTTAATTTTGGATAATCCAAATATTAAGGAAATAAGTTAATTAATTAATTAAAATATAAATGTGATATTAATAATGACTACTGAATATTTAGAGAAGTGTATTAGTAAAGCAAATTTCATTTATAAATTTTAATTTTTATATTTTGGTGATTGGCCAGAAGAAGCTTTTTAGAATAATGAGATTGGAAATATCATTTATAAGTATATGAAAGAGAAAAAATAATATACTATTTCACCTTAATCTTTTGTGAAATATAATGAATTATAAGAGAAATTGTATAAAGAGAAAGATGAACAATTAAAGATGAGAATAAATTAATTATCTAATGGATTATAATTATTGTATTCTGCACAATAATAAATAAATTTGATGAATAATAAATTGAATCAAATCAGACCTATTTTAGAATAAGCTGTAAAAGATACTTAAGATTTTGTTAAAGTACTTTAAGAAGAATAACAGAAATCATAGGCAATAAGAGATCAAGTTTTAGAAGATGAATAAATTGCTGAATTGGAATAGAACAAGGCTTCTTAATTGTAAGATACATGTAAGTAGAGAGTGTCAAAAGTTAATGTAGAATTAGAATAGACACTATAAGAAGTCTAAAAGTTGAAAAAAGATCATTTAGTTGAAATCAAGTCTTTAGTTTAACCTACTAGAGCTGTTAAAGTGATTCTTGGAGGAGCTGTAATATTATTATAAGATCATTTTAAGTATACTGGAAATTAAGATGATTATTTTGAAATAGCAAAGAAATATTTATTGAATGATGTAAAGGAATTGTTGGATTTATTGAAGAATTATAATAAGGATTCAATCAAATAACATATGGTATAATAATTAGAATCAAAAATTATTAATGATACTGATTTTACATTGGAAAGAGCTAAATAATGTAGTTTAGCAGTTAAATACTTATACAGTTGGGTTAGGGCTATTTATGATTATCATAAAGTATATATGGATACTTAACCTATAAGAGATGAATTAGAAGAGAGTTATCGAAGTTTGAAAGAGAAAACCTTTAATTTAGAGTAGAAGAAGAAGGAAGTCTAAGAAATTAATTAAAAATTAGAATAATGTGAATTTTAAGTTAAAGAGAAATAAAATGTTAAGATATAATTGGAATAGTAAATAGAGGAATGTCAAACTAAAATAAAAAGATCTTTGAAAATGATTGAAGGATTTAAGGAGGAGTAAAAGAGATGGACTAATATAATATATTAATTAAAGGGTGAATAAACTCGTAATGAAGGTGATAGTATAATAGCTACAACATTAATTATTTATGGTGGACCATTAGTTAAAGAAGATAGAAATTAAATGTATATTTACTTGTATAAAGTTTTAAGAGATGCTGAAGTTAAATATTCAGAGAAAAGTTCTTTAAATAATTATTTTAATGAGGAAAGTGATAATTTTATTTAAGAAAATGCCAATATTCTTAAATTTTAAGATAAACCTTTGATTTTAATTGATCCTTAGAATTTAGGTAGATAATATCTTACAGAGAAATATCATTATAAAGTATTGAGTGATTTAAAAAAAATATAGAATCATTTATAATTAAAATAACCATTTTATATTGATATTACTGATAATATAGAATTATTACATAATGATTCAAAGATGATTCACTTTACTCATGAATAGAATGCTATATTTTAAGATCAGATTTACATTAATTATTAGATCATTAATTATACTATTACATAAGAAGCTCTTGTTGAAAAATTACTTAAATGTTTAATTGAAATTGAAAATCCAACATTAGAATTAAAGAAATAACATAACCTTGATCTATGTATTCAAGATAAGAAATAACTAAATGAAATTGAAAATTAAATATTAATTACACTATAAAACTAAAAATCAATTGAAGAATTACTCAATAATGAAATTATGATCAATTAATTACATAATTCTAAATAATTATATGAAGAAACAACTAAGAGAATTGATATGGCTAAAAGACTTAATGAAGATATAGATTTAAGTAGAGATTAATATAGGATTTTAGCATAATAAATATCATTAATATTTATTAATATTTCAAATTTATAAAGAATGAATCCAATCTATTAATATAGTTTAGATTGGTTTCTTAAATAACTTATTTAATAAAGTAGTAAAATTTAAAGATAGAATGATATTGCATTAAATATCTAATTAATTAAAGCATAATTTTATAAAGGAATTATCAATGAAGTTAGTCTATTACTTAATGAAGAAGATCGATTAATATTCTGTTTCTCTATTTCTCTTGATATATTAAGTACAAAAGGTTTAATTACTTAAGAAGAATTAGATGTATTTTTGGGTTGTTAGAATCCATAATTACCTCCTTAATTCAAAATAGGTTGTAATCCATGTATTTTCATAGATGATAGTGAATGGCCATCAATCAAAGTTAAATTATACTATCTAAATAAACTCTAAGCATTCTAAAACATTTTAGAAACTGTTGAAGATTATCCAAATTAATTTAAGTCAGTATACTTACACTAAACATTTTCTATTGAATAATAAAAATTGACTTCTTTCTAAAAATTGTTATTAACACTTGCTTTTAGACCAGATAAAGTTATTCCCATGATGATTAATATTATAGAATAATAATTGTAGTTAAAATATCAAATCATTAAAACTAATATTAGTGAAATCTAATTTGATTCCAAAACTCCACTTTTCATTTTTAATGATTGTAAATCATATAGTAAATTGAGTGTTACTTTAGGAGAAGGATAAAATTCTAAAGCTGAAAGAATATTAAGAGATTCCTTAGAAAATGGTTACACACTTGAATTTTTAAATTGTTAATTTGGTACTTAATTCTTAAGTTTAATTGAACAAATTCTTGAAGAAAATTAAGCACATCCTAATTTTAAATTGATATTATAAGCCAAAAATTGTAAATCATTTCCTATTTCATGGCTCAATAGAACAATCAAAGTAGGATTTTCATAGACTAATAATATAATATCATTACTTACAGATTAAATAGAATCTGAAGATAAATTAGATCATCCTTAATTCTTTAGTTTGAATCTCTTCTAAGCTATTTATAATTTGAGAAATGCATATGGATATTGTAAAAATTAATTTCATGAAAGTGATTTAAAATTAGCTTTGTCAGATTAATTACACTTTTCTAAAGAACTAATTTATTAAAGCTAATTAACTGAAAATGAATTCGATTTATTTAATACTCTATATAATAAGACTGTTTGTTAATAATCTTTAAGAGAAGGTTTCATCTATATGGGAGGTGAATTAAAAATGATTAAATCAGACAAATAAGGTTATTTATAGTATTTAAGAGAATTAGGATAAGTTAATGATTTTAATTGTATTGGATTGAATTCAAACATTTAAATACTCATTTAAAATGATTTAATGAAAAGAATACAATAAAATATTTAATTGATGTAAGGATCTGTTAAGAATAATCAAAATATATTAGAATAATTGGAAAAGTTAGAGAGATATACTCCTCTTAAATTATCTGAAATAAAAAGTGAATCAATTTATGACTTATATTATTAAATAGAAAAAGATTAGTTTAATTAACTTATAAGTAAGATAATAGATGATGTTAAAGCAATATCTGAATATATAAAAGGTGAATCATTAACTACAAGACTTGAATAAATTATATAACAATTAAAATTAGATTAAGTACCTGAAGAGTGGTTTGAATTAGGTGAAGTTAATATTAAATAATTTAGTGTATGGCTAAATAAGATATTTGAAAAAGGTTAGTTCTTTTCTAAATGGAACAGTTAAAAATATTATAATTTGAGTTATTTTAAGAATCCTAAACATTTTTTAAATTTAATAAAATTGGATTTTGCATTAAAAGTTAATTGTAGTTTAGATGAAATAGTATTTAAGTAGATATTTTTAAAAGAACATCATTTAGAAATATAAAAGAGACCAGATAATGGAGTTTATATATAAGGTTTAAAGGTTCAGGGTGCAAAATATAATGAAGTGACATAAAAGATGAAAGCTTTGGGACATTTAGAATTTTAGAGTGATTTACCTGTTTTAAATTTGATACCAATTTAAAAATTAGATTTATAGATTGGAACAGTTTTTCATTGTCCAATATTAAGAAATGAAGAATTAGTTGAACATTTATATTTTGAAACTCAAGATCCATTGATCCTTCTGTCTGTACAGATTAAGCTTTTGTGAATTAATTAAATATATAAAAAAATTTAAATCTTTTTTAATATTATGGCTCACAGAATTCAAGAAAATGCAGGAATGATCAATGATGAAAAATAAGTTGTTGATATTTATGTTCCCAGAAAATGCCAATATACTAATATGATTCTGAATAGCAGTGATTACTCAAGTGTATAAATTAATGTTGGATAAGTATTGATTGTTTATAACAAAAGGTTGATGAAAATGGAGTATATAATAAAAAGAATAGCACAGTGATCTTGGCTGGATATTTGAGATAAAAGGGATAGAGTGCTTCAGCTTTAGAGGCAATTCTTAGACAAAGAGGAGTATTACCATTTACATAATGAACAATATATGATTTATGAATATATAGTACATTAATAGATTATATTCACAGATTGCAAATGCTATTTCTATAATATTGACAAATCTAATCTGCAAGAAGAATTAGATTAGCAGGCACTTTTTCTTCTTGCATAACTTATTTGATTAATTAAACAAATAAATTAAAAGTTTATTCTGTTATTTTAAGTGGATAATGTATAACCCTTAAATCATTAGATTTATAGATTTAAGAATTCTTAAAAATGAAAGCAATTATTTTCTTTATATGAGACTTGATTTGATAATCTGCATTTCTAAAATGATCACTATAAACTTCATTATCTTGAAGATTTATTTAGATTTTGAATTATACTGAATCAATGACACTTTAACCAACTACACTTTCAATTGTACATTAATTAATTATAGTATATCTAAGTTGAAACCATGTATCTGCATAATCCTATAATATTAGTCTATCTAGAGTATAGCTTTTAATTAGATGAAAGAAATTGTCTCTGAAAGCATCAATCCATTCATGTTATATAATACAGTGTTTATGTAAGGTCTTGAGATCAGTCTTAGTTAATAATGGTTGATGTTAATGAGTTATATATTTTAAAAGGAAATGAGCATGTCTTAATAATGCTGGGATATTAGGAAAATTACGAAATCTTGGATCTTTTTAAAGAAGTAATTCATATTTCTTAACTTAAACTTTGAAAAGAGTGGATGATTAAAAATAAAAGTCAAGTAAACAATCTTAATTTACTATACAACTTCTATATCCATCCATTCTTTAAGTTATCAATTCTATTTAATCTTCTTTCAATCCTATATCTTTCATAGATTCCACAAGGTAAGATTTGAACAATGTAAAGTGTACATTTGTTAAATTCATATTTTAATGTGATTTCCTTAAGTAATTCAATACATAATCAACACTACAATCCCATCCCATCATTTGATGTACTATTCTACCTAATTTTTTAGCTTATTCATCCATTCGAATTCCAATGAAATATTCACAAAGAGTTTGATCTTCTTGTATCTTTTAATATGTTTAATCTGCTAAATTTACTATTGATTCTGGTGTTTCTTCAGTGTTATTCTCTGTTTTTTTATTGAATATTTAAGCAAAAGTTTATTCAGTTGTGATAATACAATATTTATATTATTCTATTAAAGCACTGAATTCAAATATCAATTCAGGTGGACCTTTATTGCATTTAATGAAACTGCTCTTAAAATTTAAATTTATTAATTACTATTAAATAACTCTTAAACTGGTTGTATTATTCATTAGTGATTTGCATAGGAATATGCTTTTATTTTAGAGCTTCAATGTTAAAGAACACAGGTTTACCCATTATATACTCTAAGAATGTAGCAAATTTCAATTCATACATTTAAGGATCATCAATTTCTTAATACATTATTTGATTGATTACTTTAAATTATTGGATGGTTTTGTGAATACTGATGAAATAGTCTAGCTATTCCTCTTATAGTCTCTTCTCCTCCTATCTTGGTCAAAAAGATACCATCATCTTCCTCTTAAGGCAATCTTATACAAAAAGCACTCTTAGATGTGATTGGAGACAATTTAATTTACTTTTGACAATTCACTGACTTACGTGTTATAGACAATGGCATATGAACCTTACATCTTGGACTCGTTGGATGATTCCATGGACATTGTTAAGGAACTATATTTTTGGTCATACTCAAAACAAAATGTTCTTTCATCTTTTGAAGTTCTGGAATCACAGGTTCAAGCTTGGGAAGTGTTGGAGATTTTTATTTTATTTCAGTATGCTATCTACGAATCTTTGTTTATCTAGGCTCTTTAAGTGCATGAACATAATCAGCAAATGATTAGATTGGTTTGGCTCTTCTCTTATCTAAATGATCATCCGATTCTGTGAAGAAATCGTATTACCTACAATAAAATTGACAGTTCTGCTAAAACTATTGATTCATAATAATTATTAATAACTTTATCAAATAGTCATTGCTTTATCTAATCAGCAAATCTATCCCTTAAAAGAATCATGAATTCTTGATAATCAATCTATTTATAATGTCAAATTAATACCTCCCCATCTTTATTTAGATCTGCTTATTTAATTAATTCTTCAATATCAATATCTTTTATTGAAATAGTATCAGTATGAAAAATATCCATCAATTCGTTTTTAGATATTCTTCCACTATTATCTTAATCTATCCTTTTAAATTATTCCTCTATAAATCTTTCATTCTAAAATTGAGGACATACCAAAAATGCTGCTATAAATTCACTATAATCTACTTATCCACTTTAATCAATATCCATAGCCTTAAATAATTAAGTAATGAAATTTTTATCCATATTTTTATGTTTCATATTTTTAAACCCAGTTAATCCTTCTATCATCTCATCTAATGATATCATACCATTTCCATCTTTATCCAAAGAAACAAATAATTATCTTAATGAAGTTACTTCATTCTCAGGTATAAATGTTGCTAAATATAATAACATTGTTTTCTTCATTTATTATGCATTAATCATTTTCTCTAATCCTCTTATTGCATCATCATGTAATTTTAAATTCATTAATTCATTACTAACCTATTATTATACCCAAAAATGATTATAAGCTTATTTAGCACTAAATCTTCTTTTAGGTTCCATCACTAACAATTTCTAAATCAAATCTCTAACCTCTCCTCAATTTTATATAATTACCTCTTCACTTGCCCCTTTAAATCCAGCTTTTGAAAATGTAAATATTCCTTTCTATATATTCTTTATTGTTTCTTAAGGATTCCTTCCTGGAAATGGTGGCTATCCACACATCATCACATATAAAATCACTCCCAATGACCAATAATCTACTTCATATGAATATTATCCTTTAATAATCTCTGGAGCTATGTAAAATAAACTTCCATTTGGTTAAGTCATTATTTCATCCTCTCTATAAATTCTAGCCAATCCAAAATCAATTAATTTTATTGAAGACTCATCATCTTTATTTTTTAATAAGAAATTCTCTGGCTTTAAATCTCTATGAACTATTTTATGTTCATGGAGATATGCTACTGCTGTAAATATTTATCTCATTATTTTTGCTGCTTGCATCTCAGTCAAATGTTTTGTTTTTGTTATGTAATAAAATAGTTCTCCACCTTCACACATTCTATTATACTCATTAGTCTTACTCTGTTACTAAATAGACTGTCTTCTCTGTTTCATATACCTCATACATCTTTAGTATATTTGGATGATCCTCTACTCAAATTTTAAAATTTACAATCTTTCTAAGAATTGATAATTCATTCTTAAAACTTTCCTTATCCACAACACGATCTTTTGCAATTGCTTTTATTGCTCTTTTAATACCTCATGAATATTAATGTTATACCTGTTGATTTCTATTCAGTTTCAAAAACTACACCAAAACCACCTGCACCTATTTCTTTGATGAATTTATAATCCTTCTTTATATTTGCTATTAATATACAATATTTATCTATTACTTTTTATGCTTGAATTTATAAAATGAGCTTTCTTTATTTTCATTTATTGATCTATTTAAGCATCCATTTAATAAAAAAATAATTATAATTGAAAATTTTAATTTATATTATAATAAATAATTAATTAAAAACAATTATGTATTAAAGTAAATATACTCTAAAGAATTGATGTAATAATTGCAGTTTTCTAATTTCAGTTATTATTTTAATGAAAAGTATGATTATAACTAGGAGATTAATAATTTGATATTAAACAAGTAATCATAATTTAAGATTTATAATATTTATTAATTTATATTGTAAATTAAAATAGAATAATATCAATAAGAATTTTTTAATTATTTATTATAATTAAACAATAAATATAATATAATAATTAATTAAACTATTCAAGTTATTTAATCTAATAATAACATTTTTCTGAGATCTCTTTCCAAATGATCATTCAAAAACATTGAATCTTATGGAAAAATTTAGATAATCTTTTTCACATATTTTAATTTACTTCTCATTTTCGAATAAAACCTAAAATAAACTAAAAATGATCCTAAAACTAGCAATATAAATGAAGATGTTAACAACCACTACATATTATTTAATATATTACATCCAAAATTTTATCTAATTTATTTATCTGATCCATAATGTCTTATTACATTTAATCACATAATGAACTAATTACTTCTGAACATAGATAAACTGCTTCTAATTCTTCTATTGGTATAATAGTTCTATTAGTTAAACCAGTATCTAATTCATATTTCAATTAATAATTAAAATCACTCAATGTTGGTAATAGACCTCTTTTTAAAATCCCATTTTTAGAATTTTCACAAAAATAATCAAATTCAACATAGTTGCTCTATAATATAAAAATAAAAAATATACTCCATTTAATAATGGACATAGATTGCTTTATCCAATATTTTGGAAATATTCTAAAAAATCATTAGAAAATTGAAACTCATCCATATTAACATCAGTGGATAAGAATTCATTAATTTTATCAATACCTATGGAAACTTATTCCATAAATTAAACTCTATCATTAGATGTAAAGAATTGAAATCTATTCCAAAAGAATAAAAGTTCCTTTTATGAAAATGCTGCTGGTACATAAACTCCAACATCAGAAAACAATTTAAAATAGTTTAAAGTCTTTGGAAATAGTTAATAGAATGATGTTATTATGAGTGTTAAGGTTAATGTAACACCAACACAAAAAAAGAATATTAAAAAATAGATGAGAATTAATTTCATCATACGTGTTGATTTATCATATAGTTTTTCATCTTTAAAATTGTTTTTACCTCTCATCTTTTCCATAATCATTGATTCTTTTGCATCTAAATTAAATCTATATTTATAGATCATATCTGAATCAGATTTAAGATGATTGATCAAAAAGGAAAGTCTCTTTAGATCTTTACTTATGCATTATAAATCAGTATATGATCTTAAATTAATAAATTTATCAATAATCTTTTTAAAGTGTCTAAGATATAGGAAAGATCCAATAAGGAATAATGTGGAAATTACTTATGTTGGAAAACATAGGAATGCCCACAAATTTTCAGTAGCTTTCATTTAATTTAAGAATTGATGATATATTTCATGGGATATATCATTAAATATAGTAATAAATTCAATATAATTCAGGTATTAAAAGGTTTAATGAGGTGCGACACCTTAAATTGTAACATTAAATGATTTCAAATAAATTAATTATTATTTATAAAATGCATCTAATAATAAAGAAAAAGCTGATTATACTGTAATATTATATTCTGTATTATTAATTGGATTGTAATGTATAGTTTATTGTTTCACTACCATATATTAATCAAATAAGAATTCTTAAAATTTTTATTCTTAAAAATGTTCTTAAAAGTTTATACGCATAATTGAATATTCTCTTATAATATTTGCTAAAGAAAAAGATTAATAGAATTGATTTTAAGTTTCAGTAATTTAATTCAAATATTTAAGGTAGAAGTAATCTTAGACAGTGAATCTAGCCAAGAAAAACTTATGTATTGGTTCAATAAAAAAATGATTGATTTGAATTTAATCATAATAAAAAGTAACTTTTTGAAGATCATAAGCTTTTAAAATTGAAAACTAAAAATATATTTGAATATATTTACCAATATAATAAATATCAAGATGATAAATAACACTAAATATAAATTAATTGTTGATTTGATAATATGAGGCTATGTACTATTAGAATTAATTATAGTATGATATAGACAGTATTTTTTATAGAAATGAGATCTTCTTAATTCTTCATAAGATGCATTAGATTGTGCTTCTTATTAAAATGAAACTGTGTCATCTTCTTATTGATTCTAATAAATGTTTCCAAGCATTTTAATAGTCTATTATTCATTTTCAACTAATTATGAAATACTATTCTAAATATTAGATTCAATTAATTAGATTTTTTTGGTACTTTGTTTTTAAGTTGATCTTAAAAAGTATTGATTTGATTAATTTTAATGATTTTCATTTAATGGAGAAAAGAATTAGAAACATTCATCATAAGGACTGATAACAGCATCTTCATCATTAATTAAGGATGGCAATTCACCTGAATTATAGTATTCTATTTATTTTTATGTTTAAATTGAAGATTCACATTCCATCATTCTATATATTCTAATGATACTATAAGTTTTTCTAATTTGAATATCACCTTATACTTCAAAAAGATTTTATGATTATCTTTATTTACATAGATTAATTTTTTAATTTAAATTTTAATTCTACATCATAAAACATTAATCTTCATTAGGGAAAGTAATAATAGATTTAGTTGCAGATTCTGTTGTAAATTAGGATAATTAAAAAAATAAAGAGGAAGGCAAACCATAAAGTAATTTTTCTATTTAAAAAGAATCTGTAACTAATTATGAAAAATTCATCATTTTAAAAAAATCTTTACTAATACCTTAGATTTTTGCATTTTCATCTACAACTAAAATAGCTAAAGGAGTTTCTAATTTTTAAATAAAGGATATAAATTAAAAAAAAGATTATTAATCAAATTGAATATCATAAAAAAAATGAATAGGTTATAAATAACCAGTTTTACATTAACAAAAATTAATACCTTTTGTTCTAAAATACAATCCTTTTCCTGTCTATAAGAATTTATCAATTTCTAAATCATGAGTTTCTCTTATACAATAAGGTAATAGTACATTAGCATCTTTTAATTAAGAGAATTACATCTAATCCCATCCAAATATTTCACAAGCTTTTTTAGAAATGCTTTACAAATATAACTTTTTATTTTCGTATACAAACACAAGATAAGTCATTTTATTAGAGATACTATTAATATCACTTGATATAAATTATTAGTAAGTATTATTATCATGTGAGCTAAAATTACAGAATTCATAGGCTCTATACCAATCATTTACAATTTCACCCATAAAAAACATTAAGATTGATTAATTTTTAGAACTTGGGAATTTAAAAAATATTTATTTTAATTCATTTTCTCTTTTTAAACTTTCTAATGCAAAGGTTTAAATATGTTCATATAATGTATCATTATCTAACATCAAAATGGAGGATAAAATTTAGATTTTCAATTTTATAATAGAAATTAAATTATTTCTAATTTATAAATGAAATGATTCTGAATGTAAAAAAGCTGTAATTCTTGCTGATAATTCTAAACATTCCTTATTATCAGTTTCTAATTATTGAGCAAATTTATTGTACATCTATTTTTTTATAATAAATGTGAACACTATCCAATTTATTTATTAAACAAAGGTTAACAAATGTTTATATTTTTAATCTTCTATTCTATAATAGATTTCCTAATGATATCCTAATTAATGTAAGGCAGATAATAGATGACACATCTTATAAAAATGTTTACCTTTTTTATGTAAATTTAATTATCTAAATTATTAGACTATTTAATTTTAGAATGATTAAGATATATCTAATTAAATTAAATTCAATTCTAATGGATCTATAGTTTTATATTTATTTTGACAAGAACAATTAATAGATTGACAATTTTTAAGATGCTTACTAAATTTAATTCCATTAAGTATACAATTTTTTTATTATGAAAATTAATTGTCTGCAAATATAAAACAAACTAAAAAATGCAACATATCTATTTATAAACTTTATGGATCATTAAGAATAATAAATTCTATTTAATACATTAAAGATTTCCATATACAATATATTAATAAAGGATTCAACAACATTAAATATCCTATATTCAAATGTTATTCTGAAAATATGCATATTGAAATAATTAATCCTGAAGAAGCAAAAAATATTAAAATAAAGCAATGTTTGAGATCACAATATTTCATTTATATCAATATTGTATATATTCTAATTATACTAATGGATAAATAAATAAAACTTTATAGTTTGTCTGTCATGGGACTGTCCAATAAAATAAATATATATGATTACAGTATTCTAAGAAGATAGATTATAAAATCCAAATAATCATCTTCAATTTTCTTATCCATTTTATCTGTTAATAGTAAAGTAGTATTATTTAAAATATAATAGCTTATCGAAAATATATGGACAAACAAAAGAAACAGTAAATTTTAGATGATGAAGTAAAGGTTAGAATGGAAATCAATTTACAAATTAAATAATCCTAAACAAATTAAAGGTTGTAGTAACATATAGTTCATAACTTTTGATGTAAGCATCAAATAATATATTGGAATTGATTTTAATTGTTTCTTTTCAAATGTTTTCATCTGACTTATTTTTTATTTCTAATTTTCAAAGCACAAACAAATTAACAATATTATTATCCAAGCATTAATAATCAATACAGAATATTCTGCTACATTTACTTATTGTAAAAATTCTAGGAGAATTACTTTAGGTATTGCCATAATTGATTCAAATTAATTATGTCTTACTTTATTATAGACATAAGGGTAAATCAAAAAAAAAATACTCAATATTTGACTCAATATCACATAAAAGAGAGTGTTTTTCCATTTAAGTTAGCTCTCCTAAAAATTCAATTGAATCAATAAAGACTCAAGCATCTCCAATTTCATATTGAAACTTAATATTTATTGTAAAATTATAATTAATCAAATCAGATCAAACTGTTATCAAATCAATTTCTCACTTGTAACCATTCTTCTTAGTTCTCTTTCAAAATGGTCATTTAGGAAGATTGTTTCTAGTGGGAAAATTAATGAGATCATTTTAGTTCTATTAAGTTTCAATCTAAACATCTTAAAAACTGAAAATTAAATAATAATTATCAGTAAGATAGTATAAGTCAAACTTATAGCATTTATAATCTAATAGAAAAATAATAAAATTTAAATACATTATATAATTCCTCTATTGTTTAAGTTTATGATCTAATATCTTATTCCATTTTAACAGTAATTTCAGATATTATATCAGAACCTAAATAAACAGCTTCTAATTCTTCTTTTGGAGGTAATTTACGAGTAATTGGAAAGTTAATACTTAATTCTGTCTTTAAAATATTATTAAAATTAGTCAATGCTGCTCTCAAACCTAATTTTAATATTCCATTTTGAGAATTTAAACAAAAATAATCAAAATCAAAATACTTTGAACTATTCAATAATGGACATAAATTATTTTATTCTAAATATTCATAATTATCTAAAAATTATTTTGAAAATTGTAATTTTGAACTTTCAATTTATAATGTTAAGAAAGTATCAATTTTATTCACTGCTTTTTAAATTTAATCTACAAAAAATACTCTATCATCAGCATTATAATAAGTGAAATAAGTAAAGAAATATAAGATTTCTTTTTAAGAGAAAGATGCTGGAACATATACACCAATGTCTGAAAGGGATTTAAAAAAGTCAATTGTTGTCGAAAACTTACTCATATAATCACTTCCAACATATGTTAATGGACCAGCTATTACTAAATATTGTAATAACAATACAAAGAAAGATAAAATTAAAGGTAATTTAGAAATTCTAATAGATTACCTTAATTCTTTTAATTCATTACCCATATTTTTAATCTCCTTTTTTGATTCTTTAATTTTATTCTTTGCTAATATTTCTTCCTTTCCAATCAAATTAAATTTATACAAATGGATTAATTCTGATCCTTATTTTAAACTTTGAAGAATAAATTATTGTCTACTTTAATCAGCATCAAGTTCTATCTACTCTATATGTGTATTTAAATCAAAGAATTTCTCTAAGAAATGGTTGAAATAATTGTAATAATAACCAAGAAGAATCATAGAGATTAATACTGCAATTGATATTGGAATAACCATTATTATCCATCTTTATACAACCAAATCGATTTTTTATACAGATTCTTAATACATTTAATCAGATATATTGTCAAAGACAGTTACAAATAAGATATAGTTCTTATATTAATATGTATTATGTGGATTTGTACCTCTAGTTGTTTAAGGTTTTATATAAATTTATTCTTATTTGTAAAAGGCATCAAGTAAGATACTAAATGCATTAAATAAAGTCATATTATATTCTTGTAATTTAATAGGAGCATAATGATGTATTTACTATTAAATAATAACATATTCATCTTTGATAAATTCAGATAATGTTTCATCTTAAAAATGATCTTAAAAGTTCAGTTTGAATTCATCATATGATCCAATCAATAAAGGATTAATAAATTTTAAATAATAATTGAGTCTATCTCTGGTTATACTTTATTATAAGCTTAACATTTAGTAATCTTAAAGCATATAACGAGTCAAAAAGAACTTCTACATTGGTTCAATAAAATAATGATTGATTTAGATTGATTCGTAATAATAATTTAATGAATAAAAATCTTTTTTGGAAAATGAAATATTCTAATATAAACCAAATAATTACAATCGATAGAAATATGACTTAATTGATAAGTGCAAAAAATAGATATCCAAATAATTTATTTAATAAAGGTATTACTGGAGTTTATTCATTAAGTTAATTAACAAGAGTGTATTTTCTATAATAAACAGATTTTCTCAATCCAGCCATTGAAGAAGCTTAAGAACCTTCTAAAACAAAGTTCTCTTAATTCCTTATATCATTGTCATACACATTTCCTAACATTTTTATTGTTTTATTATCTAAATCAATAACATTTGATTCACTATAATGATGTATTTTTACTTTTTCTTAATCAATTTATTCTAAATTCTTTTCTTCTAATTCACTCAAAATTCTAACATCAGTTTTCCTTTAAGTTTGAATAATTATATTAGAAGATGGTTCATTTAGAATTGAATTCTCATAAGGAAGAACAATAGATTCTTCTTCATTAATAGGTAAATGATTATTTTAAGTATATTATAAATCAACAGATGATGCTAGATTCATTTTTTTATTTTCTAATATCTTTTTTAGTTTTATTATTTTATAATTATTTCTCCTTACAACTTCACAACTTACTTCAAATGCTGATAATTTCTATTAATTTTTTAAAATAGTAATTTTTTATGTATTAGTAGAAAATTCTTATGAAAAAAATGAATCTTTAGGAAAATAAAATTAAAATGAATATTAAGATTATGTTCCATTTAATATATCATTATTAATAAATAAATCTGCTGTTAAATTATATAATGATTTTTCTATTGATAATTATTCTATAATTTTTGGATGGAAATTTAACTTTTTAAATAATTCTTTATTTATTCCTTAAATTTTATTCGTTTAATCAACTAAAATCATTGGATCTGCTTATTCTTAACAACTTAAAAAAGTTATAAAACGAAATGATTAATTATTATCAAAATAGAGATCAAAAAAGAATTCTATATTTTATATATATCCTGATTTAAGTTAACAAAAATTAAAACCTACTTATCTAAAATAATTTCCTTTTCCATTTTATAAAAAATCTGCTATATATTAATCATGTATATCTCTTACTACTTATGGAATTAATGGATCAGGTGTACTTATTAATTCAAATTATTTTTATTAGAAACCAAAGATATTTGGTGCCTTTTTAGAATATGAAATAATTTTAAGTTTTCTATCATCATAAGAATATATTAAATATGCCATTTTATTTGCTAATCTATTAAAATCAACATCTGCTACAATACTTAATAATGAATTATCAATAGCATTAATTTATAATTAATCAAATGCTTTTTTCCAATCATATTTGATTTCAGCATAAAAAAACATTAATTAAGATTAATTTCTTTGACTTGGAAATGACTCATAAATAGATTTTAATATTTTTTCTTATTTTTCAATACTCTCCATTAAATCATAATATGAAGATGTAAAATCAATTTTATTCTACTATTTAACTAGTAATTATTATAATTGTAATTTTTATTGTATAATATCAATTAAACCATCTTTAATACTTTGATTAAAACTTTCAGATTAAACAAATTAATTGATCTTTAAAGATAATTTTGTTTTATCAGAATGATTTCCATCTAATTTAGCATTTAAACTAATGTATAAATTTTATTTGATCATCATAATAAAGAATTTCCATTTAATTCTCTATAAATAAGATAGATTATTTAAAATTAACTTATTCTCAACTTTACTATATATTTCATAAACTTCTCCATGATATTATTGAGCATATAAAAAATGAATGAGAAAATAAAAACAATCATAGGGTTCTTAATTTTAAAGTAGTTTCTTCATTCTTTCTACCAATTGATAATAAAGTTCATCTTCTATGATATCTGGAATTATAATCATTTTATTAGGATTACTTGAACATTACTCCTATATTTTACATTAACATCTAAGATTTTGACATTTCTAAGAATGTTTATATAAATATATAGAGTTGAGAATACAAGTTTATTAAAATGTCTACTTTTTTTATGTCGATAATGAAGAACATATTAAATTATTAACTTCAAATAAATTTAATTTTTAATGATTTGAAGTATGCATTTAAAATTACAACTAATTATGTACATAATTGCCAATTAAAATTAATAAGGGTGATAAAAGTATCAAATATATCATAGGTTAATAAATCTAAGTGATTGAACATATAGCAATAACAAATCCACATGAATGAATTATTATTAATAGCAAAATTTAGGTATTATTAGAATATGCCTTATAAATATAAATGGAAATAAGTTCTAAAAATGTAATTAATAAAAATATAATGGATTAACCATAATTAGCCACATTAGGAGTACTCAATATAAAAATGTATGGTTAAATCATTTGTAAGAGAAATATTATATAATCTTAAAAAGTTACTTATAATTTTTTGCATGTTCTATCCTTCAAAATCAATGTTCCTTCAAGAAGAATAAAGTAAAATAGAGATATAAAATGGATGATTGTCAAATAAACAATATCGTTTATAAACCAACCATAACCCTTTTCTTTTCTTGATCTTTATAAATTATGGAGAGCTATGATTATTAGAGGTATTGAAAAAACTACAGAAATGCACATAAAGAAGAAAGTAATCATTTTTAAAATGATATTTTTTAAATTTTATTTCCTAATATTTTTTTCAATAGTATCTTTTGTATTCAAATTAGCAATTATAATAAATCCAATTCCCAAAAAAATTATCAAATTAAACGCAAATTGTATAATATTTTAAAGTGAAGGAACAGTGAATACCTAATTGATTAGATCTATTAATAATTGCATTAAAGAATAAAATCGATTTTCAACTATTTCAGATCTTAGAGCTTTAAACCCACTACTTACATCGTATGAACATGGGTATATAACTAATAATAATGAAAATAATCGTCCTAATGTATAAAATCCTGGAAGCTAAGTGATTTTAAATTGACAGTCAAAATATCCTAGTTGTATACAAAATAATTCAATAGATAAGGCAAACATTCTAATTTATTAATAAATAATATCGATATATTTCATAATGTCTTATCAATTAAACTATATTAAAAATTGCTGATTAAAGTGAAGTTTAATTCTTTTTATTCAATTATAGATACAATTAATAACTTATTCTTTAAAATGAAGTGCAGTAAATAACTTAGACTCAATTAATAAAATATTTATTAACAGTTATTTTCATATTATTTTAATATTAATATACACTATCAATATATCAATTAATCATATTCATAGAAAACAGAAGATTGTTAAAATTATTCTTACATATATATTTTATTTATAAATAATATTCCATTAAAAATAGATATAAAAAAAGGTAGTATTCAATAAAAATGATACAATCACCAACAAAAACATAATAATTTTTGGAAATACATTTCTACAAACTTATATTGACATACTTAAATTCAAAATAATATTTGTTAAATTTAAAAACCACAAAATTAAATAAATAATAACAAAAATTAATTATTTATAATTAAGTTAATAAAGTGTTAATTTTTGTTTCCTATTCAAATTTAATTGGGATAAAACAAACTTAGAAAACATTATATCTATTTTATATGCTTTTTTTCATTGTAAAATATACAGAATCTAAAGTAAACCATTTAATATCAATAATACTCAAAGATATTAAGTGAAAATTTAAATCGTCCTCTTTCTATTTACTATTTTGTTATTCTATTTTTCTTGAATTAATTTAATTGACATCCAATTATAATAATTTCTCTTATTTTATGAAATACAGAATCTCAAATTGTTCTTAAAGAATAAAAGTTCATTTTTAATTTACAAAAGATACAAACTATTTTTATATAGTAATAATTTTATTTTATACAATAAGATTTTTATTACAAAAATAAAAGTTGAATTAAATGATTAAATATGCAATACTTATTAGATTTTCAGAAAATACAAAGAAATTAAAAATTAATATTATAATTTATATATTATACTATTTATATAAATAATAATAATTTGATTTATAATATAAATACAAAAGAAAAAAGAGTTTATAAAACATCAAATTTCCTCTGTAAAGGGATCTTTAACAGATTCAAAAGTATAAGGCATATATTTATCACCTCTAATTCTTAGATACTCATTTGCTACACCTCCTATTAAACCCAATATTCCTACGATGGGCATACATAATTTCTCTTCAAAAATCAATCTACTTTCAAGTTTATTAAAATTTCTTATATCCTAAATGGATCATAAATTAGATACTTCAATATCCATGGCACTAAAAAACAATCCATAGATGAAACCAATTAGTGTGCTTATAAAAAGAGTACAAATTATTTGATTTGGTGTTTCAACAAGAGTTCTTTACCAAGCTTATTAAAAGAATCCGATTACAAAATTAATGGTGTCTATAAAACCAAAAATCAATGTAAAGTTCAGTGAAACACCTAATACTATATATAATGGAATTTTAGTGTAGTATCCCATTGTTTTATTCCTGAAATTATTTATAATTATAATACCAATCTCTTTCAAGACAAAAACAAATGATTCCAGAAGTGAGTACCATGATGCCAAAATATTATAAGAATTTCTTGTTTTTTTGAAGTTGACTATTTTCAGGTAAATTGTTTACTCTCATAAGTAATAAGATTCCAATAATGATAAAGCATATTCCAAAATACTAAAATAAATAAGAGTTATATATACAGCTGAAAAAACGATATTGATGCTTATTTCTACAAGTACTGCATTACCAATAGCAGAGGCCATCAAACAGATGATTAAGCCCATTACTCCTGAGGCAGTTAGTTAAATTAATTCAGTGCTCTTGAATTGACTCAAATATTGATCCATATATATATGAATAAAATATATAAATAAATATATTGATTAATAAAAATGAAAAAAATAATAAGACCATTGATTGGTTTGATTTAGAGATCATTTTAATAAGCAGCATAACGTAATAATGATTAATTGATTATGATTAGCTGTGCCATTTGTGGGAACACAACCATTCATCATTTCAAAACACAGAAATATTATGGCATTATATGATTTGTCTCCTGAAATAGGGAGTCAACATTTCATTGCTTCAACAGCTACAATAATTGGTGATGTAGAATTAGCATCTCAATGTGTAGTTTGGTATGGTGCTGTCTTAAGAGGAGATCTCAATGGAATTAGGTAATGAATCCAAATAATTTAGAATCCTGAATCGAGTTATCATTGGAGAAAGATCAGTGTTGCACACTGCAGCATCATTACCAAATGGCATGCCAGCTGTGTTAAGTATTGGAAATAATGTTATGGTTTAAAATGATTGCACTCTCTACTCTTGTACAATTGGAGATAATTGTTTCATCGGTTATAGATCTATCATACTTGAAGGAGCCAAACTAGAAGATGGAGCAGTTTTAGCACCAGGAACAGTTGTACCACCTGGAAGACTGATTCCTAGTAATTAATTGTGGGCAGGTAATCCAGCTTAATATGTAAGAGATGTAGAGGAAGTAATAATAAATATGATATAAAAATATAGAAAGATTTGAATTAATTATCATATGTGATTGGCAATCAATTTGGTATAGCTAGAGAACATGATTATGAATATTTACCATACAATAGTGCATATTTATAGAAAGAAAATTCTCCAGAAGATTCCAATCCAGAATTGGTAGCTACATTAAGATAATACGAAGATTGGGAAGAAGGATAAGTCAAATTATGAGACAATTTATAAAACCATAAAGAAATAAAAAATAATTAATCAAATTCATTTTCTTTTGGATCTTTTTGATTGATCTACTTCTCTTAATTTCCAATAAGGATTAGTATCATTTGTTCTTGAACTACATCTACTTTTTGGTTATGATAATCTATTTATGAAATTTTTTTATAAATCTTTTAATTATGTTTAAGTGTTTTTATCTTCAAGATGAGGTTTAATTTTGAAATTAAGATCATCTAACTAAAATCTTTATGAACAATTAATATCTGAACTATTAAAAGTATTTGAAATCATTTCACTTTTATTTTAAATGCTAAAATTCTAAATTTATTATTATTATTATTATTATTCATCTAAAATTAACATTATTTTTTTATATTCTAATTTAGAATTATTTAACCATTATTCTTCAGGATGAATTACTGTTTCTTTTGTTTTAAATGTTTTTGAATCAAATTGATTTCTACCATTTTTAGATGATAAAGATGATTAAGGAACATTCTAAACAAAACTCAAATTAGATCTAAAACCTATTTTTGAATTAATCATTTATAAAGGTAATGAAAGTGTATGTTCAGATTATTAATGAAGTGATTTATGTTTTAATGGAGCTTTATTAGGTAATCCTGTTGCTAAAGTTTAGATTATCTTTTTCATAGGTTAAACTTAATTTCTACTGGTTGAATTGATTTTACAATCAAATTTATTTAATTAATGTTTTGATTATTATTATGATAATAATCCATTAATTTTAGTTACTTAACTTCTTTTATATTCATATGGTTAAGTAGGTTTAGAATTTTGATAAATATCTTTAGAATCATCATATTCCAAACTATTTTGTGAATGTAATACCATAGGAATTAGAAAAGTAGATTCCATACAAGATGGTCTTCTAGATTATAATTAGTCTTCATTATTTTATTCTATAAAATTAGATGTAGAGAGTTCAAACATTTTATCATCTTTATTTAATCCTTAAAATTAAGCAGTTCCAGGAGTTTCTAATTATTTAGAATTCTTTTTAGTCAAAGCTTACCAATCACTTTCTAAAGATTCAAAAGTTATACTATTTGATATTTATTGATCTATTCTTGATTGAGTTTAAGTACAATTTTATAATATAAATTATAGAGCTTCTTCTTCTTTGCTTTCTCTTCTATTCATTTTTAAAGGTTAACATCTATCTTCATTTGATATTAATGTTCTAAAGGATTCTTCAAATGTTTTTGATCTTCTTCTATTATTAAATTATAATGGTCTATCTTCTATTTATGGTTTATAAAATTAATCTGAATCAATTATCAGTTTCTTTTTATCATAATCTTAACATGATTATTCTGTAATTTTAACTTGACTACTTTACATTGTTGAATCTTAATGTCTTACCATATTCTTTAGAAGATCAAGTAATTGAATATGAGATTCATCATTCTCTTAAACTATTTTTGTACTACTTCTCTTTCTATGTAATTTCTCTAAAGGATTTCTTACAATTGGTGTTTCTTAAAACATTTTCTATATTATATCATATTAAATCATACTTATTATATGCCATGAAACTATTTTTCTGAAGATTTCGAACATAATTTCATATCTAAATTGATTTTAGATGTAGGTCTCAATTTATTTCTACTTTCTGCACTCAATAATTTAGGAGTGTTTGAATATTGATAAGGAATGTTTTCTTTGTTTTAATTGAGCATTTTTTGATAATATTGAGTAATGTTAGTTTCAGACTCATTAGCTTCAAACTGCTGATTTCCCATTAATTAACTAGCAGTTAAAAAAATATAATTAATTCTTTTTTTGGGTATTAATAATAAATAATAGAATTTTTCATTTTGATTAAAGGGATTTACTATGTTTAGAGTCTTGCTTTGATTGTTTAGAAATAAAGATTAAGATAAAAGTTTAATTAATATAAAATAATAATGGATTATAATGGCTTTTCTTTAGAGTGCTAATCAAGTTAACAACTATGCTATAACACAGTGAAAGATATGAAAAAAAAGAACTTGATAAACACATTGTGGCAAATAGTAAATAAGATGTCTAGGAAAAAAGAGAAAAAGGATAAATGGAGTGAAAGCAACGTAAGTGAGTTCTCCCAAAACATCAATAGAGGTGCATTATCATGTTTTGCTGAACTCTGTACAGAATTAGCATGCAATAATTAAATTAAGTATATACATTTACTTTTATAATTAGAGAAGTCAATCTATCTAGATGTAATATTAATATTTACTATGCTATTGAATTGGCTAATTTAGTTTAAAAGAATACTAACATCTAAGTCTTAGAATTAGCTGGGTGTAATCTTAATTCATTCTCTTTGAGTTGTATTTTCAAATCAGTAACAATTACCATATGTGTAGATGATAGATCATACAAGACTTACACGTCTCAATTTATCAAACAATAAGGGTTTCACCTTTTCTTCAGTTGAAGACTTTTGTAAATATGTACTCAAAGGAAAAAACCCTCTTATTGAAATCAATTTAAGTTTTTGTAATCTTGACAATGTTTCCTTGTCTTTGATTTTACCAAATCTCAAATATTTGAGGTCTCTAAAGTAAAATATACTTAATTTTAAGGCGTTTTATCATATCCTTAGTAAAATTCAATTCTTCAGAAAGCATTTTAGCATTAAGTAGTGCAATGCTTAATTATACAGGAAATAAATCACTTGATTATTTAGATTTATCTTGGAATCGTATTTAAAATCATGGATTGGAATTACTAAGTGTAGCTTTGTTTATGTCAGTTAGATAAATCAATATTAGATCATTAAATTTAGAATATAATCAATTAACTTAAGATTGTATTGAATCATTAGAAGCAATTCTATTGAAATTAAATATTGAAGAAATCAATTTATCAAAAAATAAAATCTCTGAATTTCAAAATTAGCAATTATTAAACAAAAAAATGACAAGAATAGATCTTTCATATAACAGATTTGAAGAAATTCCTAATAATTTTTTCTTAAATGTACTTTCTTTAAATCTTTCAAATAATTCCATAAAGACATAAGGAGCATATTAGATTTCTTAGGTTGTCAGTTCAAAAAAAGTTATGTGGATGGAATTGAATTTAAATAATAATGAAATTTCTACTTAAGGATTTGTATCTCTTATATATGCACTCAAAGAAAATCAAAGATTAATTAGTTTATCAGTTGCTAATAATAATATAAGTGGTGAAGGAATTTTAGTATATGTTTTCAATCATGAATAATTAAATTTATAACATTTAGATCTCTCTTGCAATTATTTAAGGTATGATTTAGTATATGCATTAATTTCAATGATGAAAGAATGTTAATTAAAGACTTTAGTACTATCTAAATTAAGATAAGATGAAAATGATATATGTAGTGGAAGAGATGAATTATTTGAAATCAAATGTACTAATTTAAGAATGCTTGATTTATCTGAAAATAGTTGTATGATTTCATCTTTACTTAATTCATTGTCTCTTTAATATAATAGAGTAGAATATTTAAATCTAAATGGTTGTTAGATAAATAAGAAAGTATTGATTGAATCTTTATCTTCTTTTTTAAAAAGAACATTAAGTCTTTAAACTTTATTATTAGCTAGAAATAATTTAGGAAGTTTAGATGAATAAAGTTTCAAAATTCTTAATGATGGATTATCAAGTAATTAATCTTTAACTCATTTGGATTTATCAACAAATAAACTTAAAATAAAAATACTTAATCTTATTAATGGTTTAGCTAATTGTAGATATTTAAAATTTTTAAATATTAGTAATAATTTAATTTATGAAACAAGAAATCTCATACATGATTTTCCAAAATTATTTCTTAATCCAAATCTATAATCAATAGATATATCTAAGAATTTAATAGGAAGTCAAACCTTATTACATACTAGAGAAACATTATTTAAATATTATCGACCCTTCCCTCAAATGAATTTATCAAAATAATAATTTACTGCAGATGATTTACATATAATTACTTAAATAATTTCAGAATGTTAATCAATTAAAAAGTTAGAATTATCAGACAATGATTCACTTGATTATATGAATAATGTAATGACATATGGAGAAAATGTTAAAGTTGAATCTTTATCTATAAATAAAATCCTATTTAGATAGGATAGTTTCTTAAATTTACTTTATACTATTGAATTGAATTTTAGACATATAAGATTTTTGGAAATTTCAAATACTTTGTTATTTCAAGAATAACTTATATAATTATTATCTTCAATAAGATTGATTAAAAATTTAGTAGTAATAATACTGGATTATTAATCATTTAAAGAAAATGATGAACAAGTACTTGAAGCCCTCTATTCTTGTTTAAATTGTTTTCGTAATCTAAAACATTTCAGTGTTAGAAAATCTACATTGAGTATGCCATTCTATGTATTTGTTTCTGAATTATTGAGAAAATCCTAAAAATTATTAGAATTAGATTTAAGTGGTAATGTATTAAATTCAAATGATTTTCAAATCTTATGTGATGGATTGTTTGTCAATAATAATGTGACAAGTATATATAATTTAGTAATTAGCTTTGAATTTTCGAAATTGCAAACTTACAGATGAATCCTTTTTATTATTAATGCCTTGTTTACATGCTAAATCATAAATTAAGAATCTAGATATTTCTTAAAATGAGATTACATTAACAATATTATAAAAGATGGAGTAATTATTAGAAGGACATAAATGTTCTGTATAGAGTTTAAAGATATAAAATATTTAAACATATTGGGATATTGAATAGATTCCATTCTCTAATAAATTTAGTAATCTCTTTCATAATTTAAATAATATTGATATTTCAATGAATTATAAATAGAATGAAAATTTTATATTACTATTAGATGGATTTATTAAGGCTAAGATTCTTTAGAATGTTTAGATATTGAGTGTAAATAATTGTGGGATTATGGATGATTAATGTTAAACACTAGCTAATTTGATAGAGGATAATGCAATAATTTAAGAAGTATCTTTGATTAGTAATCGTTTGACTAGTAGAGGATTTAAGACTATATTTGATCCTATTTTAAGGAATACAAGTACTTTATATAAATTGAATGTATCTAAGTAAAATTATTAATATTATAAATTTTAAGAAACTTTATAAAAGATCAATATTTCAATGAATTAACATCTGCTTAGATAGTTCCACTTAAGTATTTTAGATTATTGATAATGGATGGGAATTTATTTTAAGGATTCAGATATTCTGGTTTGATACCATTATTATAAAAGAATCCTAAATTATATATTTATAATAATTGGATTAATGTAACTGAAAGTTTTGCAAAATAAATAGTTGAATAATATGTGATATTTGTTAATGATTATAATATTTCAAAGGGAATACCAAAATATTTGACATCTTTAATTATAAGGAATACAAAATTAAGTGATTAATTTTATATTTGGTTTGGATCTTAATTTTTTAGATTACCATATTTAGAGTATATAGATTTTAGAGGGAGTTCTGAATAGATGACTAGTTTGAGCAAAATGCATATGTATATAGACATTGTTAATGAGAATTTTGTGAATTACAATCTGATTGAGGTTTGTTTCGATCAGAATTAAGATAATGAGTAATAGCATTATTAACTAATAGACCTAATCATTTTGATGATGGATTGTTTAAGTATTGGTTACAAAATTTGAAAGATTTCTTGTAAAATAAAAATCATATCTCATTACAAAAGATGGGTGTTATTGTAAATGATATAGAATAAGTAAGATGGGGTAAAATAGGTAAATGGATTGTTCATATAATTAATACAACATTAAATTTGATCTAGACTTAAAGTTATGATTTTAGATTTAGTAGTTCATTACACAGTTATACACGCAAATAATTAATAAGAATAAGAATTAGTATGATTATAGGAACTATAAATGAACTAATAAAAATAGTTTTAGGTATAGGTGCCATATTGATGCCTAGTTAATTGAATAAAGTACTATAAGAATGTTAAAATTTGTCTTATTGTTTTGGTAATGATGTAGCTCTAGCATTTTATGGAGAAGCCATTATAATAATATTTTTAGTTTTATCATAGTCTTGTTTCGGTCTTTGGTTTTCCATATAAATCCGATTACATGCTACTCCTGATTATTGTATCTAAACTTCAGATATGATTAGATATTAACACTTTAAATTTGCACATAAATCTGAAGTCTGGTTGTATATATTACAATTAATCATATCATTTAATTATTTATTAGAATGTAAAATATTAGGATCTATTTTTGAAATCATATCATAAATCAATACTAATCAAACAATTGATTTTGGAGATCTAAAATATGATTTCATTTTAGTACTCAGTTTTATGGCATCATTAATCCTATTTAAATCTGTCTTTTAGTTATACATAACAATAAAATCTTTACTTATCTTTCTCTATGCTCCTGTGGCTGATCAAGCCAAATTATTTCAAGCATGTTTTATTAAGGTATAAGCAGATCATATGCTTAATATTGAAAGTGTTCTATAAAATTATTGTCCTTAAAGTGGTATATATATTAAGGGGAAATTGTGGAATTATAAACAACTTTTTGAACCAATACAAGGAGTATTAGATTTAGGTCTTTTAATTTGTATATCAGTATTAACCAAATTCAGAAGACAATTCTTTTGTATACTCTAATTTGAATAGTTATATACTACTACTGATATTATTATTCTAATTTTTCTATGCAAAACTTCAATTAAAATTATTAAGCATTTTTATTGTGCTCTTATATCAAGACCACCTTAATTGAAAGTGTCTGATTTAAATGAAGCTTTATTAATAAGACGTTATTAGAAGATGGGTAATTCTCTATAGATTGTTTAGAAATATCCTAAAATATCTATTTAGAAATTAAAGATATCATCTTCATAATCTATAGGTAAGAAAAGTAGTATTGATTTCAAAATGGGAGCTTAAATAAAAACAAGAAGTGATAGAAGTATAATTATTTAAAGAGAGAGTTTAAATGAAGATGATGTTGATTATATTCCAGAGAGTATTTAAATGCCAATGGCTCCTATACAAAATAAGTCTATGAAGAATATCTAATTAAAAAACTTTTGATTAAATAAATTAATATAAATTTATGTAAAATATTGACAGTGTCAAAATCAAATTTCTTAGAATACTTATAAAGCATCGATTCGTTAAAAGATTTCTAGGCAAATAAAAATTAACTGAATAATCATATTTTACTGTAAATTAAGGAGCTTTGGCTTGTTTCAGCGAATTATGTTAATCTTTATCATGTAATAATCGCATCATGTACTAAAATTATATAACTTAGTGAAGTTAATCTATCAGGCTGTAATATCAATGTATACTTTGCAATTGAGTTAGCCAATCTAGTATAGAAAAATACAAATATTGAAGTATTGCAATTAGCTAGTTGCAAGTTGAATTCATTTTCACTAAGCTGCATCTTTAAAGCGGTATTAATGTATTGATCAACACTGTAGATGATAGATCATACAGGATTGGCTTAATTGAATTTATTCAATAATCAATCTTTTACTCCAACTGTTGTACAAGACTTTATTAAATATGTTCTTAAAGGGAAAAATCCTTTAATAGAAATTAATATAAGTCATTGCAATATTGAAAATGCTTAATTATCTATGATATTACCAAATTTGAAAAATCTAAAGTCTCTTAAAAGATTAAAAATGGGTCTAATGAGTTTAAGTTCTGAATCATTATTAGCACTTTCATCAGCTATGTTACATTATACAGGTAAAAGATATTTAGATTATCTTGATTTATCATTTTGTTAAATAAAGAATCATGGACTTGAATTACTTAATAAATCTCTTTATTTATCAGTAATAACATCTATTAATATAAAATCCCTTAATTTATCAGGTAATCATATTAGTTAAGATGGAGTAGTACATTTGGAATAAATTTTATTAAAATTAAATATTGAAGAATTAAATTTATCAAGAAATAAAATTTAAGAATTTTAGAATTAATAAGTTCTGAATAAGTAATTAGTAAGGGTTGATCTATCAAGTAATCTTTTTGAAGAAATTCCTAATAATTTCTTTTTAAATGTATTATCAATAAATCTATCAAACAATTAGATCAATACTTAAGGAGCCTATTAAATTTCTTAAGTATTATCTTATAAGAAAGTTCAATGGGTTGAACTTAATATAAATAATAATTGCATTAAAACAAGAGGTTTTATTTCTTTAATATATGCCTTAATTGAGAACAAATCATTAACAAATTTATCAGTGGCTAATAATAAAATAAATGGAGAAGGAATTTTAGTTTATATTTTCAATCATGAATAATTAAATCTCTAATATTTAGATTTATCTCATAATTATTTAAGATATGATTTAGTATATGCTTTAATATCAATGATGAAAGAATGTAAATTAAAGACATTAGTATTATCATAATTAAGATAAGATGAAAATGAAATTCATAGTGGTAAAAATGAATTATTTGAGATTAAATGTGCTAATCTGAGAGAAATTGATTTCTCTTGTAATCCATAAATAATCATGCCTATTCTTAAGAGTTTATCTAAATAATATAATCGTTTAGAATATTTAAATTTAAATAATTGTCAATTAATTAAAAAACCAGAAAGAGAATCTTAAATTAAGAAATCAGATACTTAAACATTAGATAGAAGGAAATCTGGTGAAATTCCTGTTAAAAAATCAGATACTTTTACTATAGATTTAAAGAAATCAACTGAAGCTAAATTCTTAGTTTTTGATGAACATGTTATTATTGATTAAATAGAACAAAAAAATTCATAATAATAAAATAGTTAAGTTTTAGAATGTATTTATAATCTATTATCTAAAACTTATACACTTTAAACTTTATGTTTAGCTAATAATAATTTACATTATTTAAATGAAAATGAATTGAAACATTTAGAGAGTTGTTTTGCTAATAATTTTACATTAGTATCACTAGATTTATCAAATAATAAATTAAAATCTAAAATTGTATTTTTAGTAAATGGATTAAAAAATTGTGGTTCTTTACGTTATTTAAATATAAGTAATAATTAAATTGAAGAAGATTATGAAGTGATTATTAAATTACCAGAAATATTTAAGAATCCTAGTTTATAATATATTGATTTATCATAGAATTCTATACATAGTGCAACATTTTAAAATATGAAAAAAATACTATTAAGATAATATAAATAATTTCCATAAATGAATTTAAGTTAATTAAAATTAACTGCAGATGATCTTGTTAGTATTAGTGAAATTATACATGAATCTTATTCTATTAGAAAATTAGAATTATTTGGTAATTAATCTATTGATTATTCAAATAATGTTATGGTATATGGAGACAATAATAAGGTTGAATCTCTATCAATTAATAGATTAAAATTGAGAAGAGATATATTTGAAAACCTCTTTTAAATACTTGTTTAAAATTCAAAATGGATGAGAATAATAGAAATATCAAATACATTATTAAAAAATTATTAATTAAAGAAATTATTAGAATAATTAAAATAAATGCATTTTTTAAAAGCATTAATAATGGACAATTAATATTTTGATAGTAAAGAAGTTATTGATTCAATGAAAGAATTATATCGATCATTTAAAAAATTGAAAACCTTATCTATACGAAAATCTACTCTTTCTTTTGAATTTTTTGAATTTCTTTATTAATTATTAATAAATTCTAAGAAATTGGAAGAATTAGATTTAAGTAGTAATCAAAGTAATGATTATGAACATAAATGTATTATTTCTAAATAATGTATTGAATTACTATCATAAGGAATTTAAAATAATTAAACTCTTAAAAATCTTAATCTATCTAAATGTCAATTAGATGATGAAGTAATGTAGATATTTATAGATACATTACCTTTAAATAATTCATTAATTTAACTTGATATAAGTGAATGTAATCTAACAAAATTAAGCTTCTTAAGATTTAAACAAAATTTCAGCTAAAATCCTTCTTTATTATAAAAACTATGTTGCTAATTAATGATTGATGAAATCCCAAATAATTTTGTTAATAGTTAAAGTCTACCAAATTTATTCTACCTTGACATATCTAAAAATAAATAAAAAAATAGAAGTATTAATAAATTAGTTTAATGTTGCTAACCTAATAATATCTTTTAAAATCTCTTCTTCCTTAATTTAGAATAATGTCATCTTAATGATCATCATTGTAAAGTTTTAAGCAAATTGATCGTAACTAATTTAAAAGAATTAGATCTTAGTTAAAATTAAATCACTTTTAGTGGATTTAAAGATTTATTTGATCCAATATTAGAGGGTAAATCTAAACTTAAAGCATTAAATCTATCTAAAAATAAAATCAATGAAGAATACTTTTGTTAACTCGAATATACAGAATTTAATATGAGAATCGAATCTCTAGAATTATTATCTCTTGATGGAAACCTATGTTATGGAAAAGGTTGTAAAGGTTTTATTAAATTATTATCATAAAATCCAAAATTATATATTTTTAATCATTGGGTAAATATTAATGATTAATTGGCTTATTTAGTAATTTAATCATACATATAGTTTACTTAATTGTACAATTTAAAATATGGTTAATATAACTACATACAATAATTGATTATAAAGGAAACTGATTTCTCTGATGACTTTCTAATTTGGTTTGGTTATAATTATTTTTAATTGCCTTATTTGTAATATATAGATTTTTCAGGTAATTCAAGATTTTGTACAAGTATGGGAAAGATGCACATGTATATAAATATGATTAACAATCAAGTTAATTATAATTTGCTATAAGTAAAATTTGATGAGGTTGAATAATAAACTTTGACTATGTTTGATGATGGATTAATTAGATATCATCTACTAAAATAGAAATTTCGATTTCAGAATTATACAATTATGTAAAGTAGTTATGGAATTAATGATCAAAATATAGAAACAATTAAATGGGGATTTATTGGGAAATTCATAATACATATTATTAACAAATTGTTATATGTTTTTTAAGGATCTCTAACAGAATTTAGAATGAGTAGTTAATTATAGAAACATTTAAGAAGAAAAATGAATAGAATGAAAATTTATTATATTTTAGGTTGTTTAGTAGAACCAGTATTTTTAATTTTAGCACTTTTAACAGCATTTATGTTATAAACTCCTTTATCTTTATAGGATTTATAAGATCATAGAAATTGTAGAAATCAATATTGTTTTATTAATGATGTTCAAATTCTAACTTTGACTTTGTTCATAATTGATATTTTAGTAATTGTAATGTGTAGTGTAACAAATTTAATAATAGCAATAAAATTAAGGATAAATTCAGAACCTGACTTTTATATTTTGACTTATGAATAAAAAAAAGAATTAAAAAGGAAATTTCCAATAAAAAAAGAATTACTTCTATTAATGCTTTAAATAGTTCTATAATGTAAATATATATTTGATACATTAATAATATCATCAAGTTATAATATGTCAAGTTATATAGAGAAATATGAAGATAATTCCTTTTAATAAATTCGAACTAATTTCTTAGCAACTGCTTATATGATGACTATAATGATATGCATAAAATTCACTATTTTTTGTTATCAAGATTTAAAATGTACAATATAATTCTTTAAACATCCAAATAGAGATGCTTCATTTCTCTTATCTAATTTATGGATGAAGAATATCTATGATACTAATATTCTAGTTGAGAATGTAATAAGCAATTTCTGTCCATAATCAGGTATTAAGATAATGAATAGTTTATTTAATTTAAAGTAGATTTATTAGCTTACTTAATTATTTGTAATTGAATTACCTACATTTTTCATATATCTATTCTTCTTTAATAACTATCAATTAATGTTTTCAAAAATGGGTTATTAAACAGTAATTACAGTAACAATAATATTTTAAGTTATTGGAATGTTACGTAATATAATAAAAGGTTTGTGTAATACATATTGGGCACTTGTATCAAGACCCCCTATTGTAAAATGGTTTGATATAAATGAATTTTTATTGTTAAGAAGATATTAACATTTGGGAGAAAAGAGATTAATAACTTAATAGCCAATTAAATAAAAGAAATAGTTTAATAATACAAAGAGTATAATGAAGAAGAAATTGATACATAATTAATAATTAACATAAAAATCAAAAAGTGAAAGAATAATTGAGAAAAGAAAAACATCAAGAAGAGCCAGTTCAGATCATGAAGAAGAAGGTAATTAAATATATGATTATTTAAATAGCAGATTGTTTAGTTAAAAAAAATCAGATGACAACAGAAAATATGTATATAGGAACTCTTAATACTAAAATGAAATCAGACTGATTACTATAATTAATAATAAAAGACTTTATATAATTTTGTATTTTATTTATTTTGATTAATTATTTTAATTTTCATTAATTAATATTTAATTAAAAGTTAGACAATGTATAAATATTTTGATATTTTCTTATTAAATAATTAAGATATTCATTATAATTATCAATAATAATTTTAATATATGAAATCTGTATGTCAAATTACAAAACATTTTTATATATAATTTATATGATTATAAAAGATATTTTAAAGTATTATGTGATTTGTTTTGAGATGATTAAGGATATAAATATTATGGAATTAATCATAAGTCTTAATATAATAAATTAAAAAAATAGTTATTATTATATATGCATGAATACTCTTGTAAAATCATTAGCAGGGAAATTCTCGACAGTTGCATTGCATACTGCTCTACCTTTTACAGGGTATAAATACGATGACATTGACACATCCAAAAGTTATAGATTGCGATCTTTACTCTCTGAAATTTGGGATAATAGAATTGATGAAGGATTTCATATGGCTTATGAGTATTTGTTTATTTAAAGTTCTTAGATAATTCATTTAAGCACTCAGTGAGAAAGATTACAAATTCATATCAACTATAGCTAATGCAAATCTAGAAAGAACTCTAGAGAAATATAATTTTTAATTATTGAACCTCAAGAATGGAACTAAAGATATTGTCTTTTCTGATTTAACGTATGACTTAATAATATTAATAGATTATCAATTGGTGACAAATCATAATAATGCGTAAAGATGTCTCTTTTCAACTGTGTGAATTTAGATATATATGGTAATGATAATGAGAGATCTGAAATTGAAAAGTAAATATATAATATATTTTAGTGTTACATTTCGAGTTGAATGTTATATACTATCTTAATTAATGTTATATCCTACCCCTGAGGCTCATTTTGAATCAATTTATCATAGAGTATTCATAATTCTTATGTATTAGGTTATGTTTGAATTGAAATTAACACAAGCTGCTAATACAAATCCAGATTTAATTAAAGTATTGTTATTGAGTTCAAAGAAAAGAATGAAATATCTCCAAAATCATTTTATTGGTAAACAATATGAATGGAGAATTATGGAGATTGATAATTTAAATGTGTGATGAATTTGATATCAATTATAATTATATAATTTATATTATATATTTATATATATATATATATAAATAATCATAATAATTCATTATCTGAACCTTATGATAATTATTTCTATTCATCATCATCCTATTAATTCTCTCCTTAATTCATTTAAGAATCCACTTCCTCTGGTACTTCATTCTCTTCCTTCTTATCTTAATCTACAAATTATTCTTCTATCACCTTATTATTACTTTTGTTCTCTTAATTTTCTTTTTTTCCCTTTTATTTTCCTGATGATCTAATTCTAACAACTTAAATTGGTCGTTTAAAAAGTGAACGAACATCTCCATTCTTTTACATCTAATTATTACTAGTTTAAGCTGTCAATCTCTCAGTCATTGGTTCTAAATATATTAAACTATTCTCTGTTATCATTTTACCCTAATATCCATTTATCTAAACTTCAGAATGATTTCTTTGCATCTTTTTAGATTTTGTTGAATCTAATAACTCTTAAAATAAATTCTCTAATCTTATTTTTGAATCCAGTAAAGATTAATTTTCAATTTCTAACTTTTTCAATCTCCCTTTCTAATAGTTTGTTGATTCCATTGTAGATCTCAATTAACTTTATGCTGATTTATGTGATTCCTTTAATAATTGTAATTCTGTCTACAATTCTTGAACTTACTTTTTCAATTAATCAATTTCATTCAATCTACCTTTTTTATTTTATTATGAAATCAAAAAATCTAATTACTACTTTAATTCAGATTTATCTCTTAATAGCATCCTCACTTACTCTTTTGCTTTATTAAGATCTCCCTCAAGCATTAGTATTTATTCCTTTTAAGATTTATTTTATTTCATCAAGGCTTTTACCTATAGAAAAGAGCACTCTATACTTCTTAATCTAATTTTCTTATTTTCTCATATGATTCCACTAATTTCTTATCTTTCTCAAACTACTCACTTGATCTTTCCCTTTATAGATCTTCTTATTCTTTTCTTTTTGTTACCAAGTCTCTAATCAACTCTCTATTCTAATCTTTTTATTATTGTAATTATTCTAGAATAGTAGCATTTTCTCTATAAAATTATTATAAAATAAAATACTTTTGTATTTATGAAATTCTTTTCTCATATTCCTTCTTTACATTCTATATTTATCCCTCCTAATCTTTAAAAATATTCTCATAAGTCAACTATTAATCCTTCAATTTTTCTTCTAGTACTATATTGTTCTTTTATAAACTAGTTACTTTATTTTGTTCTTCATCAACCTTATTTTATAATACTTATAACTATTTATCTTTTTCAGAGACTTATTTAGTATAACAATTAATTTATTAATCTAAATATTGCATTTCCTATATTTATTTTTCATACATTTTTTTTAGACTATCATTTTCACATTATAATTAATCCTTATTTCTTTTTATTTGATCAATTTCTTCCTCATTAGTTTTAGCTTTATTTTCCATTTATTATTCTAATCTTGATAGATTTCTCATTTATTCCTCATGCATTTTCTCTTTCTATAGTATCTCATTTTAATATTAATGTATTTGTTCTCTCAAAGTTTCTAATTCTTTATTGTGTTTATTTTTTAAATCTTATAAAGTGTTCTACATCTACTTTTTATCTTCCTCTAAGTCTGTTAATTGATTCTTTAATTTCTCCTTCTCCAAATTTAGTATATTTTCATTATGTTTTAACTTCTCATTGATTTATTTTAAATCATTGCAGTCTAACTATAAATCTCTAATAGTTTATTCTAATCCAGAATTATTCCCATCTTAATGTTACTAATTAGCCAATTATTGATTGGCTAAATCCAATTCATTCTTAATAGTAGCAAGCTCATCTTAATGCTACTTAAGTAATTGCTTTATTATATAGATGTAACTTCTACCTTAAATTCTCTTTCCTTAGTTTTCCATTCTACAACATCACTTTGGTTTTTTTCTACAAGTTTTATATTCTGAGTCTCAAGCATTTTGATCTTCTCCTATAATTCTAAGACCTAGAATTTAAAAAGTTGTTGAAATACATCTGCATTTTAATTGATTCTAGTCTCAAGAGTAGCAACTTTTGTTTCAAGCTATAAAACTTAGGTTTATCGACTTTCTAGTTCTGATTCTAGAGATTTGATTTTGATATCTTTATCAGTCATTAAATTTATTAATATGGGAATAGACATTGTTAACTTCTACAGCAGCTATGGTAGTTATCATAACAATAAAGTGTAAATTTATATAATTATCAAAAATACAGGAACAAGGCAATTCATTTAATATGCATTCCACTCATTTTGTTATCAGCTGTTTAAATTATCAACCATTACTCATTCACCATTGATACAGGTTGTTGTCAATTAAATTTTGGTTTAATAACATTGTTTGTTCTTGCTTTAGTCTATATGGCTGTAGACTTATTTAGTGGAGTAATAATTATATTATCTATGATACACTAAAGATTCTTGCTTCGTCATTTTATATAGCAATAACACTTTATCTCAATTAACGCTTCACCAATGCTGATGAGGCTTTATGGAGTCATCATTTGTGTGTTGCCACTACCTTCCAAATCACTTGTTGGATTTTGTAATTTATTGGACATGGAGTGTTTGAAAGTAATTTTATACATTATTTTCTAATTTTCTTAGAAAGAGCCCCTGCCCTTTTAGACAATATTCTATAGATATTTGTAGCACCTGACTTTGTATTTTTAGAATTAATGTTCTTTTTTGGTTACAAACCTGAAATCCATAAGGCATGTCAGAATTAGATTTAAAACAATATCAAACAATTCAGAAATTCAAAGAAACAAAAATGATATTATATATTAAAAATTATTATTAATTATATATGATTGGCAAAGAATAAGTTGATGTAATTGATTAATATGCTTAATCCATCATTAATTATGTGGACAATCAATAAAAGAGTATTACTATGTAGTATTGTCTAAAGTTATTTAATTGAAAACTACGACCATAGAAAAATTGAATGAGGTGACTATTGTACATTACTAAAAAAATTTGGATAAAATTAATTAAATCAGATAAGAATTTGAAGAAACCAAAAATATTTGTAAGTTATCAAATCTTTTATCAAGACTGTAGAAAATAAATTAGATGAAAATATTTAGAAAATTAATTAAATATAGAATTCTATTGAAGGAATGGAATCATCAGTTGATCATTTGGATTCTATTTTGAAAAGGATTGAAACCAAATTAACAGAGTTAGAAAAATTAAAGTAATGATATTTGATTGAGTTAATTTTAAAAATATTTTAATATGTAAAGTGATTTCTAAGAGGAAGTAGTTAAATCAGAATATGTATAAGCAGAAGATTAATCATTCAAATTTGTTAATATGCCTAGTTATAATCCAGAACAATTAGTTGAAGATCGTCTTAGAGAATCTATTCGATAATCAGTTGCTTAAAGACCAATCAATCATTAAGATGATCCAACTTCTGTTAAATTTCATAGGCATCAATCATATAATCAATTATAAGCATGGATGGAACAAGTTGGAATTGATATGTAGTAACACAGACAAATTATTAAAGATGTATTTCGCATATTAGAAAAGAGAATTGCAATTTCAAATAGAAGCATTCAAAATCTTATTCATTTCATTAAGACTTTTGTATAACATGAAAAATAAAATGTAGAGTATTTAAGAACTAAAAATAATGATATTAATAAACTATTTCAAGATGGATAAACTTTATACTATCCTAAATTAGATGAAACTATCAAAGAAATTTGTAATTATGATTAAGGAAATGCTATTAAAATACTCAATCTCTTAGATGGAATTGATAAATTTATAAAAGAGAAACTTGATTTTAATATAGAAATGTTTGAAAGTGGTATTTCAATACATAGAGATCAATATAGAAAAGCTTTTAGTAATTTTGCCTCCAGTTCCTCAAAACTCACAAAATATCGTAGAAAACATTAAGGATTATATCAAAGATAAATGTAAGGAGAAAATAAAGGAAAGGATCTTTATCATACTGAACGAAAATTGATTAATTCATTTCTTGAGATGGCTAAATTATAAAAAAATATGGGGTAAGCTGTTACTAGATTATTTGATGAAGTAAAAAAATAAGAAGTCCATAGATATTAAATTGTCATCACTTCTTTAAGGATGTATCTTGATAAACATGTGTAATTAAGTCAAAGCAAACAATAATAGATTTCTGCATAAGAGGAATTGCTTTATGGAGTAGCATTTTCATTTTTATTTAGTCTAGTTAATAAATTAATTAGAACCTGAATAAGTAATATAATCATTTGAAGTAATGAATTTCTTAGGCCAAGATATTTTGAGGATTATATAGAAGATGCTTGGAAAACAACCTTTAACACTTCCCTAATTATAGGATTTCCTTTGTAATTATCCTGATGCTTATATAAAATTGGGAAGTGTACAAGAAAACCATTCCTTAGTTAAATTAAGAATCAAAAATGCTTAAATAGATTGTGGTAATGTTTTGAAAACATGGAAACCTTGTCAAATTATTGCTACAATTGATAACAATATTCTTATTTACCTTTAAGATAATAATGAATTTAAAGGTAAATTTTTATGTGATTCCTCATAAATTGTACAAAAGACAAGAGTACCTTTAACTGCAGAAATCAAATATACTAAACCTGGATTTATTTTTGATTCTACCAAAACAGCTCTCTTATAATTAGAAGCTCAAGATTTTGATTCTCTTCATGGATTATTATTCAAATAACCTAAATGAATTAATTATCTATATATTTTTGGTATCTATATTGAATACTCTTCATAAAATGTATATAATAAAATTTATTACTAAATTACTTTAATAAAATAATAAAAAAACAAAATTACTATCATTGTAATTCAGTTATGAATTATTGAGCTTATCTTTACTATTATTTCTATTATTCATGTTATCTTAATTTTTTGAAGGTGAAATAAACTAAAAATGGAAGTAAAATCATTTAGAGTACAATAAATATTATTTCAAGAACTCCAATTGATTATTTGTCATCTTGAATACATAGATTTTTTGTGAGTTATTTTATATATAAATAATTTTCTTAAGTTTGAACATTAAATATTTTGTTTTTCAAGAATGGTAATCCTAATATAATAGCATCTTTATATTATTCATCTGAATATATCTTTAATATATCTTAACCATTCTCATCATGTATAATATAATTAGAAGGATTGATTATTAAAGGATTGTCTTGATTGGCATTATTATACAATAATAGAGAATCCATATCATTTTCTGATTTATCTTTATTATCTCTATAATAGAAACCACTTGTTTGATCAAGGACAAAGCCTTTAGATTAAAAATATTTTTGGGGAAAGATTTCTTTTGGAATTGAAACCAAATCATCAGAAACAATATAGATAGGATATGATGAAATATCATAAACCTTTAAAGCAATCTCCATATTTTAAAGATGAAGACTATATGTTGTATATTTTTCCTCTTTTAATTTATTAAATACTCCCTCAGTATTTAAAGGTTCATTTTCCTAAGATATTGAATTGAAATCTGTTATTATATACCCTTCAGATTCAGATAGACACAAACTAAATCCATTCTAATAAAAGGTATTTTGATGATTCTAAAATGGAGCTAGAGCAAGGAAACTCACTTTATTTTGATCTTCCTATAATTATTAATCAGAGTAAATGATTGTTTGAGACATATCTTATTCAGTTTGAATATCATAAACATTGAAGGTTTCTTTTTCTAGTTTAATTTTTGTTCTTTGTCCATTTTAATAAACTTCTTCATAACATTCATTATATTCGTAATCTGGACATCGATCATTCTATGAATGTCTTTGTAAGAATTCAGACAAAATTTCATCTAATTTTAGTTGAACTTTGAGGTCTGAGTCTAAACTCAAGTAAGGACGTTCATGTATATAGGAAACTGGATACATGGAAGAGACAATATAGAATTAGAGAAATAAAAGCATTTTATAAATATAATTAAAAAATAAGAGATTGAAATACCCACTATAAATTAATTATATATAACTATTAATATGTTTCTAAGATTGTTGAATATTGAGACATTAAACTTTTAATTATACAGTAAAATAAATGATAATATATAAGAATGTATAAATTATAGTCTAAATTTTTATATTAATTCATAGAATACTGATCTCAATCAGGAGTCAACATATATTTATAGTAAATAATAAAAGATATAGATATTTCCATTAAAGGTATTACTTATTATATGTAGAAATCATAATGATAAGGAGGTATTCTATATGATTATAAGAGATATTCTTTAATTTCTGATAAGAATTTATTCTCTCAAATATTTATATTTAATTGATTAAAACATATTATATAATTAACTTAGTTAATAATTTAATTTATATTTATATACTCCTGTTAATAAGAATTTTAGTTGTAAATATTCAAATGAATAAGTTTTACTAATCTAATAATTATATAATTATTTTATATAAAATTAATGGATTCAATTATTTAATATGATAAATCTGAATTTCATGAAACATCATCTGGCATAAAAATATCTAAAAAATCCATTATTAAGGGCACTGAATAAATTAATGTAAGTGGAAGATGCATTTTTTTTAATGATGTTATTTTGAGAGGAGATCTAGCCAAAGTATCAATAGGCAAATATTTGGTTGTCCATGAAAAAGTAACATTAAAACCCTCTTATACTTATGGCTACACTAAAGAATCACCTACTAAAAAGGTTATTAAATTTCTTCCTTTGATGATAAGTGATTATGTCGAAATCGAATCAAGTTCTATTATATAAGCAACAAAGATAGGTACTTGTACATCAATTGGAAAAAATTGTTATATTGTAAATTTGAATGATTAATTAATGTTTAGTCTCATAGATGTATAATTGGAGAAAACTCTATAATACTTGATGATTCCATATTACCACCTGATACTGTTGTACCTGCAAATAGTGTATATGGAGGAAGACCTGCAGTCTACATAGCAGAAACACCAGAATCAACTACAATTATTTAAAAGCAAAAATTGATCAATTTTTATAAAAACTTTGTACCTAAGAGTTGATATTATTATTATTCTATCTATGTTTATATATATATAAACTGCTCAACAACAAGATTTCTTTTTCTTATTTTTCTATTATTGAGTTTCTTCTTATTCTAAAGTGATAATTTATTTAGAAGGAGAAAGATTTGACTATCCAATCACAATACCTTATTGCTACTAGTTACATTTAATTTTACATGTTTTCCCAAATCTATCATTGAAGTATTAATTCTTTTAATGATTTCTAGGGCTATATCACGAAAGAGTTATTAAACACCAAGTCCTTTGAGAGCAGAAACTTCAGCATAGAGGAAACCATGATCAACAGCGTATTATCTTCCTTGGATGGATGACACTTATCGTCTAAAAATAATTGAAGTGGATCTGTATACTCTTGTAGATCAATTTTATTGCAGACAAGTGCAATTACAACATCTTTAATTATTGAAGCATCTACTCTCATTGCTGTTGTTATTCACTTCTTGCACCCATTATTCGACTCCATTAAATGATTACATACTACAACAATCATAACATAGGAGCACACCTATAGCAGATCGGTAGTATGCACGAATGAGAGATCGAAATGTCTCTTATCCTGCTGTATCCCATAAAGAGAGACGTATAATTGAGCCAGAGATATTGATATCCTTAATACCAAATTCAATTCCAACAGTAGCTTCATGTTCTTATCTAGGTTGATCATGTAAAAATAATTAAAGAAGACATGATTTTCCAACATCTATATGTTAATATCAATTATACATGAATCTCCAATAATGATTAATTTGAATAAGTACTTGTATTTTGACATTCACTTTTTCCTAATAATAATTATATGGTTAAAAAGAATCAAAAATCAGGATGAGAATATTAATTTATATTTTCTTAAACATTAAAAGTAGTTAAATTAGGATCTACAGAATTTGTATCTATTATTAATAATATTACACTATTATTGTAAAAAGAAAAGAAGATAAATTAATTATGAATATAATTTAAAGAAAATTTGCAATTATTTTTATATATGGATATATAAGATAGAAGATAGTTCAAGTAGATTAAGAATCAAAATATATATATATATATATATTAATTTATATTAAAAAAAGATTGATATAAAACTTAAGAAAATAAATATAAATCTTAAGAGATAAATAAATATGTGTTAATAATTACTAGATAATATGTTATGATATTAATTAGAATGACATTTAGAATATTAAGTAATTAGATTAATTTAAGGATTCATAATGTAATGTATACATAAAAAGAACTGAAATATATATGAATTCTAGATTGTATAATATTATGTCTATTCTAATTCAGTATGCTTCTTGAGTTAGAGATAAATCATTTAAAATTCTTGATTTACTCATATTCTTGATTTGAATAGTGATGATTGTGATGTTATTAATAAGTATTTAAACAAAAGAATGTACCTTAGAAGTGTTACACGTTAAGAAATGTAAGGGTAAATTGATTCACTCAAATTGCAAATTGAGCAAGCAAGATAGAACCACGAACGTACAATCAAATAAATTAGGTCTGATCATTAGAAAGAGGTAAGGATATTCACATTTGATAGATTACAGTTCTTTAAGATGAAATTAAAAAGACTTAAGAGATAGTAGCTAATGTGCAATTTCAATAATACTTTAAGATGAAGAATGATAACTAAAAGTTATTATAAGAGAATGCATTATTGAGAGATATGCTTAGAGCTTGTTAAATCACAAATTCTACAAAGGAAATGGAAGTATCACGATTAAGATAGAAATTACGTAGAATAGAGGGACAATCATTAGAAGTTCGTAAAGAGCCTAGTAATTAAGTATACTATAAGACGATATTATAAAGTCAAGATAAAATGATTATTCAGTTCTACGCAAATACTCAAATTACAGACATCCAACTTAACCATCATTAAATGAATCGAATACAGAACCATCACCTAAACTATTGCCTATCAAATTCAAAGTTAATTAATGATATATAATTCATCTCTATGAAACCATTCGCACTTTTTATATTCTTTTAATTTCTTACTGTTTTATTTATTGATATTGCTAATTTATATTAAAAAAAGAATACATTTAATTTCTAATGTATATTAGTATAATCAATAGTAGAACAATTAGTTTAATTGTGTTATGTAAACATTCTTTATTTGACAAATTATTCTAATTATTACTCAAAATTGTTTTCTTGTTTATAATTTGATTATTAATTGTAATTTTATTATGAATTGCTTATAGAAGTATTAGAATTTAATCTTTATTTATTTGTAAGATTGAAGAAAAAAGAAAGTTAAGAATTTCTTCTAGATTTGCTATCATTTTATAATTACTAGCATTTCTTTATATTCTATTTACATTTAATCAATTATGTATCTGATTTTAATTATTTAAAGAGTTTGAGATATGCTTATTTATTTTAACCAAATCTATGTTCTGAGATTGTCTTTTTACATAATTATGTATATTTTTTTTCATGTAAATTAGTAATAGCTCTAGTTCTTGAACTACTTGAATCATCAAATGTTTTGGGATCATTCTCATTTACAGAATCTTCATAGAATTATTTTGGAGTAGATAATTTTGGAGTGGTTTATTTTTCAAAAGGTTGAAATAGAGATTGTTAGGTAAAATCAACAATTTGCTTATATTGTATATTTTTGAATGTGTTCTCCGCTTTTAATTTACATAATTCTTACGTCAATCTCTAAGAATTGAACTTGGAGAACTCATATTTTTACATTGAAATTCTATCCCTCTCAGAAGTCATTACTCTTTAATCAGTATCAATTTTTAATGTAAAACTATTATCATATCTGTCTTAAATATTTGTAAAACCAGAACCCAAATTAAATTTAACATCAGCATTTCCATTTTGCCAACCATTTATTGAACCTATTAATTGCTTAGATGTTTTCATAACTCTAAAATTGGCAGGTCCATCATATTAACGTGTACTGTCTATCTTACATAATCTTCTACTTCCAAATTACAATGCTATTTTTCTATCAACATTCTTGTATTTTAAATATAACATACATTTTCTTTAAGGAATAGAAATTATATTGCACGATCTATTGGTGCAGGTTCTGTTGATCTCTCTCTAAATTTAGTGCATTATCCAAAAAAAGAAACCTAAAACAACTTATTGATTATATACATCTTCTTTGGCAGCTACTTTAAGTGCTTCTTCATATTGTAGTCTTTTTCGTTATATAGTTTTTTTTTACATTTATTTTTAGATTATAATAGAGATATGAGTTCAGATGGGGAAACACCTAAATTGAAAAGTTAAGGATCTAAACATGATACTACAAACTCATCAATAGCAAATATTGGAGGAGCTCAATAAAACTTATAAATTTTGAATGACCGCAAAGTTTTAATGATTTATGCATCTGGGGCGACTGCTGCAGAAGGTGAAGTTAGTGAATCTCATATGACTGTAATGAAAGGAAGATTAGAATAAAGATTGAAAAACATTTCATTTCTTTGTGATCTTGAATACACTTAAGTATTTAATTATTCATATCCAAAAGTACCATAATCAAGATGGATGTCTTACAACTCCAATATCTGAATTTGGAAGAAGAACAGTCTATAAAGTTATGGAATTGGAATAAATAACAAATTCTAGACAAACGGTAATTTTATTTTCTCTATCTAGTCTTATACTGATATTAGACATATTGCTGAAATCATAAAAGAAAATTATGAAAAATATAGTGCCTTTGTTATTTTGAGTGGGATTGCAACAATCACTTATCTAGGCACAAATTTATCGTTCATGTTAGAGAATTTACAAAAAACTGTAGTCATAACTGGTTCTCTAATACCATTGTCATTTATGAGAAATGACGCATTTTAAAATATCTTAGATTCATTAATTTTAGCTGGTCATTTCTTGATCCCAGAAGTTGTTATAGTAATGGACCATAAAGCTTATAGAGCCAATAGGTGTAGACAATTAAAATGTGATTCTTTGGATTGTATTGAGAGTCCAAATTTTCCACCTTTGGTAGAATTTGGAATTAATATTGAAATCAAATGGTAATTAGTATTAAGAAGAGGAGAACAAATGTTCACAAATGAAGAAAGCACCTTAGAATTAGCTCCTCATTTTGTGACAGATATCATAATTATAAAAATAACACCATACACAAGTGTTGAACATATTAGACATATTTTAAATACTCCTAAATTGAGATGTTGTATATTAGAATGTTACCACTTTGGTGAGATGCCTCATAGTTAAGAGTTGTATAATGTATTGTTGTATGCTCAATAACAATTGGGAATCATATTAATTCAAATATCTTAATGCACCAAAGGATAACCAATTATCAATTTCAAGAAAGTAGTTAATGGCATTATTGTTTAATATGATATCACACCAGAAAGTGCTTAAGCTAAAATAGCATATTTATTAGGCAAAGGATACACTAATTAAGAAATATTTAGAAAATTCCCATAAAATTTGTAAGGTGAAACTGAATCTGTTAGATAATTTGAAAAATTTGAAGGACAAAAACAACATTTCATATAAACTATTTTAGAGACTCTATAAAAAACATCTGGAGATGAATAAATTAGTCAAAATATGGACATTATGAATAAATATATAATACCTAATTTGGGATGTTTTCTTGCTACAACAGGATAACTAGAATTAATTAAGGATCTTAGAAAGAATGAAGGGAATCTCAATATACCTGATTTTGATGGGAGAACTATACTTCATTTGGCTGCTGCAAATAAATAATTTGAAATCATTAAATATTTAATTGAAGAAGTTGAAGTTGAAATTAATCCAGTTGATTACTTAGGATATTCACCCATGTATGAAGCATTGATTAGTAGAGATAAAGAATTATTATTATTCTTTTAGTAAAATGGAGGCATTATATTAGCACCACATCATGTAATGGTAGATTTAATATTAACTTCTGGTTTAGATGGAGATTTATAGATGTTAGAACTTATTTTTCATGGAGGAATTAAAAATTTGAATGATTTTGTTAATGTTGATAATCGTAGCATAGGTCATATGGCAGTAATGTCTATGAATTTAAAAATCATCAAATTCTTAAGATTTAAAGCTAAATTCGACTTTAGTGAAAGAGATAGATGGGGTAATACTCCATATGAAAATGCAATTGAAATTAAAAGCAAAAAAATTAAAATGTAAATGTTAAATGAAGTGGCTATCAATGAAATCATCGAGATATTGACTACAATAGGAAATGAATGATTTATTTATTAGTATGGTAATTGCTAATATAATAATATTACATAAAGTTAGATCACCAATAATGTGGAATTATTCATTTATTTTTCTTTGCTCTCAAATCAAGCATAAATGTGGCTATATATCTAATGTAAGTAATCTAATCCAAAATAACCTTAAATTAAATATCTTTAGGATCTTCTTTCTAATTAATTAGAGTGATATAAATTTATTTCAGATTCCTGAAATATTGCCATTTTTGAAGAGTCACTTCAATCTTTACAAATAGTCATTAATGGTATATATAGTCGTTTGTTCATAATTAGATTCTATTTCTCTTTCATTATCTACATTAATAGGCACAATAAGATAATTCTATTAATCAATAATATTTAAATCTTTATGATTCTTCATCAAATCGATCTTCTTCTTCATTTCAATTTATTATTAAATTGATAATATATCATATTTTCTTTTAAAACACTATTTATAGTATCTTAATTATTATAGTATAACCTACTTTTACTAATAACTTGAATGAGAGATATTTCTTATATTCAACGCAATATATAACATTAGCCTATAGAGTATATTAAAATTAATACATTAATTCATGCTGAAGATTTGTCATAAATCTTATATTGCCTTCTGCCCAGATTTATTCATTTCATTTTCTTTAATTTACCTCTTAAATAACCTTTCTTTTCTATTTATCTAGTTACTTTTTGCTATATCAATTTAATCTTAATAATTTCAGAAATGATAATTTTATATTTTATCTTGAAACTCCTTAAGTAGATCTATATGCAAAGATATATAGAATCCTTATAAATTGAAAAAATACTTTTACATTTACATCCTAAATGTCTGTTTCTGCATCAGTAGCTATATCAATATCATAATGAATTTCACTTATTATAAAAGTAATAATTTCTCCTTTTGCATATCAGATCCATACCTTCTCCAAATTCCTTATTTATAAAGGAATTAACCCATTATTTATAAAGACTGAATTTATTATCTTATTGTATATATATTTTTTGATCAAAATAGCTACTTTACTTTTGGTAAAGAATTCCATTTACTTTAACTAAAGATAATTTATCTATAGAATTTCTTATTATATTATTCCCCCATTCATGATCTATTGATCAATCTAGTAATTATTTACTATAATCATAAGTTTCTGATAATAATGGAATATAACCATATTCACTATTTCTTAAAGGTTCTTTTTTTTGAGAGTATATTGTTACTTTGGAATATATGAACTTTAACAAAGCATTTCTTAATTTCCTTAAAAGCATATTTATATATTTATAATTTACATGAACAAATTATCATTGCCTTCAGATAACAAGGACAATGAGTTCTTTGATGAGGATGCTATTTCAAAATCAACCATATAGGCATTAAACAATTCCTTTGATAAGGAACAATTAGATGAATAGATTGAAAGACCATTCACACCTTTAGATGCACAAGTTGAGTCTATACCAAAAGAATAGTGTAGATTTTGTAAGCGTCAATTCTTTCAAGGAAAGCTAGCTCTACACTTGCGAAGTTGTACTGCTGATCACCCTTTTGTTAAAAAATCTAATAAACAAAAAACTTAAATACCTTTAACTTAACCAATAATTCAACCTTGTCCTTATTGTCATAAGAAATTGAGGAATCCTTAAATTCATGCTGTAAAATGTCTCGCTAGACCAAAAGCGTTAGACAAATATAAAGTTATTGCATCTATAAATGAAGAAGAAGAAGCAGATGAAACATTGCTCTAGGAACTATCTGCAAGCCAACCTACTTTCTTGCCTAAAATTAAATAGCGTCCTGAAAACTTATTATCTCGCTCTGTTCCTATTGTTAAGTGTCCTTCCTGTTAGAAAACATTTGAATAAAAGGCAGCTGATAAGCATATTTAATTATGTTTTCGAATGAGCAGTGGCAATAAATTTCAGAGAAGTGTATTTTGTACTAATTGTGGAAACAAATTCGCTAATAACCATAAGTACTGTGGTTCTTGTGGAAAAAAAAGACTATGACAAAATTATAAAATTGCAATTTTATTCTCATATATTATTATCACATTTTTACAATAACTTTTATAATTACTATCTATATAGAACCTTTAAGTTATTTAAGTATATTCAATTTTATAATGCATATTTAAATATCTAATAATTATGTGAATTTATTTCATTAAATTATTAAATAAGTTAGAGATTTCATTACATTTTAAAATAAGTGAGATTATCTTAATAATTAATGACATAATATTATTTTTTCTTGCTTTCAAATTTTTGAAAAATTGATTAGATATTCAAAATACGATTACTCAAATTAAATCAAATAAATTTGCTTTTTATTATAATTCTATCAATATTTATTTTTCTTCATAATTAAATTTATAATCTTATCAAACCTCATCATTATCATAAAAATTCTATTATTCTATTGCCCAAATGTAAGTTCATTCATCCACTTACTTTTTTGTTAGGGAGATCTCAAGTAATCTTAATATTCTGAAAGTCAGTAGATAAGGTCAAGAATATCCATATTTGTTAAATTAATTAATAAATGATTCCAAATTAATACTAAATTTTGACTCTTTACAGAATTATTAAAAGTCTTTAAATAATTAAAAATATTTTAATAATTACAAATATAATATGAGTTTAATTAATTTTAGAAAATATAATTTATACATAAAGGATTATAAAATTTTAATATAATGATCATTCATAAATGTTCAGTATAATTATTTTTACAAGAATTTATATTTTATTGTAAGGTCTCATAGTTAATAGAATTATTCTTAAGAAAATAACATATTGCAATAACATGAAACAAATAATTGATATATGAATCATTTAATAAACTTTTGTAATGAAAAAAATATGGACTTTGATCTATAAGGCAATTGAGGATGTTAATTAAAAGTGTGATAAAAATTTAAAGTTAGTTGAAGATGAAGTGAAAAAGATAGTAGTTGAAAAGTAGTAGAAGGATAAATAGATAAATAAAGTTTTAAAAATAAATGAAGGATAAAGAAGATGGAGTAGAAGAAGAATAATTAGATATGATTAAAGAATAAAAATGAAATCAAAAGAAGGAATTAAAATATCATGAGGATAGAGTATACTTTAGATTTTAGAAAAATAAAAAAAAAAGAATGATTTTGATAAGTTTGAGACATATATGTATGACTATGATCATGAAAAGAACAAGAAAATCGATTAATAGGAGAGAATTTTGTTGAAGAGGAAGATGAGAAAGTAAATAAGGAGAAGAATAATGAGTTATAAGAAAATCATAAGGAGGATTCTGTATATGAATATATGAGAAAGGAGGAATTAAAATAAGATAATAATTAAATTTAGGAAAAAGATGAGGAAATAAAAATTTATAGGAGCAAAGATTGAAAAAAAATGATTGGTAAATTGTTGGTGAAGTATAATTATTAAAAAGATGTTACTTAAAAATAAATTGATAGAAATGATCAACGTAAACAAATTAAATAAGTCTAATTGCAGAATTATAAGAAAAATATTTTAAGTAAGCTTTAAGATTACAAAGAATTATGAATGCTGAGTAACATTTGAAATAAGAGTTAGTGGTTTAAAGAGTGATATTAAAAATTGGATTCTTTGACATGAACCAATAGCATTTGTGAAGTAAGTTTAAGTGCAAGATATGGATAATAATGATGGTTTAGAAAGAGGAGAAGGTGTCAACAATAGATGGAAGATGTGTTTTTATTTTAGGGAGGAAGTAGATTTGTAATTAAGTAAAAGGAGTAGAAAGAGAATGATTAATTTGAGAAAGAGGAGGAGAAATGGTTTAATTATGGTATTGAAATGTAGAAGTGAGATTAAATTTAAATATAAAATCAAAATCAACTAGTAAAGAAACATATGAGTTTAATTAAGCAATAAAAAAATAAGGAGAATGTTAAATTTGATAAAAGTAGTATATTTATTAAGAACTTTTAAGAGAATAGAGTTAATAAGTATGATAGTACTAAATCAAGTATAGATATTAGTAGTAAGTCTAAACAAATAAAAAAGTAATGATTCTTTTTGTTGATAATTAATATATTGTATTATTAAATAAATGTTTTAGAATGATGGTAATGGCTAATCGCCTAATTGGTATTCGTTGGAAAGATAGACGGTTAAGGTTATTCGGAATAATGCGAATTTATGCCCAGGAATAAAAAATCATACATCTGTTCATTACAAGAATTAGATATTTATATTTGGAGGATATGATTCTAAAAAGAATCACAATGATATCCACATTTATAAAGATGGAAATTGGACAAAGTGTAAAGCCAATGGGAGAATTCCAGAGAGTAGAAATGGACATACAGCAACAGTAGTAGATAATAAGATGTACGTAATTGGTGGTTGGTTGGGAAGTGGAATATATGCTAGTAGGGATGTATATGTATTAGATCTGGATTGTTTGAATTGGACACTTGTAAATACAATGGGAGAAGTATGATTAAAAAATAAATTTAAGGTTCCAGGTCCATGCAATATGCATAGTGCTGATTTAATTGCTTAATTGATATTCATTTTTAGAGGAGGGGATGGAAAGGATTATTTGAATGATTTGCATAGTTTTAATACTAAAACCAATATGTGGAAATTAGTATAGACTGCAGAGAATTAGAGACCTCCACCTAGAGCCAATCATAGTTCTGCTGTATGGCAAAATAAATTGTTTATTTTTGGAGGTTGGGATGGATCTAAAAGACTGAATGATTTACATTGTTATGATGTGACAACTAATAAGTGGTGTGAATTAAAACCAATTCAATCTCCTAGTGCTAGAGCAGGAATGTGCATGACTACTATAGAAAATAAGATATTCTTGTTTGGTGGGAGTGGACCATAAACTACTTGTTTTGGAGATTTATAATGTTATGATCCTATTAAAAATGCATGGACTATTATTGAACTTTAAGATGATGAATAATTTGATAAGGCTAGAGCTGGTCATAGTATGACTGCTATTGGTAATCTTATTTATATATTTGGTGGATCTTGTGGATCTTATTATTTCAAAGATTATTTCATTATTGATACTGATCCACCTCCAAATATTTCTGTGGCTGATTTCAATAATATCTCTATTAATCAATATTTCAGAGGCTTTTTCAATTCATCTAAATACAGTGATATCATATTTATTGTGGAAGACAAACAATTATATGCACATAAAATAGTTTTATCTCGATATGAAATGTTTAATAAAATGTTTGAATGGGAATACAAAAATCAACAATAGAAAGTTTTTATTAATGATTGCTCATCCTTTATTTTTGAATAATTATTATACTTTATTTACACAGGAGATGTAAATATAATATTTATTTTAGTTATAATGTGATCAATTTTAATAATCTATTGAATTCTATAGACAATTTTTATAATTAGCTGATTATTATTTGATACTAGATTTGAAATCTTTGTGTGAGAAATAGTTATCCTTATTGATTGATAATACTACTTTGCCTAAAATTAAGTTATATGCTGAATAAATGAATGCATATCAATTGTTAAAATTTTGTGATTGGTATGAAAGCCATAATAACTGATTCTATATATATATATTTCTTTAATATTTATTATTCACTCAATCAGAGTTTTACTCCAAAATTAATCATGCCATTATTTAAATGTGTTCTTTATGGTTTATCTAGTTTATGTCAAAATTGCTGGATCATTAGCACTTGGAGCTTTCAAATCAACACAATGAGAGCAATCATCACAATCAATTAAATAAGTTATCACTTTGCTATTAGCTTTAGTTTTATTAGTCAAAGATGCTCTTTACCAAGGATCTTCACCTCCATTAGTCATAATCAAATGATCAACATTCAAATTCAAACCTCCAAAATAAGCTTCAGTGACTCTGACATCTGGCCAAATTATTTCTCCCTAAGAATAAGCATCATTGCACCATTCTCTCCACCAATCTAATGTCATTTCATAAGATCTTAAAGAATTTTTATTCTATCATTTGATTTTAATTATACTTATGGAGGTGTTTATAAATAAGCAACTTCAGTACAGCATTAGAAATACCATTAACGATGTTGGGAATTCTCATCAATGGTCTCATTTCTTAAATAATAAGCACCATATTGTTTATAACTATCTCCTTAAGATAGAGCAATTTCCTTAATGTATTCAGCCATACTTTCAATGGATGGTAAAGATTCAAGAGTTTAACAAAACTTTGTTCTCTTTCCTTATTAGACCATTTAAACAATGGTATCAACCCAGAACCATCTGAATTCGTTGTCTGTCATTTTTCCACATCTATAGGATTCCTTGAATGCCTATTTAGTATTGAAATTCTTTAAATTCTTATCAACATAACTATTCAATAACTATAAGTAGAGTGGACATCTAGAGTATGTTAATTTATAAATATATACTATTCACCACTTTTGCTAGTACTTTTTCTAATTTGATCATCGAATTACCAAAAGTCAAGAATTGTGTTGATGACTCCACTACTAGCCAAATTACCAACTGTCAAATGAGGGTATTTGTATCTGAACCAAGCTGACAAAGCCCCAGGATATGAACCTCCAATTGCATACCTATATATATTAAGATATCTTATATACCAAGGCAATGTAGAATCGATGTTATGAAGTTGAAGTCTCTTCATTTACAATATAAAATAGGCTAGATCATCTAAGGCTTGATGAACATTTAAATAAGACAAGTTTTCCAAACTCCATGAATCTGCTCCAAATGGTTGAGATTGTCCATAGAATCTGTGTTCTAATGCTATAACAATTGCACCTAAATCTTTAGCCAATTAAAAGGAGAATGAATTATCACTTACACCTTAACAATTCCATTCTCCACAAATATATAAGATCACTCCACCTTTAGTTGGATTATAATATTGAGAATACACATGGTATCTCTATTGCCATGTTTGATTATTGGCAGGGTCACTGTGATCCAAGAGCTATGTGAATTGAAAAGTCTCTTTAGTTTCTGTGAAGGGTCCTTACGTCAACACATGAGGAGCGATTGCGTAAGAGCAAATTGTTAATGCTGACAAAATCAAATACATAATTTATTAATTAAATTACACAATATCAATCAAATATATATAGTGTCATCACCTCATATTATTTTGACTTAAACAATTGAAATGTTGATTCATAATCTTGTAAACTCTAATCATATTTTCCATATATCAAAAGATCTTTTTAAATTTTTTGATGCTTTTTCTAAAAAATAGAGATTATGTAATTGTTAAAACATTGATCCAATAAAACTTACTTTATTCATATTAATTTTTAGTATAATCAATAAATTTCTTGATGTTCAAACACATTATCTATTTTATTAACCAATATTATGTTCTTCTAAATGATTCATTATATCTGTATAGATCTCATCTTTTTTTAATTTTTGAGTATAAATTTCATTAGTCTTAAAAATACTTATTCTTATTCTAAGATTTAATGAAAAGCACTAAAATGGAGTTTAAATTCTCAAATAATAAAAATAAATTCTAATGTTTCTGTTATTTATTATTATAGTTGAATTGTGTGTAAATAAATTTAATTAGTCCTTGAGAAGATGTGTTTATTAAGCATAGATTTTATAATGGTTAACTTATGTGATTGGTATTATAATTGCATCTGATTATATTGATTTAAATTTTAAATTATAATATATGAGCAAAGATAATAAGGGTGAAATTGATGTTGATAATATCATTGAAAGACTGTTAAGTGTCAGAGGAAGTAAACCAGGAAAGAATGTCAACTTAACAGAAGCAGAAGTCAGAGGATTGTGTATAAAAGCTAGAGACATTTTTATTTCTCAACCAATTTTATTGGAACTTGAGGCTCCATTAAAAATCTGTGGTTAGTTTATGATAATATGGGTTTATAGGTGATGTGCATGGTTAATATTTTGATTTACTTAGATTGTTTGAGTATGGAGGATACCCTCCTGAGAGTAATTATCTATTTCTTGGTGATTATGTTGATAGAGGTATAATTAAAATGATCTATTTGATTAGGAAAGTAATCATTAGAAACTATTTGTCTACTTTTAGCTTACAAAATAAAATATCCTGAGAATTTCTTTTTACTTAGAGGCAATCATGAATGTGCATCTATTAACAGAATTTATGGATTCTATGATGAATGTAAATAGATCAATTTGTCATTATAGGCAAGAGAAGATATACTATAAAATTATGGAAGACCTTTACTGATTGCTTTAATTGTCTACCTGTGGCTGCATTAATTGATGAAAAGATTTTATGTATGCATGGCGGATTATCACCTGAATTATCAAATTTGGAACAAATAAGAAGAATAATGAGACCAACAGATGTTCCAGATACTGGATTACTTTGTGATTTATTATGGTCTGATCCTGATAAAGATGTATAAGGATGGGCTGATAATGAAAGAGGAGTTTCATATGTTTTTAGTCAAGAGATAGTATAAGTATTTTTGAAAAAGCATGAATTAGATTTAATATGTAGAGCACATCAAGTATAAATTGATAAAATATTATTTATAGGTAGTTGAAGATGGATATGAATTTTTTAGTAAAAGATAATTAGTAACATTATTTTCAGCTCCTAATTATTGTGGTGAATTTGATAATGCAGGTAATATATTCATTAAATAAAATAAGGATCTATGATGACAGTGGATGAATCACTTATGTGTTCTTTTTAAATTTTAAAACCAGCAGAATAGGGATAAGGAGCATCTTAATAAAACAAAGCAGGAAGTGCTAAATTTGTGAATTGAATTATCATAATTTAATAATTAAATTTAGGCATTTCAACATAATATATATATTTTTAATGATGAATTATTAGTAAATGACTTAAGTTGATCTCAAAGCTATAGAAATGGTATTTGCTTTACTTTTGTTAAGTTGTTTAACTTATACATGGTTTACTTTTATTTCGCTTAAGTTTACAATCATACTTGCTCTAACAATTTGTTCACTTATTGTTCTGTTGAAAATTAAATGGATAAGAATTAAAAGAAAAGGATTTTTAAACAATATTTCTGATAAATTTAGAAAGATTTTATTAGAAAGATCTTTATTTGATATTTTGTGTGATATTTGGTATTTTGAAACAATTAAGAGACATTTAAGAGTATTTTTAAGTCCATTTCTAATTAAAAAATCTCCAGAAGAAATTATAGAATCATTTGATGATATCAATCCTTAATTGAAAGAAGCTATCCTTAGAAAAGGAACTATAAATTTGTTTCCTGAACCAATTAAAAAGGAATTAGTTGAAAATTACATTTAAGAAGATGAACTACAAATTAATTAAGATAAACAATTACATTAATAAATCATTCAATAACCAGTTAAAGTAGAACATTGGGATAGATATGTCGATTATGAATAGTATACATAAAAAAAAAGAAAAAATAATTCTTAAACCTTATTACATGTTATCTCATTGTTAATGCATAAACCTATTGTACATAAGGAGAACCATAAAATTAATTTAAGAAAGTATTATATGATTTTCAACAATTTTGTAGATTATCAAGCAAAACAAAATCCTTATTAATAGGATCTATCATTTGTATTATGGTTCAAATGTATTTTTCGAAATCATCAAGAAGAATTTATCAAAAGGCATTTACAGTCTTATCATCTATGTCTCTATTGGGATTAGCTTCCACTGCTTTAGGAGTCATAGCTTTAAGTAATAAAAAATAAAAAACATTATGATTTTTATCAAATATTATATATAACAAATATATAAATTTAATATTATTTTACATGAAAGAAAATCTTAAAACTGAAATGAGTGATACTACTTTTAGAAGGGAAGCCACTTTTTCATTAAATTATATTAGCAGCTCACAAATCTTTTATGAAAATAGAAGACCTTCAACTAAAAAATCTCTTTATCTAAGAACCTCTTAAAACTAAGTAAGACTACCTCATTTTTAAACTCAAATTATATAGAGAAATGAATAATGTATCAAGACTGAAAAGAATAATACAATTATATCAGGAAAGACTTATATTACTAAAGCAATGGAGCATTAATATTTAAGAATTTCTAGTGAGAATTTAATAGCACCTTTTGGTTGTCAAATTTAATGTACTAGTGAATTTTAATTAATGATTTCATAGATTCATCCTTTTCCAACAAATTATAATTGTGAGTAAGTAATTAATAATAGAGGTTTTATTGTTTCAGTGATAATAGGTGAATTTATTTATATTTCAATCATTACTCGAAAAGATTCAGAACTTATATTCAATCTTTAATTTAATTTATAATTTGAAGATAATAATTAAAGAATTAAAACTCTTTAAGATACTCCATTAACTGATTTTCAATAAATGTTAAAATTCTCTCATTCTAAATCTTTTTAATGTATAATCAATTCCAATAAAGAATAGGCAGGAATTAAAAAAAATAGATATTAAGATGAAATATCAAGATCAGAAAGATTCTTGAAAGTATTATCAACTAGAAATTTTTAAAGATAATCTAAAACACAAGCAAAAATGTAAAAGTAATATCAAATAAAAGCTAAGAAATTGGCAAATCAAGAGAAAATCATAACTAAAATTATAAATGACAAGAAAACTCAAAAAGTAATATTTGAATAATAATGGGCCATTATTATTTATTTTATTAAAATGAGTTAAAGAATTTTTGATGTATTTTGGCATAAAAAGTAAGTAATGAAAAAGAATAGATTAGTAGCATTTCGAATTAAATCACTCTTAAGATAAATGAAAAAAAAAATAATATGTCCAAAAGGAGAATTTTTAGAAACAAGAGTTTTAGTTGATTGTTTTATTTCAATTAAGGCTAAAACAAAAACAATAAGGAGGATAATAAGAAATAAATAGATTTAAATATTATTACCTTGTTTATAATAAAGAGCAGCTATTTACTGTATAAAAATGAAAATGATAAGGTTAGGAGATAAACTTAATATTATCAAGAAACATATTTTATATTTTGAAGAAAATTATACAAAATATAAAAGTGATATGATTGTTAAATGGGATAATTTAAATGAGAAAATAAAGGATGAAGAAATAAAATGGAAATAGGCAGCTTTGAGAAATAAAGGATTAGTTACTTGGTTTTAAGTGTTGAAAGATAAAGAATTTTAATAATAGATGAGGAAATGTTTTATTTTTGAATTAATGAGAGATAGAATAAGATAACATATAAAAGATTAGTAATTAATTAAGAAAAATAGAATGGATCTTAAATATTATAAATAAAAATTAAGAGTTTGTAGAGATTTTGTGGAAGCTAATACATATAGAGGTGAAATATTTAGATTAACTAATGATATATATGCAATGCATATGAAGAATTAATTATTTATGCATGTTGATGTTGAGAAGTATTTTCATTTATTAGTAAGTAAATATATAATTTTGGTTGATGAACCTGATAATTTGCCTAATGAATTGTAAATATAATAGAAATAGAAATAAAGATAATCTAGACTTACAATAAGAAGAATAACAAAAAAATCTAAATTTTGATTAATAATTTCTTGTTTTTAATATTTTTTCTAAAAATTACAATATTAATTTAACACGTACTAAATCGTATACATATATCATTATTATTAATCTTCTCTTTTTTTGCTTGCAAATGTTTTTTATCTTTGCAAATCCTTTTTCTTTAATTTCTATAGTTCATGTCTTTTTTATCGTCTTTCTTTGTTTCTCAATTTTTTGGCTTTTAATCTTTATTAAGTTTTAGATTTAGCATTAGGTTAAGTTGGTAATAAAACAGGTTTTTTCTAAATAGACAAAAAAACATACTTTAATCTATTTCTATTGATCGTGACAATATAAACGATAGATATTAGATAATGAATCAGCAAATTTATTAATTTGTTATTTATTTGAAGATGTAGAAATTGTTAATTTCTGTGTTTATGATCTAATGATAATTTCATTAATATCATTAACTTATTTAATTTCACTCAATAATTGTTACTTCTATTTTCTTCTCAATCTTTTTCGAAGTTGTGGATATTGCTCTTTCAAATCTATAAATAATAAATAACTTATATACTTCTCTTGATAGTTAATTTAATGATTTTCTCACCATTAAACAATTTAGATAATTAACTTAAAAAACTATCTGGTTTCTTCTTTCCCATATATAATTATTTATTATTAAAAATATTAAATTGTATAATATATATATATGCTCCAAATTAATCAAATGCCTGCTAAATGTCCTTCCATAATTAATTTTCTTGTTTCATCAAAAACTTTCTCAGGATCTACATTAACTTTGGCAACACCTGTCTTCATAGCAGCTATAGCAACAGCTCTAGCAACATTAGCTGGAATTTCTGCTGTCAAAGCTCCTGGTAAAATCTTTGTTGTACTAAGTTCTGATTCTTTGATACTATTGGCTATAGCATAAGCAGCAGCAATCTATATATTTATTATAATATAAATAATACCTTCATTTCCAAATTAATCTCTTTAGCTCTTGTATCAATAGCACCTCTAAATATACCTGGGAAAGCCAAAGAATTATTGACTTAATTATTGAAATCTGATCTTCCTGTAGCAACTATGAATGCACCAGCTTCAATTGCTTCATCAGGCATTATTTCAGGAACAGGATTGGCTAAAGCTAAAATAAAAGGATCTTTATTCATTGCTTTGACCATATCTTAAGTTAAAGCACCCTATATAATTATTATATTTAGAATTACAGCACTAGATACTCCAACAAAGAGATCTCTTCCTTTAACTGCATCTGCAAGTGAACCTTAAATTTTATTTTTATTAGTGAATTTGGCTAAATCATTTTTAAAATTGTTCATATTTTATGGTCTACCTTCATAAATGATTCCTGATGTATCACACATTACAATATCTTCTATTCCATGTCCATGTAATAATTTACAAATTGCAACACCAGCAGCACTATAATAATTTTATCAAATATATATACCCAGCTCCATTTATAACTAATTTTAAATCCTTCACATTTTTCTTAGTTAATTTTAGATAATTTATGACAGCTGCTAAACTAACAACAGCTGTTCCATGTTAATCATCATGCATTAATGGAATATGTAAACTATGAACTGCTTCTTCTTCTATTGGGAAACAATCAGGAGCTCTTAAATCTTCTAAATTAATGGCTGAAAATATAGGAGCAATGCTTTAATATATTTATATTGGAAATACCATTTAATAATTCTAACTAATTTATGAGGATCTTTCTCTTTAAGACAGATTGGCATTAAATCTATACCTCCTAATGCATTGAATAAAACAGATTTGCCTTCCATAACTGGTGATCCTGCTGATGGTCCAATATTACCCAAACCAAGAATGGCTGTACCATTTGTTATGATGGCAGCATAATTCTTTTTAAAAGTAATTTCTCTTAATTTTGTTGGATCATCTATAAGTATTTGTCTAAGTTATGCCAATTCATCTTATTAGTAAGATGTTTCATAAATTCTAAACAAATCTTCAAGGGATCTTGGATTAAACTTGAGTTCGATTGTAATCATTCCATTGTATCTTTTATGTAATTCTAAAGAATTCTAATTGAAATCATTATTTTATAACAGATGATCATTAGACCATTTGTTATAATAAGCAACCTCTCCATATATATAAAGATCATTTAATTTATTAATAAAGATTTCTGGTTTAATATTTGAAACAGTATGATGACACCATTTATTATTGTAGATTTCTTGTAATCCTTGAGCATAAGCTTTATTTAATGTGATAGTCAAATAGGATGGTAAATTTGTAAAATCAATTGTTGTAATTGATTTTTTTATTTATTCACATTAAGAGGGTTTAAGAATAGCTCTTGCATCAAGAGTAGCCTTGACCAACGCAGCATCATATAGTTATTCCCTCAAATTGTGTGAGTTTGAAATAATCACAGTACATTATAGATTGGCATTTTCTACAGCTGTTAGTATTTGTGAAGCTAAAGTATCTTCGATGTCAATTAAAACTATAGTCTAAAAATAGACTAAAAAAATACTTTATATGTAGGTGACAAATTGTCCATAACTAGAACATAATCAGATACATCTGTCATAATATTTCTATCCAAGATTATAGGATAGGCATCAACATCATAAAATGCTTTATATAAAGCACTAATGGCTTCTAGATTAGGAATCATCTTAGATGAACGAGGGAGGTTGAATTCTATGGGATAATGTATATATATATTTACTTGATCCATCAGCAAGAAGTGCAATTGAATTTCCAGTTATTGTCAAATCATACAGTTAATCAGGGTCTTTTTGGATCACCTTACAAATATGGCCAACTCCAGGAGTATAGACGAGGGAAAGAGTATAATTGTCAGTAACTCTAACTTTAGGCTTTATTTTGATTAATCCATTTGTTCTGAGGAACAAGTTTTTTAAACTCTGTTGGGGCTGCATATAAATTTTATTAATATGATATTTCCAATTTTTGTTTTTTTCATTTAATATATATATAATATATATGATATAATCATTAGCTAGCAATGTCAATTTTCTAAATCATAATTAACCAATCACTTATATTGATAATAAAAAGGACACACTTATTAATAATAGAGCTAAGTATTTAAATTGCATTCCTTTAAATGATGCTGTACCATTAAAAAATGCTCTAGAGAAATTTAAGAAATTGAAAGAAGATGAAAAATAATAGATTAGAAATTTTAGGAAAAATAAGATTTATGATTTTTTAGAATTCAAAAAAGTTATGCATTAACTATCTGAATCCATTTCATAGTCTCTTAATGAAATTAGTAAATAAATCAATGAAAGAATTGAAAAGATTGCTGGTGTTATTCAATAAGCATAATCAGTATTTGATATTAATGAATATTGACTATAAGTGGATTGTAGAATATAGGATTACAATTAAATTGATAAGGAAATGAGTTTTCATTAATTAAAGCTGGTTAAAGAAGTTACATGTCTCTATTTTAGTCGTAAGAATAATTGTTTTATATCTGGAAGTCGAGATAAGACACTTAGATTATGGAAAGAGTTTAGTAATAGTGAATGGGGATGTATTTAGATTTTAGAAGGTAATAGTTTTTGTATCAATTGTGTTATCATGAACTAATATGAAGATTAAATCTTATCTAGTAGAGATGATAATAAAATAAAAGTTTGGATGTAAGTATCTTTACTTTCATCATAATAACCACAATCGAAATGCTATTAAACTCTATAAGATCATAAAAAGGATGTTTATTCTTTGAGTTTAAATTAAGCTAGTACTATGTTAGTATCTGGTTCTTATGATAAAACTATTATTATTTATGATATGGATGACTAATAATAATGGAAACTCAAATAAGTGATATAGAATGATTATGAAAATTGGTACATTCAGTATGTGTAATTAATGATAAATTGATTGCTACAAAATTATATAATGGAATACTTATACTTTATCAATATATGGAATCAGTTGAATCATTCGAATAGATTCAAGAATGTAGAACTTAGCAAATCAAAAAATGAGTTATTTTGATTTCTTTCACATGTTCTATAATCAATAATTATAATCTATTTTCTGTAGACATCTAGATTCTATTTATATTTTATTTTAATAAACAACAGGAAGATATGGAATCCAATAGAAAATTATAGATACTTATAGAGGTGATAGTTTGACTGACAATGAAGAATACATTGCATTATGGAATAACAATACTAAATAATTAAAAATTAGATAATAAGAATATTTGAAATATATTTTGATATTAAATAGAATGAGATAAAAATAGTATTTAAAAAAAATCAATCTTCCAATTTTAATCTGGCTTCATTTAGGAGAATTTAATCAAATATATCTATTAACTTTTATGCCAGACGATATCCTCCAATAGCCAAATTCTCTTCACAAAATTATTATGCTTATTAGACATAGTCTTTGTTGTAGCTATTTGATTAAGCAATCATTGGATATACAAATTAAACTGCTTATCTATATCCAACATAAGTCCAAACAGTTGGATTACTATTTAAATATTAATTTATATTAATACGTCATATCAATATTGTTGTATTTCGTAAATTAATACTTTTAAATTACATCCAAAGACCACTTATTTAAATATTCTAAATCATTTTAACTCAATGGTCTTACTAAAAAAGAGTTATTGGGACTAAATGCAAATGCACCTGCATCCCAAAAAGAATGCAAATTTACTAAAGTTCCATTCTCCAACTAAAAATATCTTTTTCAATTTTACCTGCACTTTCATGAAATTTCCGCCTTAATCTCCATTTGGATAACTTGAATTCCAAAATGTAGTATCATGTAAGGGTTGATGCAAGTCTCCAATGACATGAAGAAGTACTCTTAACATCTAAGCTTTGAACATTGTATGTCTATTCTTAGCTGTTTTAGTGTTAGTCAACACTGAAACTGCTTGGTTAATTGCATAAATAGAATTAATATTTCTGGTTTGATCATCTAACTTTATTAATAAACCATCTGGGTTTATTGGTCTATCAGTATAATGCCAATCATTCATAAAGGATGTTCCTGTTTCCTTTATGTCATCCATCCACACTGCAGCCTCTGCAAATGTGTTAGATTTTCCATCAGTGAGTGGGTTCAAATCTTAGACTAATGAATCAGCCCAAGCTAACACATCTGGACGATTGTCTTTTAAGTAATTCTTTGCTATTTATGCAGTCATCATGTGACCAACATCCCACCAACATTATACTACATAGCTTATTGTTATAAGAAGAAAAGCCTTCATTTTATTTATTTATTAATCTAAATCCTGTAGTTCTTAAGTTAAATACTCCAATTTTATAATTAAGGACTTAGTATATTTGCATATATTACCACATTATTTGAATTTAGTTTTTGGCGGCTATTATAAAATAGTATAAAATGGTTAGAAACATATGTATATAATTAATTTGGATTATAAAATAATTTATAATAAGATTATATATATGAAGATAGTATTATCTACTTGAAATCAATATCATTTTCTTTTAAATTATTAATCTGATTGATATTTCTTAAAAATTGGTTTAAGTTTCTTATCCTACAATCATATGAAATTCATTACCTTCTCTTACATGATGGTAGAATATTGAAAGTGTCCTTACAATTACTCTACACCCTAGATCCTTGCATAAGTTATTTCACATATCTTAATTAATTCATATTTTTTACTTTGTCTGAATTGAAGAGTTTCCATTTTCGTCCATGAAACTCTAAAAAAAATTTAGGAATGAATTTTGAATCCAAAAAATTAATAAAGGCATACCCCACATTACATTTATTCTATGATATCTAAAAAATTACAGTAAAATCAATAGGGAGATAAAAAAAATCATAATTGTCTTTATGATTGATGTCAAAATTCTCCAATAACATAGGCTATGTATATTTATTTGGAATGTTCCTTATCATTAAGGTAGTTCTCTCATCTCCAGGAATCTATTTAGAGTTTATATTAATACCGAATCTAATTTAATTTGATATTGGGTTATTTGTGCTTATGGTTCATATCTTCTCTTATTTTTGAACTGAAATTACTAAAATGAAGTAGGCATAGTTTTATAAAATATATCTTCTTTATTTTATTCTAAACCAGATTAATTGAGTTCCTAATTGTGAAAGGAAGTAGATAAAGTCTCAGGCAATGTTGATGTATTAGAACATATCGTTATTGATCTATTTTTCATAAGTTATTAATTCTAAATATTTGGAAGAAATTGATCATCGTGTTACTTTGAATAAAACACTATGTTTACTTTGTGTTCGTCATCTGAATCTGGTTTTACAGACTGTTTGCCTTATGCATTTGGTTTAGGTCGTACAAACAACCTAAAACATGATGGGTTAATAGTAAAAGATGGCTGCATTAAAATAATATATTTAATATAAAGATTTTAATGAGCAAAGCTTATTTAGCTGTGAAGAATTTTAAGTGGTCTGAGATGGTTAACTTGCTTGCTTATGGAGTAAAGCATCCTGATACTCTTTCTTAAACTCAAAGAATTACCAGATTATATAGGTTAAACTAATTATATTCTTAGAGCAACAATCAGAAGACATTATACATCATAATTAGAGAATTTTAAAGGTGATCATATTAGATTCTATAACGAGATGCAATTAGCCCAAAAAGATTTTAATAGATTATAGGAATTGAATAATAATTATGCAAGTAAATTACATTTCTAAAACTAATTAGATTTAAATCAAGAATAGAAAGTAGAATTTTAACTATTAGAAAATAAATGGGTCAATTGGTTAGAGACCAACTATGATGCATTTTTATATGTCGATGAATGTAGACCATATTCAAGCACTTCAACCAGATATATTGTTTATACTGATGAAGAATTGAAATTTGATCCTCTAGGCTTTTATAAATAAAGACCAGTTCATGATGGTAAATTTGATCCACACTTGCCCTATTTCAGAGATTATCCATATGCTGAATCATGGTGGAATATGAATGAATCATTCCCAACAGGTAAAAACTCATCTCTATCAATATAGATTTGGATGATACACCAGAAAAACAACATTGATTTATTAAATTCAAAATATCAAAAAAACAAAATACAAAATATGCAATAAAAATATTCCTTTATTCTAAAAATGTTGTTTTATATAATAGTTATTTACAAATAATAATTATTTTTTTTAGTTTAAATAGAATCTCTTAGTATTCATAATTATATCTAAACTTCATATAATCTTGTATGTTAAGGAAATTCATTATTATAAAAAAAGGAAAATATGTTTAATTGAATATTATTTGATTATTTTAAGAAACTAATAAAGTCAATTTGCCTTCTATTATTTTTACTTGTCATGATCAAATACTGCATCAAATACTTCTTTTAAACCTTCCAAATTAAATGCAATATTTAAATAAGCAAAAGGAATATTTATATTGATAGTTCCTTAAGCTATAAAATGTTCTGCTAAAATTAAAAATAACTATCTTTATGAAATAGAAATACTCTGTAAATAAAATGAAAATCTGATTATGGATTTTTAATTGATTAAAATTGATAATCTGCTTTAATTTCATCTATTAATTATCTTGCTGTTGGTTGATCCTCAGCTAATTCTTCTAATCCCATAGCTTTCAAGAATTAGTTTACATCTTCCATATTTTTAAACTATAAATGAAATTTGGAACTCTTAAATAACATAGGCCATAAAAATTCTTTTTAAAATTTCCTTCCTTTTTATTGAGCAATTTTTTGAGCAAATTATTATCCTAGACTAGCTAAAATAACACCAGCTAATTTTTTGCTTAAATCACTATTAAAATCAGATTTAAATTCCATAATAAATCCTTCTAATAAAAATTTAATAAATATTTAGTCCTTTCTCATTAATTTAGTAATTCCATTCTTAATCCCAAATAGATATTTTGCAAATATTTCAACATCTTAGCCTAATTTTTCACAATATGGTAAATATCCTGATTGAAATGTCATATCAATTAATGGATGACTTACATTAATTGCAATAGCAACTGAATCTTTCCTATCTTAAAATTAAATATTTAATGAATTTTCTATTATTGGTAGTAGAATTTAATCTTACTTTTCTTTTAATTTTTATTTATATTCATTCCACAATTATTCCAGTTTTTCTCTTGCTAAAGGTGGTTTCATTGATCTAAAAATAAAGACAATTTATAATGATTAGGATTATTGAAAACCAACTTCTTATTAAATATCCTCTTGAACTCCTGATCCTTTATATCTGAATTTGATGTCAAATTTAAAATGAGATTAGAAATCTCCATAATTTATTGCCCAATAATGACGATCTAATTTAGGATCATATTTCTATTCAAGTGATACACCAAATCTTGTAAATTCAGAATTAATAGATTTTAGCATATTCATTAATTTCAATTTCATAAAAACTAATTTTTCTAATTTATCATTCTTTCCAAATTACCACCAATCCCAAAATTCTTCAAATGATATTTTAGCATCTCCATTTGTGTCAACTACTTTCATTAACTAATAAATTGAATATTCATATATACTCTATCAACATCTTCCTGAGTAATTTCTTCATTCATTTATCTACTAATCTCAATTAATTCATTAGATTCTACATAACCATTGCCATCTTTATCAAATTTTTTAAATACTTCAAAAAGTTATGTTTTTGTTTAATTTATCATTTTTATTTTATTTTTTTTTTAACAAAATTTATTCATATTACATCATTAAGTCATATATATTATATACATAATTTATATTAGCAGATAAAAATATATTTTTAAACATACAAATTGTATGTCAATTTTTCAAACAATTCAGCTTATTATGACATTAACTTATTGATATATATAAATATAATAAAATCATATTTGTGTTATGTATTACAGTTAAAAAGTAAATTTTTTAAATTCTGTTTTATATGAAATACGTTTATCCGCAAGAAGTAAAATTTAATAATAACCTTTTATTTGAAAGGATTGTTCTTAATATCGGTCTACAAAATGAGTTCTTCATACTTATTTGTTAAAATTACTTAAGAGATTTCTTGATTATGAGAAAATGCGAAAATTCTCATAGGAAAATGAGAATTTAAATTTCCACGTGCATATTTAAGCTATATAAAAATTATTACATTCCTTTTGAATTGTTACTCTATGACTTATGATTTAATACGTCATGGAATATAAGCATTTTAATAGATTTTGCCGCAAAGAATAAAATTGAATTAAAGAGGGATAAAAAGAGATGATGATGAAATTTAAGCCATTTTAAAGGAGTATGTAGATAAATTTAAATAAAGAAAAAAGTGAAAATCAATTTCTTGCATGATTTGATTGCATAGTTCCTTCCAAATATGCAAGTTATTATTTTGCATTTTTAATTATGAGTTCAAGGTTCCAAGCTACACATTTAAGATCTGTTATTTCCTTGTTTTATTGTCGATAGTCAGATTATCTATTAAATTAATCTTCCTCTTCCCATCCATCACATTCATAGGAGGATTCATCTGGTGAAATATATTTATATATTTTTTTCTGTTTTTATTTTCTACAAAAGCATCCTTTCTCCTTCTTTTTAATTTTTTTAGCAATTCCTAATCCATCTGAATGTCTTTAAGTTGAATTATTATCATCTATGAGTATATTCTAAAGTGGGGCTATTTGAGTCATTTAATAAATATTTATATATAAATTATTAACTCAAAAACGACAATTGGTTTCATTATCTATATTAATTTAGCTATCCGTTTTAAAAATGTACTTATGCTCTTAAATAGAATACATAATTTTAGTGTTATATATTTCAAATCAAATAATAATTCCATGTTCTACATGAAAACATTGTTGAAATCATGATTGAATTATAAAAAGAAAAAATTTTTCTGTTATTTTACTATATGATTAATTTTAATATTTTCTAATTTAAATGAGAATCTTTACAATCTTTATATATAATAATTTAATATAATAATCAAATAGTTCATAAATATGGAAATCCTCTAAAATTTTCATTTCCCTTATTTTATCCAAAATAATTCTAAAAATTATTCTAGAATTATTATCCTTATGGTTATTGTTACTGTGATTGCTATTATTAAGATAAACTCATTAATTCTACTTAATAGAACAATAATTTACATTAAATCAAAGCTTAACTATTTTATTATACCATGAAATTAGAATCCATATGTTGTTGTTATCTTTAAAATTGATTATTGCATTATTTCTTCATATAACTATTATCATATTAGGAAATATCTTATTTTACTAATTACATTTAAGTTAAATATATACTTGATTATAATTATTGTTCTTATTGTTATTAAGTTTTCATAATTTTTTCTAGAAATGAATTATGTTCTTGTAATTACTTTTAATCCTTCTGTTATCCAGGTTCTAAATTGCTTATTCAAATATGATACTGTTTTGATTTAATTGTTAAAGATTTAATAGATTATTAAATTATTGATCAACATGATTATCTTTTTTAAATATAAATAATTACTTGGTTCTTATTATGGAATTGAAGTTTATGATGGTACCTATACACCTACAAGTTATTAAACTGTTTATTGGTTTTAGGATTAATTCATATTAGTAATTAAGGTGGCTAATAAGTAAGACAATGTATCAATTTTTCTTTCGTCAGTCTCTCTGATTCTTTTGATTTCCTTTAGAAATTATTGAGTTAGAATAGATTACTTGCCATAATAATTTATTTTCATTGATCAAATGATCATTTTAGGTCATGATTAAAATCAATGCTTTTTATAATTCATGTTATTTTCCTTTAATGCCTAACATTTCATTAAGAAAAAATTAATAATCATTTTTTAGCTTAGACATATCTACTTCCATTGAATTATTGGCTATTATAAATGACATATAATTTTACAATTCTAACTTGAATTTTAATTTCTTTCATCAAACTATTCTACCTAATCTCCTTACTTTCTTTTAATTTCACATAGCAAATGCCTTTTAGACATATGAATTAATGATTACTTATTTCCTCTCTAAAAATATTTATGTCTAAATTCATTATCTCCCCCTTCATTTTTCATTTTATGAAAATCATACATATTCAATTATCTTACAAATGAGGCATAATTATTATGCTTAAAGTGGTTAGGCAATACCTAAACTATTTTATGCAATAATACTTTCTCAGCCAATTCATTAACATTTTTTACAACAAATGCTGTACCCTCTTCATTCCATGATATTATTTCATTATAATCAGGATTCTAATTAATATGTAAACAACAATAATATACTTCTAAAATGTCATAAGTTTTAATTAAAAATGAAGGTGTGGATGCCTTTTATTTAATATTATGTTCTTCTTTTGCTCTATCCATAAAAATAATTAAATATGATTTTTAGAAATTTCGATAAATCAAGTGATTGTTAGAATTTCTAAGAATAATCTTAATCTAAACTATTACTTTATATGCGTAATTTAGAATATCCTTATTTCTAGATTTATAAAGATCAAAAGAAATGAAAGAATTTAAATATAATACTAATATATTGCAAATTATTCTTTGGACAAAAACATAAATTTAATATTGTTTTTTTTCACATAAACATTCCATAATTTCTAGCATAAGCCATAGGAGGTAATTTAGGATGTTCCTAAATGTATTATAAAACAATATAAATACCACAGCATCGAATTGAATAAACTTAGGTTTCATATCACCCCCCTTAAATATTATAAATGCCCCCTTATTTTTCATTTGATCACAATAATTAGGAGCTGAGAAAATAGTAATGACTCTGCCATCTGCTTCTACTTCATATCCTTAATCCTTCATCTCATGTGATCTCACCAACAAAGCTTTTATTTTAATATAACTCTTATACATAAACCATTTTCATTTAAGAATTTATGAGCAATATCAGGTCCAAAAGAAATAGAAATACCTCTTTTACTTGGATGTCTTCCATTCTATTTTATAGGATCACTCCATAACATATCAGCCATGGGACCCCCTTCAGGAATTTCTCTAAAACGATTTATTTTCTATAACTCACTAATAGTAACACCATCATTAGAAAACAATCCCTATATTTTTAAAGAGATTATCTTACTCCATGAACAACCATTACTTATTTGGATAGAGTATAAGCTAATGGTAAATAGTTGAAAACTGTTTAGAACAATTCATAAACTTTATCATCATATTTATGTTTGACTTCACCTTCAAATCCATATAATTTGTTCATATTTCTACTTTCATGATTTCCTCTTGTCAAATGCATAATGTCTGGATTGCATACTTTCCATGCAAACAGTGTCATCATGACTTCAACACTCCAAGATCCTCTGTCCACAAAGTCTCCATTGAATAAATAAGGTCTTTTAACTGATGGATTGCCATTTATTTTAAATATGTTTAACAGATCAAAGAATTATCCATGTGTATCTCCACAAACAGTAAACTCAAGATCTCTATAAAATATATAAGTAAATATTTACTTAGGAACATCATATTCAACTACATTTTGTTGAGATTTCAATATTTCTCCTACATTTTGTAATATCATTACTGCATATTTTTTATGCAATTTCTTTTGATCTTTATAATGATTCATCAAATTCTCACACCTTATCATAATCAATTAAGTATTACCATTCTGGTGTAACTTCACTGATATCATTATCAATCCTTGGTCCATCATATCCTTGTTCTACAGAAATGTCCCTGATGTCTATTGGCTCACTTGCTTCATCTGGTCTTTCTATAGATTTTGCAAATTCTCTTTCATAGATTGCCTATTTGATTTATTTGAGTTTTGCCTAAATATCAGCATCTTTTCCTTAGGTTAGAGTATCAGCCTATGGAAATTTATTATATTTGTTACTCTTTTGAATTCTTTTCTAGCATCGTCAAACTTACCCAATAATAAAAAAGCTGAACCTTTTCTATAATAAGCCTTAATGAATCCAGAATCCTCTTTTAATATCTCATCAGCATCTATGATAGCTAACCCATAGTTTTCCATTTTGATATGTGCAAATGCTCTATTTGATAAACAAACAAGTCTTTGATTTCCTAGTAATGTATTAGAAATAATTATTACCAGTAGCTTTTTCAAGAGCAGCAGTATAGAGTTCAATGGCTTTTTAGAAATTACTTAATTTGAATTATTCATTTCCTAATTCTTTAAGTTTTTCAGCTTCAGGTTAATTTGAAATCATTTAATTCTAATCTATAATAAAAAAAGAGAAATATTTAATATATTGAAACAATCTTTTTTATTAAATCCACCACATAATTAAAAATAGGAAATTAAAGGATCTAATTAAAATATTAGATTATAAAAAGATAATTAAAATATTTAATATAAAAAAAGATGTTGTTGTTTATTTTACAATTAAGTATTTATATTTAAATTTGTTTTTAATGATCAAAAGAATAGCATTTTTACAAAGTCTATCCAAGAGAAAGTAATAAACAATTATTAAAAAATAAAAATAATTGAATGAATATTTATTCTTCCAGTCAATAAGATTAAATCGCATCTCCTGACAATCTAAGTTAAATAAGTTGGAATAAGGTTCATTAGAGTAGTGAATAGATTTTGGAAAGGTATATAAATTAAGTTTATGAAATAAAGGTCAAAAAAAATACATAAAAGATAACCTTAAGATGTATAATAGAAATGGTTCTCAATTTAGAAAATATCAAGTTGCAAATTAGATATTTCTGAATAGAACGATATAGATTTAAGAGATTAGAATATTTATGAATTTGATTATCTAAAATTAGATTAAGATCTGTTATCCAAAAAATATCCCATTATTGTAAATATACCTATATATATATAGATTGAAGATTTAAAGTCAAAAAAAAAATACCAAATTAAGCCTATTTCAATAAAATCTGACATAATTGAAGTATACATTTTGGTGCTAATTATTTAGAAATTATTTTCATTAAATAATAAATTTATACTTACCCCTGATAACATTTTCACCTATTCAGCTTAGACCCAAAAAATTGATGATTTGGCTAAAGAAATAAGTATTTAATTTTACTTTTATATTAGAAATCCTTCACATTTCATTCTAATTACTAGTGTATAAATATTGTAATAAAACAATTCTCCATTTCTTAAATGAATTGACGAACAAGCAAATTTAAACAATATTCTTAGATCTAATTTAAGGATTGATTTCTGCTCAAAATCATTAATTAGTCTTAAAATAAATTACTTTAGATTCTATTTTATACTTTGAAGATACTAAATCTTTTAAATTGATTGATTATACTGATGCTACAATTGGAAATAATAGAATTAATTATTAAGATTTAGGATTTTGTTTAGCTTAAATCTTATAGATCAAAAATTCTTAATTAAGTATAAAGAATAATAATTAATCTATTATTGAATGGTTAAAAACAAATAATGAAGATCATCTTTCTTAAGTTGCATTGTATTTGATTTTGAATGAAAAACCAATCGAAGAAATCATGACTTTATTGAAATAGATTGATACTTGATCCTCTAACTTAAAATACAGAAATTCCTAAAGTTATTAATATTAATTATGTTTATCTTTGTCTAATTTCTTCTTGTTTTTTCTCAGGAAATCACTTGGACTAATTATTCCTTTGCTTTCCCGTAATTTATTCCTTTAATTGCTAATAAAACTGTTTTTTCAAGAACATTTGAAGAATTTGGATAGATCTTGTATTCACAATATTAAAACTATGTAGAAATATCTCAATTGAATATAATGGAGACATAATAGAACCTATTTGCAATTTTGATTATTAATCCATGCTTTTTTAAAGATAACCATAAACTTTAATAGCATTAGTAACTGATCTGCAGTAAATTGATATAGATAGTTTAAAAACAGAAGAAATTTAATAGGGATTTTCAAATGAATTAATTTCATATGCAATTATAGATAGAGATTTGATTCTATTGGAAAAAAATGGAACAATCCATCATTTATTTTATAGTGATGGTCCTAAATTTACAAATTATACAACCCATTAATTATCAATTATATTAGATAAAAATGAAAATTCATAAATTTTATCAGATAACTAATCTTATTATTATGTTGATAGTGAATAATTTATTAAATTCAATATCAATAATGGCAGTTTAGAATAAATTAATATTCATAGTTGGAATAAAGTAAATGGACATTTCAAAATATTTATAAAATAAGAATATGTTTATTTAATAAATAGTATTAATGGAATGAGTATTTATAAAATGCAAAATAATATCCTATTACCTTTTAATCAATTTATGATTAATGTATTTATATAATTTAATTTAGGATATTTATAAAAACAAAAACATTACACATTTTAATTTAGTTGATTACTCTATAGACAATGAATTTTTATATTTGTTAGACTATGAAAATGGAGTCAGTCGATTTAACCTTACATCAATGCATATGGATAATAATTTCTTTATTTATCAAAAAGGATGTAATGTGATATCTATTTAAAATAATCAAATTATCTTAATTTAATAGAATCAAATATTATCAGAAATATATGAAGGTAGAATTGTCAATGATAGTTGGTTTATGATCAGAAAGAAAACTGTTACAAAATAAATCATAAGAAATGTTTAATAATTTGATAATTATGCTTTATTAATTAGCAATCCAACAAACAATATATATTAAAAGAATTTAATTGAAAATTTTACTGATCTATCTCTTAATAGTGGGTAATTAGTTAATGAAGTTATGTAGTAATAATTTTTATTAAATGGAGTTTTTGGGAGTGATTCAAATGGATAGTGATTTAATAATTGGTATCTACAAATATGGTGTTGCTATCTATATTGCATAAGAAAGTTCAGCCTAAATTTCTTGTTAAGCTAGACTGAGTTAATAAAATAGAGTCACAGTAAATTTATATTATATTTAATAGATTCGTCTTAATAGTACTAATTGTCTTAATAAAAATTAGGAAGACGATTTTAATTATTGTCAATGTCGACTTGATTATGTATTTGATGTTCATGGAGTTTTGATGTCTCCATATTAAGAAGATCTTTACATATATTTATGTGTTGTAGCATTTTCAATAGTTGTTGCATTATTTGTGGCGATATTCTTTATAATTAGAAGATATCAATTGAAAAAAGAGAAAATAGATCATTTAAGAAAAAGTCGAAGAACTTTATCATATTGAAATTGAAAATATATAGATTCTTTAGATTTTATATTATTTGCTATTAAAAAAATAAATTATTATTAAAATATATAGACTTTACTTTATCCTAAGATTATTAATATTTAGTTGGTTTAATAAGGATTAAGAAGTAATTTAAAGATGCAAATATAATAAGACAGCCAACTAATATATATATATATATATTAGATTTCTAATAGTATTTATGATATAAATTTTGATATCAAATTGTGGGTAACCAAGACATATCTTTTTCGAGTAATTTTTTAGCAATTTCTCTTTCAACATAATTTAATTCCTATTTCTATTACAAACATATTATAAAAAATAAATATGCAGATAATTTATGCACCTTTTCTATATGTTCTTGCCAACTTATATTTCTAAAAAATATTATTATTTTTTTATACTTCTCTCGACATTAATAATATGATATATTACAAATTTTACAAGATTTATTCTTTTAATTTTTAGATAATAGATTTTTATGAGAATATTGTCCTGTAATAATGCTTATTATTAAAGCAAAACAAATTATAAAAACAACCAAAAAAAAAGTTACCAAAAATATATAATTACCCCATTATTAATCAGGATACACATCAGTTTAACTAAAAGCATTCTATAACCTAAATCCATTCCCAAAAAATCTTAGGAAAATAGTAATGAATGGAAGCTCCAAACTTTAATCTTCTTGGAATACTGATATATCCTCTATTAAAAATGCCAAGAAAGCATAACAATGAATTACTATCAATGCTAAATAAAATATGAGAATGATTTTGCCAATATTTACAAAAACAGATTCTAATACTTTTTTTAAACCCTAAAATTTATTAATTTATTTACTTTCACTCTTGGAACTATGTCAAAAAGTAATAAGGAAATAAATGGTGATGCCAAAAATGATAGAGCTGCTAAAACCAAATAGCATAAATGATATAAAAATGTTACATTAGTTATTTACGCCAATATTCTATTTTAGGTAAAGTATTAATGCATTTTAATTTTCTTTTTTTAATTAGTTTTCTTAAGTCTTTATAAATTTGGATAAATGTAATTTAAACTATTATCATTACCTTTGAATCCTAGAGAATTATCTTCATAATTCTATTCTCTATAATAATTAACTCTAAATGCTATATATGGTTATTAATTAATTATCTCTATTATTAATACAAATAAAGATAAGAGTATTAAAATAATAGTTAAAATAATTACAATAATATGAACTGTTTGATTTTTAAATTAATATGTTTCTGATTATCTTTCTAAATCAGCTAAATAGCATATATTTAATGTTAAAACAAGTAAATAGTTAAATGATTTAATGAGATGTATATTAATTGAAAACCAATTTAATTTTGGATACATAGAAATATGTTATCTAAAAATTACTTCTTTTTAAAAATAATCTGACATTGTTTTTAATTATTCATATCGACCTCTTCTCATTCTAAGCATTTTAGCTTTTTTTGTAGTTTATTTTAATAAGAATGATGATTAAAATGGTAAAACAAAGTACTATAATTTTGTTTCATCATTTCTTTTAATTTATATTTATCCAACATACTTACTAAAAAAATTAATAGCTTCTGCCATTTTCAAACACATATTTTATTTAATAATATCTCTTTAATTATTTTATTAGGCTCCTTCTAACCAATTAATTGCAATTTCTTCTAATTTTTATTCCATCTTACTTTCTCTTTTTCCATGTGTTTCAATTACAGCATCCTGTTCTTCAAATTTTTTAAAAGGAATAGCCTCTTCTAAAGTTTATTTCACTTATAATTTTTTATTTGTTATCTTGTAAATACTTTCTTTTAATTTACTTTTGGGACTAGCCATATCACCTAATAGAGATTATTATTTTTTTAGAACAACAGGAGATTTAATACTTGTAGATTTCTTTTTTACATTTATTTTTTGCTATTACTTATGTTCCTTAATTTCTAATGATGTTATCACAGATTCATTAGATTATAAATACTCTCTTAACAAATCTCTCCTCTTATCATCAAATGGCTGTTATTTGACAAATTATTTCATACTCAAATAAATTCTTAAGAAATTGATATTTTGCTTCTAATTCAATGATAAATCATGAATCTAATCTCCAATTACTCTATCTTTAAGGGTTTGCCAATAATCTCTCTTGATTTCTCCCTTACCCACTTTGTCGATCTTTTCACAAAGGATATTAAATAGAATAATCAAATCAAAACAGATTGTAAATACCTCAAATTCTCCTGGAGCAATTAAATTATGTTAACATTTTAAATAAGTGCAATTAATGTTATCCACATGTGTACATTTCTATCCTTGAATTATAATTTAGAGCCGAGGAGCAAAGGTATCATAAATAGTCAATAGTTTTTCAAAAAGGATTTAAAAGTTCAATTCAGTGTAACTTTGATGTAAATCTAATTGAACCAATAAAAGTAGTTTTATTGTTGCTTTAAATAAGGTTCTGTAATTATTATCTTATAAATTATCAGCCAAAATATCATACTTTGGAGTTGTAATGACAAATTAAATAATTTAAATTAAGGGTTTATGATTAAATACTAAATTTTAGTTTTGAGTATTTCCTTCACAAAAATTATTTAAACATCTGAAAGATTCAGTATATAGTGTTAAAATATCAGTTTCTGTACATATATGAGTTAATTATGATCTATTAATATAATTAAAATAATTGGTAGTAAAATATAGAACTTCTTCAGTAAGAGAAGATTGATTTGCAGAATCTCCAAATTGTGAAGAGACTTCTAAACATTGGATAAGTTTACCTATAAGTCTTAAAATAGAAGCAATAATTTTAAAAAATTATCCTAGCAATTAATTCTTTTCATTGCTTAGATCAGTCTTATTAATGAATAAACGATTATCATTACTTTATGTACTTTATTTAAGATGCTACTCTAAACTAAATAATCTATCAACTTAATTAAATGTGCGTGATATAAATTTATTGAATTAAAACCAACAATCATTCTAGATAACAGTGGCTAATTGTTATTTATTCATTATTTAAATTTACTCAAAAATAAATAGAGTTTTTTTGACTTTCTTAATACTTTTAATTGTATACTCATTATCGGTTTCTTCTAAATACATCATTAAGAAAGGTATTTGTTTAAGACAAAAATGTAATAATCTATCTTTTTCAATAATAGATTAATCTCTTTGTAAACATTCATAAATTATGTTTAATGCTAATTATTTTTATTAGATAGCCTCTTCTTTAAGTAATCTAGAAAATATGTAAGTAACTTCATCATCATTAGATAATTTTAAAAGGAATTATTCTTAGAGATCATTAAATAAAGCTTTATCTAATCTATAAAAATTGTATGGATTATCTGGATTGATAAGTAATTCATATTGATAAATGAATTAACCATAAGTTTATTAAATAAAGAGAGACTATATTATAAATAAGAAATACTTCTTGTTGATAATTTTTCTATTGAATCTTCTTTTTTTATAATTCCTTAAGTTCTACTTTATTGTATTTAATTTTTTGACTATCGAAATAGTTTATTAGTTTTTATAAAAACTTATCTATGAAAAGAATAGTTATGAATATTACTTATATCTAATAAATTTTTGGTGGAATCTCTTAATTACATATAGGATTCATAATATTTTGAGGCATCTTCATAAGTTAGATATTTAGAAATATCTGGTAAAGTTTTAGATAATTTAATTTATATCAATTACTAAAAGTGTTCATCCAAAATTTGATTGAATAAATTACAAAACTTATCTTTACCAATTAATTTATCTTAAGTATTTACACTATATTAACCTTCAGATATTAATAACTCTGTGTGAAATTAAAATTCTCCTTTGATTTTATCCATCATTTCATTAATTGTGAGATGTTTTTCCATCATATAACATTTCAATTTTTCATAAAATTAATTTAAATTTAATTTTAATTCATCTTAAGATGGTTTAGGTAAAGCTTTTTATTTATATTCTTTGATTTATGTTTTGATAGCTCTTTGAGTCTTATATTCTTAAGCATATTTAATAGTTTTGAAATTCTTTAAATTGGATTCTAAGGGACATTACATAAGACATTTAGATATATAATGTTATAATTATGCCAAATAGACTCGATATTTTGGATATTACAATGTAGTTTCAATTAGATTTAAAGTTTGTCTAATATTCTCTAAAATTAATTTAATTAAAGCCAATGGTTCATAGAGTGAATCCTCAGTAAATTAATTGATTTATTCAATTAATGCAATCTATTAATTTTATTAATTTTCTGATATATTCCATTTTCTATTTTATATTTCTTAAAATAATTATTGTAATAACATTAAAACACCAAATTGAATATTTTACCAATTAGAAATCTTAAGGAAATATTTCCAATATTCAGTATTATCAAAAACAATTCTTTTTTATTCATTCATTTATTAAACTTATTATTAAGCAGCATTTGTTTAATTAGGCATACCAGGTGTTGTTGCTAATAAATTCTTTTTCTTTTCTTCAGTATCTTAAAACATCTTTTATTTAATCATATCTACTTATAATTTATCCTTTTAAATTTTCTCCTTATCTTCTTCAGTATTAGTCTCACATTATTTTAATAATCCATCTAAATATTTTGGATAAGCCAATAAATCATTCAATAATAACATTAATAATTCTCTCATATCTTACATAGTAAATGTATGTATTTATTATATCTAAGTAATATAAACCAATTTGATTAATTCAGATTTAATTAAATATGATATTGCAGGATTATGAATCATTTAATTAATTTATTCAGTAAATAAAATACCTTGAATTTATTAAATACCTAAAGAATAATCTTTAATAACTTAAGCTGTTAATGCATTTGAAGCTGAGAAAATCTAAAATTCCATACCATAAAATTATTATTCCTCTTTTTTATTTTTTACATCATTAAATTATTTATAATATTATAGGTCATTGATATAACTAGGGATTTTGAATAGATTACTTAAGATTTCTCTTTTTAAAGCATTCATACGATCTTAAGAGAGTTGTCTATTTTATAATATGGATAATAATGCTTTATAAAATTATTAACATGTTCCTTTATGTTCATGCATAGTTGCAAAAATTGATTTAATTAATTATTGAAGTACAGTCCATTAATCATTTAAACTTTAACAAAAGACACCAATCAATTTTGATACTTTTAAATTACTAGATGCTAATTAAATAATTGTAAATATATCTTCTTATATTTCTGAACAATTTAATTTATTATTCAATAGAAATAAACATAAAAATTTAATAGAGATTTATTGTGTATCACTCTATTCACGTTATGCTTTTATCAATCTTAATATTTATTTATGAACACCTAAATTTCTTAAAATATTTTATGTTTTTGTTAATTTAAATGAATCCATTTTTATTTCTTTAATACGATTAATTAATTTATTTAATTGATTATCAATTTCCCAATTTTTTTCATCTTTTTATTTACCTCCTCCTTCTGAATTCTTTTTCTAAGAATCTTCTAATTATTATATTTAAACTTCTAATCTAATTGGAGAGAATATTTGTCCAACTAATGAATTACCAGTCAATTATTAATATAATTCTAATTCATCTCCATCTAATATAATCTCTGCTTATCTTAATTATGAAATCCATTATTAATTAACTCCTTAATTTAATGCTTCTTGACATAATCTAAAACCTTTACTTTAAAATAAATAATTAGAACAATAAAACCCTAATAAATATCCTAAAACTAAATTTTTATTCTATCCTAATTACATTCTCATAATAATCTCTCTAACTTCTTCTATTAATTTCTCCAATGATTATAAACAATATGTTTGATATGATCTTTAAAAATGTCTTAAGAATTCTTAAATTTATACATTCAATTATATTGTAAAATATTATTTAAATAATAATCCTGCATTAGAAAATAGTTCATCTATCAAATCAACCAAACCTTATTATTATAATGATTTTGCAGAACCAATCAATTCATTTAACCAATTTTCCTTTACTTCTAATGCTTATCTTTCTCTTTATGATAAAAATGGTACAAATATTTATAACATTGGTTTTACAATTGAACAAATTTATTCTTCTGTTAAGTATCCCAATTATATTATTTTATAAATTAAATGATAAAGAGTAGTCAAAAACTTTATCTTTTATGAAATCTTACTCTTCTATTCAACCTTCTCTGTTTATACCTAATTTCCACTAAGAGAAGGTAATCTTATATGCATCTTCTTTTTCTTAACTTTTATTAATCCTTCCTAAAAACTATTACCTTAAGTTAATAATTCAAGTAATAAAGGTAACATCTTCTCTTCAAATTCCTTTGTCAATTTACCCACTTCCACTGCTTCAACATAATGATTAAAAATTTAAGCAATCTTTTTATCTTTTTCCATTAACAATTAACCCCAAATAAAACATGTTTAAGAATATATTGGTAAAAAAGGATCAATATCTATATATAACACTTCATATAATTTAAGATAACTGTTTTTCATAGATAAAGGAATTTAAGTTGATTTTATTACATTTTAAATATGATTTGAAGTTATACCCAAAAATTATACTTTTTTCATACATTTCTTATTTCTACCTTTACATAATTATGCCAATAAATTAACTGAAGCAGTCAAATAACTTAAAAATTACAATAAGGATTTCTTAATTAATATTTTCTCTCCCAATTCTTCCAATGAAAATAATTCCATCTCATTATTTTCTGAAGGCCTTATCAAATGTAATTAATTTAACGAAGGATTCTTTAATAAAAAATCAGCCAAAGGTTCTTCTCTATATAAATTAAAAGTAGGTTTATCTAAAAGTATATTAAATTAACATAAAAATTTTGTTTTCCCATTCTTTCCTTAAGAAAATAACTCTTTACAAACTTTATTTTAATATCTAAATATCCCTTAATTACTGGAATCCACCATTGCAATTGATATTATTTTAAGATAAATAGTCATATCATAAATATTATTGCCTACTTCTTCTAATGGTTCTAATAAACGAACCCAATCTGTCAAATCTATATTTGGCTGATCTTTTACTGCTTCTCTCAAAATGGCTGAAACATGAGGTCCATAACTTCGAATCTATTTACACAAAAATTCATCATTATCTAATGCTATTTTACGATTATTTTGATTATTTTTTATAGATAAAAGAATAATCTTATAAATATGTACAGGAATAGATGCTAAAGCTTTGAATGCTACATAAGACTAATAAAATAAATATAATATATACAGCTGTTTATTATGATGGTAATGCTCTTTCTGTTTTATATAATCTACTTTTCTCTTTCTCTCTAAATACTTTCTATTATGTAAATACAATATTATCAATTAATTTTAATAATGAAAATAACAATTCCAAAATCTTTTATTCTCTTAATAACTTTTATTTCTATATATAACTAGTTTAAACATTATTATTCATTTCATATTGATTTGCTTTGTTTGATAGATGATTACTAAGAGCTTCCAATTATAATTACAAATGATAAACTTCTTATTCTAATTATCCCTTCAGAGACAAAGATTTTAAGTAATCAAATACAAAAATATCTTCATTTTATTTCTTTTTATCTGATAAAATTGACCATTATTATAAATAAACATGGAAATTTAAGATTCTCATATGAATTTCATTAAGATCCTCTAAAATTATTGATGATGCAGAGTCAATCTATTTTATTGAAAAAAGTTGAGGAGTCTAATCATTTGTGAGTGGTTAAAATTGTAATTTACCATTCTAAGTCAACATCAAATATGTTCCTAAAGAACTTTGAATACTAACAATTTGTTCATTAGATTCTTATTACTCTGTAGATTCAGGATTGAAATAGAAGACACTATAATCATCCTACATATATCCTGCTGTTAATTTAAGACTTTTTTCATCATTAGGATCTACTGACAAATATTACTATGTAAATAAGGATTTTAATTTACAAGCATTAGGACTAGCTTGTTATTCAGTAAATGGAAATAGAGGTTAAATTTCAAAATATGTATATGAATTCAAAAGATTGCTTGATTATACTTCATAATCTTGCATCAAATATTTATTGAGATCTAAGGTTCTTAAAGAAAAAGTTTCTTATTATTATTATTATTAATCATTATTGAAATTATTTATGATAGCATTTTTATTGATTATAAATTATTACAATTATTTTTCACTAGTTCCAATTGCTATCATTGATTATTGATGTATAATTTAAATTATATTATTTTAATGACTTTTTACTTTATGCAAATGAAAACAATCAGGTCTATCACTTGCATTTATATCTATAAATTTATTACTTGAATATCTTGATTCATCCTTCTCTAATTTTAAATAATATTATCTATTGGAATCTTATTAAAATAATAATTAATCATTATATTAAATCTTATCTCCTATTTTATTAGCACTTGAGTATGGCATAATTCTCAATATATTCTAATGACCAATTTAGGATTATAAATTAACTTAAAAGGATCCTCTTTCTTATGATGGCACATCTAAATTTATCATTACACTTTATTGTGATTTAGAATGTACTAATACTATTCTTTAACCATAACACACATAACTTTAATCACTTGTAATAGTTCTTGGATTCCTTATTGTAAAAAAACTCTTTTATTAATGCGAATATGGATTGTTTATAACTTAATTGGTCATATTTACACAATTAATTGAACCAGAATACTATAGATTTCCTATTATAATTAATTCAAGTATTTGAGTTTCATTCTATTTTCCTCCTATTGTTGTCCCAGATACATTTGTTTTAATTACAAAAACATCACCAAATTTTAAATAAGGATGTTCTGATTATCTATGTCCTTAAATTTCTTTTTCCATACCTTTATTTTAAACAAATGACTTTTTCTTTGATTTTATTATTTCTTTTTATACAGATTGATTATCGGATATCTCATTATCTAAAATTTCATCTTTCTCTTATTATCTCATGATATCCTAAGTTCATTCAACTGATTTACTTATTGAGGTGAAGTTGATGACCTGACTTTTGTTTATAGAAATGTCAGTTATTTTTATTTCTTTGTCTCCTATTCAAAATCTTCCCTTTATTAAGTTTAGGCTTCTTGTCCATTTTTATTCCCTAAGTATTGACTTGTAGCTTAAATCAATGTTGGTGATCTATTTATTTCACTCTAATGAAGTGTATTCTGTTTTAATGTTCTAAAACCAATCTTAAGGAATGCATTTTTTATATGCTCTGTTCCCTTTTTACATGACTATATTGCTACAAAAGAAAGGCTCAAATTCATTTATTTTATGAAACTAATTAATTTATAAATATTCAAATTATATATACTCTAAGAAAAATCAATCATACACATATATTCACATCAAATACAATTCCAAAATAACATCCTTTCATTTAAATTTAAACACAATACAACAAATTTAAATTTCAAGAATTCATAATCAATTCTCTAAAATTGCAATCTAGAAAACATTCTCATAAAATATAATCCATACTCTTAATTTTTTCTATTTAACATTAATCATCATATAAGTAAGTGTGTATAATAATTAGAAACATCTATATATATATATAATTTATTTCTTTTTAGTATTCTTATAAATATTCAGTATTTTTCTCTGAATATGTTATTTATGATAGTTTATTTATTATGATATATATAAGTATATATCTATTCATTTATTTCAATTAATTTAGTATTATTCTTCATTTTTAATTTAAACAATATAATCTCTATATACTTTAATTCCAATACAATTTTAGGAGTGTATGAGTCTCAACTTTTATAAGAATATTAATGAAAGAGTTAATGACGATAGTTCTCATTATTTTTAATTAATTTCTTTAATAATTTTGGGAATCACTATAGTTAGTATTATTTTTATCATAAATAAATTTAATTACCAGAATTTCTTTAATTAATAGTATAAAAGCCTTTTAGGAATTTCATTTTTTCATCAAAAATATAAATAAATGAAAACAGATGGTTCTGCAGAAAATTAGGCTCTTACAAATGGAAATGGAGCAGTTTCATAGCCATAATAAGAACCAATGGTTCCATATTTTGAACTCCTTAGGTATGCCAGTCCTAAAGACAAAATTCTAATGTTTATAGGTGGATTTGCAGCCTTTTGCAATGGAGCTGCATTTCCAAGTTTTTCAATCATCTTTGGAGATATGACTGACTCATTCTCAGAAGCAGGAGATGAGATGGTTCGTCAAGCTGGATTGAATGCAATGTAAATTTAGTAATAATCAATATAGATATTTCATTATTGTGGCTGTTGGAACAATGCTTATGTCATTCACAATGTTTGCCACATGGATGATAACTGGTGAGAATCAAAGTATAGAATTTAGAAAGAGATACTTCTCTGCTATTTTAAGACAAGAAATTGGATGGTTTGATACTATTAATCCAAACGAACTGAATAGTAAAGTGGCAAATGAGACCTTTGCAGTATAGGGAGCTATAGGAGAGAAAGTTCCTACATTTATTATGACTTTCTCAATGTCTTTCTTTGGCTTCTTAATTGGTTACATTTAGTAATAATTTTTATCATAAATATTTTTAGTGGTTGGTAATTAGCTTTGGTAGTCACAGCCACTTTACCAGCAATCTCTATAGCCACAGCCATATTTGCCATCATTATTTAAACATCTGAAAATGCTACCCAAAAAGCATATTCTGATGCAGGAGCATTAGCAGAATAAGCAATCAATGCAATTAAGACAGTAAAGATGTTAGATGGTGAAGACTTTGAAGTTGAAAAATATAAAAAGCATCTTATTGAAGCAACTGCTACAACAATTAGTTATTAATTCGGTGTAGGTTTGGCTTTCGGTTTTTTATGGGCAGCCATGCTTTGGGCTTATGCTCTTGGTTTTTGGTATGGAGCAAAATTGATCTCTGATTAAGTATTATAATAAATTAATATCCATAGACTCTTAATCATAATATGGGAACTGTTTATACAGTAGGAGATGTAATGATTATCTTTTTTGCCATTTTAACTGGAGGATTCTCATTAGGTTAGGCTGGTCCTTGTGTATAGAATTTTGCTAAGGGTAGATAAGCAGCTGTTAAAATGTTTGCCATTTTAGATAGAAATCCAAAAATTGTTAATCCTCTTAATCCATTAAAATTAACATCTTTTAATGGAACAATTTTATTGAGAAATATTTAATTTAGTTATCCAAATAGACCAGATCAAAAAATATTAAAAGGATTAACATTAAATATACCAGCTGGTAAGAAAGTAGCTTTGGTAGGAGAGAGTGGTTGTGGTAAATCTACTGTAATGTAATTGATTGAAAGATTCTATGATTGTGAAGAAGGAGAAGTATTATTTGGTGGAGCTGATGGAATTAATGTAAAAGACTTAGATTTAATTGATTTGAGAAGTAGAATTGGTCTTGTTGGATAAGAACCTGTATTATTTGCAACAAGTATAAGAGAAAATCTATTGTATGGAAAAACAGATGCAACAGAATCTGAAATGATAGATGCTTTGAAGAAAGCTAATGCTTGGGATTTTGTATCTAAAATGGATAAGGGATTAGAGACTTATGTTGGTATTGGAGGTGGTTAATTGAGTGGTGGATAGAAATAAAGAATTGCTATTGCTAGAGCTATATTAAAGAGACCATAGATATTATTACTTGATGAAGCTACTAGTGCTTTGGACAGAACCAATGAAAGATTAATCTAAGAAACATTGGATGAAGTATCAAAGGGAATTACAACAATTGTTATTGCTCATAGATTAAGTACAATCTAAAATGCTGATTTAATTTATGTTATTGATAAAGGTGTTGTAGTTGAAAAAGGAACTCATTAAGAATTAATGAATATGCATGGAAAATATGAAATATTGGCTAAGAATTAAATCCAAGCATAACATTAAGACAATGATTCTGGATCTTCAAGTTCTGGTCCTTCATAAAAGAATCTTTAAGATTAATAAATAGGTTCTTAAAGATCATTAAAATTAAAGATGAATATGGTTGATTAACAAAATATAGCTATTGCTGTTAAATAAGAAATTGATAGATTTAAGGAATTGGAAGTACCTGAATTAGTTAAGAAGGTTTCTGGTTAAGGACATCATCATCATCATCATCACCATCATCATGTCAAAAATGAAACAGATTTAGAAACATAACCATTACCTAAGAAAGAGGAACCTAAAAAAGATGTAGATGCATAAATGGGTAGATTGTTCACTTACAATTCTGATGAGAAACCTTAATTTTTTATTGGTATTATAGCAGCTTTAGCTAATGGATGTACATTTCCAGTATTCTCATTATTCTTAGCTGAAATGATTACTGTTTTAGTTGAATCTAATCCTTCATTTGCTGATTACAAATGTACAATTACATACGATAATCCTACACCAGAATTGTGTTAACTCTTAAAAGATGATTTAAAGGATGAAGTAAAAACTAAAGCAGATAGACTTGCTCTTTGGTTTTTCTTAATTGGTGTTGCAGCTTAAGTTTTGTGGACATTCTAAATGTATTTCTTGGCCTATGTAGGAGAGAAACTCACTTGTAAATTAAGATTAGATACATATAGAAAATTATTAAGAATGCCTATTCCATATTTTGATATTCCTAAAAATAATGCAGGTACTTTAACGAGTAGATTGTCTGTTGATTGTAAATTGATTAATGGACTTACTTCATCAATTTTAGGTATTAACATATCAAATGTTGGTGCTTTAATTTGTGGATTGGTTATTTCATTTGTTGCTAGTTGGTAAATGACATTAATTATGCTTGGATTGGCTCCTTTGTCATATGTTGGAGGAATATTATAAGCTAAATTTTTATAAGGATTCTCAGATCTTACTGATGAAGCATACAAAGATTCTGGTAATTTAATTATGGAAGCTGTTACTAATATTAGAACTGTAGTTTCTTTTGGTAATGAATAAATTATTCTTGGAATATATTCAAAGAAGGTTTAACTTCCATTAATGAAAGCAAAAGAAAGAGGAATATATGCTGGTTTGGCATTTGGATTTTCATAAATGTAAATGTTTATCATAAATGCAATTGTTTTTTATGTTGGAGCTATTCTATGCAGAGATGAAGTTATAACAATAGAAGGTATGTTTAAATCCATTCTTGCTATTACATTTGCAACTATGAGTGCAGGAAATAATGCAGCATTTGCAGGTGATATTGGAGCAGCTAAAAATGCCAGTAGGAACATTTTTGAAATTTTAGATAGTGAAGATGAATTTTAGAGAGAAGAAAGATTAAAAAAATAAAAGATTACTAAACCTGTATAAGGAGATATTCATTTCAATAATCTAACATTCAAATATGTAGGAAGAGATAAGAATGTATTTGAAAATTTGAGTTTGACTGTTAAATAAGGATAGAAAGTTGCATTTGTAGGTCCTTCTGGTTGTGGTAAATCTACTTTGATGTAAATGTTAATGAGATTTTATGAACCTGATTAAGGTATCATCACTATTAATGGTATTGATATCACAGATTATGATATCAGATATATAAGAAGACAATTTGGTATTGTTTCATAAGAACCAGTTTTATTCAATGGTACTATTAAGGAAAATATACAATATAATTTACCTGCTATTACTAATGAGTAAATAGAAAATGCAGCCAAAAAAGCAAATGCTTATGACTTTATCATTAAAAATTAATTTGAAGAAACATAAGTAGAATAAAAGGGAAATGAAAAACAAAGAGGATAAGGATTTGATAGATAAGTAGGACCAAAAGGTGCCTAGATATCAGGAGGTCAAAAATAAAGAATTGCTATTGCTAGAGCTATTCTTAGAGATTCAAATCTATTATTACTTGATGAAGCTACTAGTGCTCTCGATGCTGCCAGTGAATAATTAGTGTAAGACAGTTTAAATAAACTCATGGAAGGTAAAACTACAGTTGCAATTGCTCATCGAATCTCAACAATCAAAGTATTTAATATATAATATTTTATTAGGACTCTGATGTTATTTATGTCTTCGAAGATGGCAAAATCGTTGAAGAAGGTAATTATTAAACATTGGTTGGTCTTAAAGGTTCATTCTATAGACTTGAATAAGGAATTGCTAAATGATTATTTGTTAAATTGTTATGTATTATTTAAATTTGAATTATAAGATTAATTTTTTTTAACTAGAATACAAAAAAGTAATTAATTTTCATTACATAAAAATCTCAGCAACCATCTCCTCTGTTAATTCTTCAAATAAGTAATCTGATATTTCCATCAACACTTCGGAGTATTCTTAAGCAATTTAAAACCATTTCTTTTCTCCTTCTTACAACTAATAACATCTCTCCATATCATACTTCAATTGAGAGACAATTTTATATTCTCTCTTCATTAATATAAGCCAATGAATCATTTCCTTAACATTCCTACATTATTATAAGTTACTCATAATTAAGTTGTCTAACTGATATCACAGGAATCTCATCAGATAACAATCCTAATCATTCTTAAGTACTTATACCACATAGAGTCTTAGACCAATCAAATACTTTTTATCTTGCTCTCTCTAAGATATTAGGTATATCTTCTATTCCATAACATAATCTTTATGAAATATTTGTTTCTATGCACCATGGATAAGGAATCCCTTCATCTTAATAGAATGGTCTTAAAGTATTGAGAGCATCATTGAAAGCATCAAATATGGCCTAGTTGTGAATTTTTTCATACTAATTTTGAGTTTCCATAATTTGTTCTATGATAGATTTCTTTTATAACTTATTTAGTAAAGTGGTTAAATTTCTTGATGACCTTCGTAATCATCCTATCCATGCAATTATCTCAATCTACTTATGGGTTTTCTACCATATGGAGTATTCATTCTCTTAATAAATTCCTCTTAATTATTTTCTATTTCATAATATTTAACCTTCTACCTAAAATTGCAAAACACATCAAATTTATAAAATTATTTATTACTCCTAAATTTGTTAAGATTCCTGCATTAGTTTAATAAGCATATTATTATATTAATTCTATTTTATTTAAACTATTTGATGCTTCATCAACTAATTATTCAATAATCTTTTCAGTTTCTTCTTCTACTCTTAAAGAGTAATTCAAACCATAAATTTATACTTATGGTTCTCTATAATCTGTTATTACTTATTTAGATTCATTATTAGGAGATACCTATAATGGTCTTGTAATTTAATTTCCAAAAAATAATTCTTCATTAAAAGTTGAAATTTCAAAATCCTTTCTTTTTGGATCTTACTAAAATGGTTTTGAAAATTAATTCTACTTCTACTATGATGATTATATAGATTGTTATTAAACAATCTTCATTTCATTTTTATCATTAATTTAATTTAAGAATTTTGTATTTGGAGTAACTATTTTTGGAGAATTTGGAATACTAAATTAAAGATCAGATTAATCTAAGAAACTTTCATCTTTAATTTCAGATTAATCAAATGAAATTTATTCTAACTATTAAAGTGTTAATACATACATAATTAAGACAATACTAACATCTAATCTTTTTTTAAATCTTTAACAATAATCACATCTTATTCAGTCTTTTTTAATAATGTATTTGATTATTTTTAAACTTTCTATAATTCTTATTTGAATTTCTATAATTAATCTGCTTATTTTGAGAACCAAGATTAAACTAATTATTTATTATGATGAAATGATCTTGGAGATATTTTTTATTATTATAACAAATTCTAAAATGCTTATATTTAACTATTAACTCTCAATTTTATACTCTAATTAATATATAATATATTATTTTACTTTCTCTCTTTATTAACATATCTCATCTATTTATGAATTTGTTAAGAATTCTTTCTTAAAAATAAAACTACTATTTGACATAGGTGATGATGCATGAGATTTTTTAGGAAATTCTTCTAATGCCATCTTTAAATGACTTTCTAAAATATTATTTTTTTAATTTGTTTAATTATTTGCTTTTTAATTTTCTATTACTACTTAATTTAAATATGATATTGAAGTTTACAATTCTTCATCCTTTCTTTCAACTCTAATTTACTTTAATATTTATTAAAATTATTGAATCTAATCTTCAGATAAATTTTTCAATTCATTAAAAATATTCATCAATACACTACGATCCTTCTCATCAGATCTTTAAATTGATAAAGTATTTAGTCTTACCGAACTTGGTTTTGAGTCATCTTTTGGTTAATCTTCAAGACTTTTAATTTAAGGTACCTATATATATATATATTTAATATTTAAATACATCTATTTTATAATCTCTTATTTAAATTGGAGATTCAGTTGTTCTTATTTAATTTCTTGCTTTTTTATCTTATTTATTTGATTTTTCCCTTAATAAATGCTTCAATCTTAAAGTATGAATCTCTGATACTTTACTTGGACTAGGATTTGTAATTTACTATTATTATTGTTATTATAATAATTATTTTGATTTACTAATTCCCTACTTTTTACTTAAAGTTCTAACTTATCGTAATAAACTTGGTGAATAATCAATATTTCTCATTTGAAATTTATCTTATATTGGACTAAATTATGAAGTAATTTATTCATTATAATGATGTATTGCTTATTCTCTTGATCTAGATTTTTATTTCTTTTTAAAAGAAGTTGATTCCTTTTCAGGTGATTTTGATTTTGACTTAGATTTTGATTTAGATTTAGATTTAGATATAGTTCTACTTAAACTAGTTTTAGATGATACAAATTTCTTCAAAATATCATTAAGCAATGGTTTATTTAGATTTTATGAAGGTGTTTGTTATTTATTTTATTTAACTCTTTATTTCTATGGTGAACGAGAAGTATTCTTAGTCTTTGATTAAGCACATGATGGAATTAATACTTTCTTTTTTTCAGGATTTCTTTTTAATGTTTTATCTTATGAAATATCATCTTTCTTTTTTATATTTTATAAAGATTAACTATTCATTTAATGTGTAAAATGATTTTTTTCTACTTTTTTTGTTATCTTTAAAGTGTTACTTTATGTGTTTTTTTGTTTTGTTTTATTTGCTTATTTTATTTATTTCTATTCATAAGGAATATAAGATTATTTCAAAAAAATATTTTCAAATACATCTGGTGATTATTTGCTTTTTTATACTCCTTAATTTGCTTAAGGGACATCAAGACTACTATATCTATTAAAATTAGCAAAAACTTGACTGTTCTCAAATCTGTCTGTTGGTGATGCCAAATTATTGTCTGGAAATAAGCATGATGATCTTAATGATTTAACTTCTGTTGGATTTTTAGTCATTGTAATTTTTTAAGCTGATGTAGAGTTTATTATATTATTATTTAAAGCCTTTAATCTGCCTTAAAGTTTTTGAATATTTTTCTCTAAAGCATTTGAGTAATTTTAACGCAATTATTTGAAATCGTTAAATTCATTCATTTGATTTATTAATAAATGAATTAACAATCTAATATTGAAGAACACAAGATAGATTTTAGAATTTAATTGTATATCTACAATTTAATACTTCTCTTATAAATAAATAGATGGGCAATATAATTAGAATAAAATATTGTTATGAATAGAAATATTCATTTAATAATAATATCAATTATCATTTTTATTTCTAATAAGTATTATTTAACATATTATATAAAAATATTGATTTAATTTATACAAATATTGTTAAGTGTAGTTAGTTTAAGTTTATGAAACAATATAATTATAGTATTATTTGTTTGTATTATTTTAGTGATTCATAATTAAATATGGTGATTCATGATTTTTATTAATTAATAATCAATTGCACATTTAAAAATAAAATCAAAATTGAAATTAATAATATTTTTTAATTAAAATACATGGACAATTAATAAAATAAAAATTGTTAAGATGAACAATGTTGTGACCAAAAAAATTGTTGTTAAGAAGAATAAGTTTAATAATAACAATAATGTTGCACAACTAATTGCTGTGAATCTGAAGAATAAATTAAAAATAATGTAAAATAAAGATATGGAGAAATCTGTGAATAAACAAAATAAATAAATGCTGCTTCATTTTGTGGAGTTGGAGGATGTTGCAGTTCATCAGGTTGTGGAACCATAGATTATGCTGTTTTTGCAGAAAATTATGAAAAATTATAAGGATATGTTCCAGAAGCTGATTTAGGATTAGGATGTGGTATACCAACTGAATTTGCTGAACTTAAAAAAGGAGACATAGTTCTAGATCTAGGATCAGGAGCAGGAAATGATTGTTTTATTGCTAGAGCTTTAGTTGGAGAAAGTGGAAAAGTAATTGGAGTAGATATGACACCTAATATGATAAGAAAAGCTTAATTGAATTCAGATAAATACAATTTTAGAAATGTTGAATTTAGATATGGGGATATTTCAGATTTACCAATATTAGATAACTTTGTTGATGTTGTTATTAGTAATTGTGTTATCAATTTGGTACCAGATAAAAAATAAGTATTTTCAGAAATCAAGAGAGTATTAAAATAAAATGGTCATTTTTCAATAAGTGATGTTCTTACAACTGGAGATTTACCTTTAGCTATAAGAAAGGCTTCAGAATTACATGTTGGTTGTGTTTCAGGTGCCCTTAGAAAAGATATTTAATTGAAAATTTTAGAAGAATTAGGATTCACTGATATTTAGATTAAAAAAGAAAAGGTGATTGATTTCCCTGATGAATTAATGTTAAAATATGTTTCTTAGGAAGAATTAAAGGAATTTTAGAATAGTGGAATAAAAATTTTAAGTGCAACAATTTATGCCAAGAAATAATGATTAATATATTAAATATATAATAAAGATATAGAATGCATGCATTAATTATATCATTTAACCAATAAAGCATTGATTATTTTATTATTATAACAAATTTAGACAAGTCCTTCTCTTTAAGATATATGACTTTCTTAAATTGTATTTGGTGTATTGCAATTGATGATAGGAATTTATAATTCTGCAACTTTATTTAATTTAACTAATAAATTATCAGGATGAGCTTCATTTAAACTTTAACAATTAATAGAATAATCAATTTCTTTAAAGTATTTACAACTACATGCTATTAATATATTGAGTAATATCACATTTGATATTATGATAAAACATGGAAATAGAATGTATGGCATAATTATTTATTATGATTCAAATACTGGTAAGACATTTGCATCCCAATCTAAAAATATCTTATATGATTACCATCCAAAGTGAGTAATTATACAAAAGTGTAAAATGCTTATTATAAAGTTGTATAATAAGTTTCTCCTTTAAAACCAATAAATGAACTATAGAATCTACTTGTATAAACTGCCATCAATAGAATTATAGCTAACAATACTGTTATAATTGGAAATAAAATAGGAAATATTGATATTGTTCCTGAAAATATTCCTCTTACAATAGGTGTAGTTGCTAATTTACATAGATTACAAAGACAAGCTAAATCATGAGATAAAAATAATGCTAATGGCCCTGCTATAAAATGGAGAAGCATTCTTTCCCACTTTGATCTCTCATACTATATTCTTGGTTTCTTTTATGATAATTATTTAAAGATACATCTAGAAACAATAAAAATATAAAATGAATAGAATATAAAATATCATCTAGAGCATCAAACAATTTACCCATATTATCCACAATCATAAAATTATTATAAATATTAAATATCACACTTACTATGCTAAATACCATAACAATTTATTAATAAAATTATCCTAACATCAAATTACATATATGAGTATTATCTGAAAGTTTTTTATTTATTTTTTACTCTTTCATTTCATGTTCATCTAAAAAATTCACTTAAACTAATTATTAATTCTATTCTAATTATAGTGTCTCCAATATAAGTCCAATTAAAATATTCATATAAAAGTAATTCATCAAAAATACATAAGCACATATGATTATTGATGGAATTCCTGTATATCCTACCTATTATTCTAATATTCTTCCTCGTGAACCCCAAGACTAGATTTATTTCATATTAAAAATACATCTAAAGTCAATATCTCTAACATAGTAATGCATGTGTTACTAAAAGTTCCAAATAATCCATATGTTTGTTCATATGAATGATATAAATAAGTAAATAGATATGATGTGAGTAAAATTATAAAAATAATGGTTATTGATAAATTCTTTATTTTTTTAAGTAATTTTACACTTTTTAGAATTGTGGAAAGATTGTTTTTGAATGAAAAAAAGCATAAAGATAATATTATACTTTGTAATTATGGTATGGTTTATCTAGAAATTAAAGCACAAAAACATATGGTCAAATCAAAACGATCTATATTTGATATTTATATCTTAGTATTATGTCTCCATATTTAAATCATTAATAAACTAATATTCATTAAGTCCACAATAATTTATTTGTTTTCAAGTTAAAATATTCCAACAAAATAAAGCAAAAATAAAATTTTCTTTATTGTACTACTTTTTAATTAAAACTTTTTCTATTGATATGATTTTCTTGTTTCCACTTTGCTATTTCTTATCTACATTGATAATTAAAGCATAAACTAATAAACAAAACAATCTATTTTTTTATTAATTTAATTAAAATTACAACAATTTAAGTGCGTTTTGAAGAAAATAATAATTTCTGCATCTATCTAATTTATTCAGAAATACTTTAATTCTCATTAATTAAACATTAAAAATATAAATAATAAAATAAAGCTCAAATAAAATTAGTTTACTACATAAAAATAATAATCATTCTCTTTTTATTTTTAAACAATTATCTGCAATACAATAATAAATTAAATTTACTAAAAATAATCCTACAATAAAAGCTATTGGCCAATAAATAAATTTTAAATAATATTAATAATCAAAATACCATTAAACTGGTTGATATTTATCATTAGGTATTTGATTATCAATATATTGATTATGAATTTCTATAAACTAAATTTCAAAATAATATATTAATGTTTATAATTAATGTGCATCCACTTTTTCATCCGGTTTTTCTGTAAGTAATAAAATGTACGTATGAGCAAGTCTTTATTTTTCTAATGCTACATCAAAATTTTGATATTTATTATAATAAGTGAAAATCTCCTTCATCTTTTTAATAACAGCATCTCTTTTTGGCTCCCAATTTATTCCTAATTCACTCTATATTAATTAAGTTAATCCAAAACTTAAAATAAATCCAACTAACAAAAATAATTTCATAAAATAATTATAATATTAAGAAAAATAATTAACCTTCTATATTCAATTACCATAACTATTACTATTCTATGTTATCTTAATAAATTTTGAATAAAGTAAAAAAATATACATTAATCTAGAAAAGGCATTTCTAAAAAACATTTCATTTTCGAATCTTAGAGTAAAAATTTAATATTCAAAATTATCTGACTAACCTTCTCTAATATCATATTTATGGTATTAATAATTAAATTATATATTCAAGACTGTAAAATCCATCTTTTCAGTGAAGTTGGATCCAAAATATAGTATAGAGAAATTAACTCTTAAAATTTATTTAGGTATCTTGGTTTTAAAATTTTAAAAGAATCATTGATTATTTCTTTATTATGTAATATACATATTAATAGCTTTTATGCAGCTTATTTGTAAAAATGGTATTATTTTAATTATGAAATATATAATAAATTTAGAATCGATATTACTAGATGATATTAAAATATTTAATATTATGATAGATTCATGATAATTATAATGTGCTAGTCTTCATCAAAATGATTTTTCATTCTCTAGGAAATAGTGCAAAAAATACTCGGATAAGGCAAATTAATGGTACAACTATAATTAAGATTAATTTAAGGTTCCACTATTTTTATTATTATTGTTTTTCATTTTATATAATACAATTACTTTTTTTTTAAGTTCTGAATTAATTAGCAATCTATTGAATCGAATTATATTATTATTGATACTTTGGAATAGTGGAATTCATAAAATCTTTCCTTTGAGGAGTTGATTCAAAGAATTTTTATTTAGCCTTATTTACAGCATCCTTGATAGTATGATAATTAGATTTTCGTATAGAAGCCTTCATTTTTTCATTGCTTTCTTCCTATAAAGAATATTTATTAATATTTTCATATTCTTTTTATCTTTTTAAAAATTCTGCTGTGATTTCTGTAGCTTATGCTGAAATTTTTTTTGATATTACACTTTTTTATATGGTGTTAGTAAAAGACAATCTTGTTGATCTTCTTTTCAGATTTTTTTCTATAGAAGAATTCATTTAATTAATTTAGTTATTATTTTGTGCAAGTATTAAAATCACCATATAAATTATAATTAGAAATATATCTTTTCGAATAGTTTTTAATATAATAAAATATAAAATAATTAAAAAATATCTTTATTAATTACAAGGCCATAATTAAATTAGAGAAAAATATATGTAAAAATTCATTTCATGTGGATCAATAGCATATTATTGTGATTAATATAGGGAATTTGATGATAATCTTGAAAATCTAATTATGATATTTCTAATAAAGGTTAAAGCATTTAGATTGATTTCTATTTAAATTCTGATCGAAATATAGAGGATTTCTTGCCTTTGATATCTTATGAATACTATCTTTAAAAAACCATTTAATTGCCTTATTATTAGTTTTATGAGCAACGATGTAGATCAATTCTTTTAGTCCAGATTGGAGATAATTCTACAAAATCTGTACCTTATTATTATTCAATGTTGTCATTCACCTCATCTTCAAATTATTTAAAACCATTATTAATTGTAGAAAATTTCATATCGACATTTTAAAAACTTAAGGATGGTCCTGATCTCTTAATATCCGAACTAAAATGAATAACTTCTTAGATTACTAGGTTTCTTAAATTATCATTGTAAGATTTGAATTAGATTGCTCAAAAAGTTATTCATTAAAGAAATCGTGTCTTAATAATTCAGCCGCAGTTGGCCTTTGTTTTGGACTTTATTTAAGCATTAAAGTGATTAGATCTTTGCAACTTTATGGAACTTTAATTGTATCATCAAATTTGAATTCTGCATTTAGATTCTTTTATAAGACTTTGGTTTTATCAATATCTTTAAATGGATGATTATTATAAATCCTACATTAAATATATTAATGCAATGTATTTACAATTAATACAAAATTACTCCTAAACTGAAAATATCACATTTCTCTGTATACATTTTAGTTCCTTCTTTATATTTTAGAATTTCAGGGGCAACATATCCTGTAGTTCCACAACGATAGAAGATATGTTATTTATCTTTAATCCATGTTGCCAGACCAAAATCAGCCAAAACTATCTCAACAGTATTTGTTTTGCATAGTATATTTTAAGGTTTTAAATCTCTATGCATAATTCCTTTTTAATGCATATAATCTACACATGTTGCTAATTATTTAAAAATCATTCTAGCATCTCTAAGATTGTAACGATGACTCTTTAATAATTCCCCTCCTTCAACTAATTCTAATACCATATTGATATGCTCTAATAAAGAGAATATAATTACTGTTTGTTTCAAACACTTTATATAATTTTATTATATTTGGATGAGATAATTCATTCATGATTTAAATTTCTTCCATTAAAAATTATGGATTAAGCTTTGAATTTTTTCTAATTCTCTTAATTGCATAGCATTAACCATTTACTTAAGATTTAGATATGAAAACCTAAAATTTTCAGTGATAATTTTAACCTAAGCTGTTGAGCCAAACCCAATTTAATTGATAATAGTGTATTATGTATGGAAGCCAATTAAAATACAATACTACTCTAATTGATTCCTAATTTAGTTGTAATTCTATTCAGAATTAGAATATAAAATGACTTGTGACTAATTATGAATTAATTATATTTGATATGGGTAAGAGTTTGAATCAACGGCTGTTCTCATGTAGACATTTTCTAATTTTCGGAAACCTTTCAAGTCCTGAAAAAAATAATAGATTCTCTCATCTTTACATTATATCCATAAAAAATATAGGCTCCTTATATTGTGTAATATCTTTCGATGAACTGATTTAGAAATTTCCCTTTTTTGTACAAACAGATACAATGTTCATTATTAAGTGTAAAATCTCTTTCATTTTGTAACAATTTTCTAAAATCTTTATCCCAAAATGAAGTGGATTTGTTATTTTTATCTATAAAGAAATGATTTGCAATTGTGAATAACTAATTCATTGATTCAATCTTTTTATCTAATAATATAAAATTTTATATTCCACATTAGTATAAGGATAGAAATAAATATATAATTATTAAAAGCAATATTAAATTTTATAATTCATTTTTTATTCTTTTTTTTTTTTTGATCCTTTTCATTGAATTCTAATGCTTAAATTTCAACCACTCCATTTCCAATTTTATTTTATTCTAATTTACAATCTCTTAATGATAATCTCCATCTTGTTATATCTTTAAGTCCCAAATTCTTTTCTTAATGAATGTTGTAGCTTGTACATTCAGCATCAAAAAGATTATTCCTCGAAGATTTATTTTACTTTTAGTTTTATTTTAACTTCTCTAAATTGGCTTCCCAAACCTCCTAAACAATTTATCCAATATTTTTCTCTTTCTCATATTATTGTCTCTTGATCTCTTATTCATCATTACAATCATCTTCTTAACTCTTTTACTTGCAAAACTCCTACCAAGCTTCTTCTAAAGCTTATGCCAATTAAGTATGAGCCAATATCCAAGTTGATATTTCTTATTTTTTTTAACTCATTTCAATTACTATTTTTTATATATAATTATATTAATAATATATAATAAGTAAAATTTGCATTTCTATTCTAAATTTTTAAATAATTTTATTATTATATTTCATCATCATCTATAATATTTAGAGTATCCTAAATCATTTAGATAATTTATTATTATTATAAAATAATAGAATTTGACAATTTATATGCATTGATTTATGTCTTAAATATCATTAAATATTTATAAATAAAGAATGATTAATCAATAATAAACAGAATTGACTCCTTAATAATCAAATAGCCCGATCATTTAATAATTAAAGGATGTGATCTATGATACATTCTCATTATTGAATACAAACTAAGCAAAAGTTAGATATCAAAATCCCGTAAGATTAATATATAAATTAGGCTTTAACCAAAAGTTGCGTGCATAGAAATACTTGCTTCGAAATGGAAGAAGCTCTGAAGGATATTTAATAAAAAAAAATTTATGAATGCCCACATTGTTAATAATAAGCAAGGAGTCCAGCTGATTTAGTTGAAGATTGGAGAGTTTAAGCATATAAAGAATTTAATATAATCGTTGAAGATGTAACAATAATCAAAGGAATTGTGGTGAATAAATACATAAGAAATAAAAAAAAATATTTGGATTTTTTCTCGATAGATGAATATGCAAGACAATTTCAAGATATGTTCTAGAGATTTACTCATGATATATCAATTAATTCAATGATCTAAAAAGAATTGGTTTCATAGAAATCTAACAACTAAACTAAGATCAATTTTTGGAGTTTTTGTTTGTAAGATAGAGTAAAAATAAATATCCCTGTGAGAATATTGGGATGCAAACATTATGAATGTTATGAATTAACGAGTTTATTATTCTTTTAAGAGTAAAATAGAAAAAAAAAAGAATTCTTAGATTGCAATCAACCTGGATGTTCAAATCGATTAAGAATTGCTCACATAGATTATACTAAGTAACCTGATACTCCAAACACTCCTTAAACAGAGGAAAAAGAGAAATAAGATAAAATAGATGATATCATAACATTATTTTCAGGTATCTGTGTAGATTTGGATTTATTCAATGCAATAAAATTAAGTAATCCGAGCTCATACAAATTTTATTACAATTAAGAGACTGGAAAAATTTAAGAAGATATAAAGACAGAGAATGGCAAATAAGTTGATCCAGTCATTAAAGCAGTATATGAATAGCATCCAGATTTCCATATCAAAATTACTTTTGAAGAATTCTAAAAATTAATATAACAATAGGCAATGTCAGTAAGTCAAGGAGATCTCTTATAAGATGATAAACAATTAGGCAAGAAAATATCTCTATATAAATACAGAAATTATAAAGTAAAAATGCAAGACCAACTCACAAAACTTACAATTGAATATCCAGTACGATGTAAATTATGTACAGATCTATAGGTTTGTATGGATATGAGAAGTTATATTGCAGATTTTAATTATTAAAAAAAAGTAAATCCAACAAAAATTTATAGTTGTCCATTATGTTAAAAACCTTAAAATAAGCCGATAATTAATACTTAAATTTATAATTACATATATTTAGATACAAATATGCTTTCATATATGTTTAAAGACATGTCTTACACTAATGGAACAAATATTTTTGAATATTAAGGTGAATAATATATGCTTTAAGAATTTATGGATAGATAAAAAATCAAAAGAGAGGATTACATAAAAGAGTTAAATGAAAGATAGGTTATATTTAAGCAATTGTTTTGCATAGTAAATAACTAATAGAGAATAAAATAACCCTTACTACTTTAAAACTGTCCTTAGAAAAATATTGTTGATTTTAAATCATTTTATGAAGAATTAAAAAACATAGATTTTGATTATGAATAAACAGATCTAATATTATGTAAATGTTAAAAGTGTAGTTAAAATTCGATTAAGTCTTTTGTAGGAAACATCTATTTTCATGAACCCTTTTATGAAGCTCTTAATAAATTTTATAAGATACAAAATCCAGTAAATGATAAAGAGTTCACTTACAAATTTGCTGATAATGAGTAGGATAGTATGGTTTTAGGATAAATAGTTTCTAGTAATCCTAAAATAAAAGTTTTACCAAATGTAAATGGATAAGCAGATACTTAAATTCTAAGAAATCTTAAAGGAGAAAATGGATTTTTGGATTTAATGGATGATGTGGAATATTAAAAGTTGTTCAGTAAAACAGATATTTCAGGTTTTTAATATAAAACAGTAGGAATGAAATAAGATTTATGTGGAGTATAAATTGAATACAAGGAAAAAGGTATTCATGCAAATGTTAAAGATGCAGTTGAGAAAATTAATAAGAATGCCAATTAAGATTTAAAAAAATATAGTTTCAATGTTGTAAGCATGTCAGTTAATTTAAAAGATGATATATTTAAAAACAACAAAGGAGAGTTTGATTATGGCACAAAAAAATGAAAGTTTATTTTAGCTACCAAAAAAAATATAATATATTTTAGTTATTTTAATGATAGTTGAATGATTAATGGGGATAATCCCTTTTATATAATTTTAATTCAAAATAATATCTGGAAAGTCTATTCATATATCTTACATAAATTTAGACTAGCATTATCAATATTCTAATGATTCAATTTAATCTGTAAATTAATTGATATTGATTTTTATAAAATAGAAACTAGAATAAGGTTATGTTCATATTATTAATTTGAATATTGTTTGATAATATAAAAATTCTATTTATATGTGACTATATCTAAAAAATTTAATATTACTTAACATTCAATATTACTTAAAATTCAATTATAATTTGCAATCCAAAAAACAAAAAAATAATTACATTAAGTAATAAAATAAAAAAATGATCACGGCCAGTCTCGAACTGGCGGCCTCGTCCTTGTTAGGGACGCGTGATAACCCCTACACCACGCGATCAATTATAACTATAAGATGAGATTTCTATAGATTAACATTCATAATAATCAACAACATTCTTATCTTTTCTTTTTATTTCTTGTATTTGATGTTAAATTTATCTTATAACTATTATCCTCAGTAAGATTAGGAAGAGAAATCTTTTAAGTATTTAATGATTCAGCCAAATCAGCTAATCTTTGAAATACCTCATTCACATTTTTACCAGTTTTGGCAGAAGTCTCAAAATATTCAATTGCAAGTTAATTAGCTAAATCCTCTCCTTATTATTTAGAAATTGTCCTTTTTTCTTCAAGATCACATTTATTAGCAATTAATATAATAGCAAGATCTGTTTTCCCATGTTATTTTAAAGAATTCATCCAAAAAGTGATTTCTTTAAAAGATTGAATATCATCAATTGCATAAACTAACAAAACACCATGTGCATATTTATAATAATTTTATGTTAAAGTTCTGAACTTCTCTTATCCTGCTGTATCCCAAATTTACATCTTCATGATTTTACCATTTACTTTCATTTCCTTAAATTTGAAATCAACTCCAACAGTAGTTAAATGACTTTCACTATAAACATTATCAATAAAACGTGTAAGTAGATTAGTCTTTCCAACTTAAGCTGACCCTATTATTAGAAATTTACACATAAGATCATATTAAGGCTTTTTAGACATAGTAATTAATATATTATAAAAATTAATCATTTTGTGAACATATTTTTAAAATAACTCTTAGTTTTAATCATATTAAAGCTTGAATTTATTAAAATTCGATCATAGCATTGTATCAAATAATATAATTTTTGAATTAATGAAAATCAAACAAGATAAGCAAAAAGTTTCAATTCCCCTAAAAGAGCAATTCATCAATTCCATCCTTCAACTTTATTATTATGCTCCTTTAAATAAATCTGCTTTATTTGGCTTTTATGCTTTAGGATTGTTATAGCCTTTGCTATTCCAAAACTTCCCTCTAAATTCATTTACTCAGTTAGATGATTAAATACTAACACCTATTAATTAATTTTGGTACATTGAAGTTGTGGCTCGCCTTGACTTTATCATTTAAGACTACATACCCAAATATTGTTATTTGATACCAATGATCTTTAGCATAGTGTTTATTTTTATCCCTTTATTTTTGAATATTTCCAACAAATGGAACTCAAATAATAAACGAATAATTAATAAGCTATCCTTTTATATGCATTTGAGTTCATACCTTTTTTAGCTTCAACCAATATTCTTATAAATACCATTTTATTGTCTCTGCTTTCAATCTTTAAGTTATAATATAAATAGTGATGATATTATTGAATTAAATTACCTAAACATTACATTAACTACTATATCTCTACTGTTTTTATATACCATTAATTTTTTGATTATTCTACTATGTAAGGAAACAATTGATTTTAATTTAAATTGCTTTTCTAATCTCAAATTAAGCTTTGGTGATTTTATTATATGGATACTTAATATATTCCAAATTATCATTTTCTATAATTTGAAGAAATACAATGAAATTTTATAAGCAATAATACTTTTTGCTATTGCCTTAATAATGTTATATAATATTTTTAGTTTGTTAACATGTTTGAAAAAAATGATTTTAACAACCTTAATCATAATTTCTTATTAATTTATTTAATCTTTATTGATTTTAGTCAATTTTGAATCAGAAATAGATATCAACATCAATATTATTATTTATATCATAGTTCCTTTATTAACTTAAATTTTATATGAATTCTTTATTTATAGGGATTATAAGATGATGTTGAAAACATAAAAATTTTCAATTTCAAATTGCAAATATATACTTGGAAAGTTTTTTAATGATGAATTCATATCATTTTCCTAATCTATTATTATTTATACCAAAATTATTATTGAATATCAATAGAAGAAACTATCAATTGAACCATAATAATAATTACCATTAACTTATATCAATCAAGAATACTTACCAAAATATTTATTGAATTTTTACTACAAAACTCAAATGAAAAAATATATTAAAGAACTTTAGAGAGTAGATTCTAAAAATAGAAATGCTAATCATTATGTACATTATGTTGCACTTCTCTATAGAATTGGATTAAATAACTTAGCTCTCAAATAAATCAATATCTTATTATTTAATATCACTATGAGAACTAATAGTAGAAGTTAAGTTAAAGAAAAGATTAGTGAATAAATTAAATCTTTTAATACTATGAATTAAAGAAAATAATCAATGAGTAAATCATCAAAATCATAAGATGTACAGGATGCAGGTTAATTATAAATAAATAAACTAAACAAAATGCTTGCCTTTACTGGAACTCATTTATTAAACTTTTATCAAAAAGTAAGAGTAATGATACTTAGAGAAAAAGTCAGAGATAAATTAAAACTATCCTTTCAATACAAAGAGATGATTGGAGATACTTATAGTTTACAAATGGCTATAGAATTATTCTTAAAAAGTGAAAAGAGAAACTAAAACCTAAAAGAGTAAGTGTAAATGTTAGTTAATTCTAAATTAGGATTCTATTTATAATTATAATAAGTAAAACATATAAGATCAGTCTAACTCTTTCAAGTATCTAAATAATTAAGTAAGAAAATAGAAATCTTAGAAAATAAACTAATCAAATTATATAAATATTTTCCAAGTCAAAGGATTTAATCATTATATACTTATTTTTAAGGAGAACTTTTAGATAATTATTTATATGCTCATAAAATAACTTGTAATTCATCTATATCTGATGAAAAGTTAATAAATGTACATAGCAATACAGACTAAAAACATGCATTATTTAATAAAGATTTAATATATTTAAATGTTAAATTATTTGAAGATACTTAAGAACTATAAATATAGAATATAACTCCATAAATTTGCACATTTTTTTAAAGAAATTATGATGATTTAAAGGCAAATAGTAATATAGATTATTTATTACCAGATGGGATTATTAATGAACATTAATTATTAGTGTAAAGATTTCTGCAATCTTCTTAGTCTAGATTTTATTTAAGCAAAAATCTAAGTTTTTTTAAACTTCATTCAATAATCATAAAACCATTTGAATTCTTTTTTGAAGTTAATTTTAGTGATATTACATAAATATAATTTTTAGCATTTTTAAATGAAAGTTTTTAAACTTCAGCTTATATATTTGTTGATGTAAATTAATAAGTAGGTGGTATTACTTAAAATTTATTGGATAAATTAGGATTTTCAAATTATTATATTGAAAATATCAAATCTAAATTGTTANTAGTAGAAGTTAAGTTAAAGAAAAGATTAGTGAATAAATTAAATCTTTTAATACTATGAATTAAAGAAAATAATCAATGAGTAAATCATCAAAATCATAAGATGTACAGGATGCAGGTTAATTATAAATAAATAAACTAAACAAAATGCTTGCCTTTACTGGAACTCATTTATTAAACTTTTATCAAAAAGTAAGAGTAATGATACTTAGAGAAAAAGTCAGAGATAAATTAAAACTATCCTTTCAATACAAAGAGATGATTGGAGATACTTATAGTTTACAAATGGCTATAGAATTATTCTTAAAAAGTGAAAAGAGAAACTAAAACCTAAAAGAGTAAGTGTAAATGTTAGTTAATTCTAAATTAGGATTCTATTTATAATTATAATAAGTAAAACATATAAGATCAGTCTAACTCTTTCAAGTATCTAAATAATTAAGTAAGAAAATAGAAATCTTAGAAAATAAACTAATCAAATTATATAAATATTTTCCAAGTCAAAGGATTTAATCATTATATACTTATTTTTAAGGAGAACTTTTAGATAATTATTTATATGCTCATAAAATAACTTGTAATTCATCTATATCTGATGAAAAGTTAATAAATGTACATAGCAATACAGACTAAAAACATGCATTCTTTAATAAAGATTTAATATATTTAAATGTTAAATTATTTGAAGATACTTAAGAACTATAAATATAGAATATAACTCCATAAATTTGCACATTTTTTTAAAGAAATTATGATGATTTAAAGGCAAATAGTAATATAGATTATTTATTACCAGATGGGATTATTAATGAACATTAATTATTAGTGTAAAGATTTCTGCAATCTTCTTAGTCTAGATTTTATTTAAGCAAAAATCTAAGTTTTTTTAAACTTCATTCAATAATCATAAAACCATTTGAATTCTTTTTTGAAGTTAATTTTAGTGATATTACATAAATATAATTTTTAGCATTTTTAAATGAAAGTTTTTAAACTTCAGCTTATATATTTGTTGATGTAAATTAATAAGTAGGTGGTATTACTTAAAATTTATTGGATAAATTAGGATTTTCAAATTATTATATTGAAAATATCAAATCTAAATTGTTATTTAATACACCAATAGAATTATTGATTCCAAGATTCTTATAATTAACTACATAAAAAGATATCTTAAATCTTACAGATTTCTAATTTTTAAAACAATCTATTTTGATAAATCCATTGATAAATGATGATGATAGGATAAGAACTACAAAATAAGACTTTTCTGAATGGTAATTAGAAGAGAATTTGATACATTGTGAATGTCTAATATCAATTCATATTAGAGATCTTTATGGATATTAATATTATATAGTAGAGATAAAAGAATTAAAGATTAATGATTCTTACTTTGAAAACGAATTAGAGAATATTTCATTAGATTAAGCATTTACTCCTGTATCAGATTAAGAAGGATTAGCTAATCCACCTGGGATTTTGAAAATAGAAAAAGAGAAGTTTGAACCTTTGAGAAGGAATGATCATTAATTTGAAATTAATTTAATTTTAGATAAAAGCTAATAGTTTTATCATCCAGATTAATAAAAGTATGAGGTTAATTTAATGAGTCCTGTTGATTTAAGTGCTAATCCAACTCCATTGAATTCTGCAAATCCTCTATTGAAATAATAAGAATTTTATAGTTAAATAGGATAAAATCCTGAAGGTATTTCATATTCATCTAAAAATCAATTTGGTAAAGCAGTAGATATGGATGATTTAGAATAAGTTAAGAAACCTTAATTTGAAAATAAAGGTGAGGATACTAATTCTTCTTAAGTTGGATGGGCAAAATAATCATAATTTTATAAAAAATATGAAATGATTTAATAAATTTTGAAATCTCATAATCCAAAGTAACTAAAAATATTTACTATATTATTAGTAGTATATTTTATAATTAGTTGTATTCATTATATAATAATAATCACTAAAAATTAGGATGATCTAAATTAATTTATATCTGAAATAGATATGATAGAATTACATAGTAGTTTCATGGCACCTCATGATATATTTGTTGCTATGAGAATAGCAATAGTTTCATATACTTCATATATTTAAGATGGTGCACTTACAGTCACTTAAGCTAATGCTTTAATGAAACCATTTTATGATAATATTTAAATTGGATTTACTGAAATAAAAGAAGTATTTATAAAATAATTAAATAATTAAAATTTATAACCATTTTTTGAAAATAAAACAATTGGTATGATATTTATGGGTGCAAATACAAGTGATGTTTATAATGTTACATTAAATATTAGAGAAGCATTACAATAAATCATATAAAATTTACATTAATATAAATATAGATATGAAAATAGAATGAGTACATCAGGTAGTTCAATTTAAGTATTTGGAGTAGCAAATTAATTCTATCTTCATTATTGGTTAGAGGAATTAACCTTAGAAATTATGGATTATTCAACAAATAGAAGTATGACAATAGAATCTGATTGGACTACAATTTGGGCTATATTTGTTGTGATTACTCTAATAATTACATTACTTATAATTTATTATTATAGATTATTCAATAAAAGATAAGATATGTATTTAGGAGTGTTTAAGTTTTGTAATTTAAGTAGATTACAATATGAAATAGATAGATATAAATTAATTTAAAAATAATTATTAAAGAATCCTGATCTAGTATTCTTATATAAATTTGATTTATCATAAAAGGAATAATAACTTTTAATCCAATAAAAAATATAAGATTAACTTTATAGAAAGAATAAAGATTAATAACGAAATACTTAATTATAATATGAATCTTTATCAATAATAATTAGTATATCATTAATATTAGGAATTTGGATAATATTTTTAGGATTGAGTATAATAATATTTTAAGGAGAATTGAGTTTCTTAAAGAAATATCCTGATACAGTTGATATTTATAAATTAATATAAGATATGACTTATTCTTCAGCCACCTTATATTAAAATAGAGATTTCCATTTTATATTTCCCAATTTTACTTATATGACTGAATTTGATGATAAATAATTATTTTCATTAATTGATTAAGGAATTGAAAATATTTTAAAGTTTAATTTATTGACATAAAGATTTGATTCATCTAAATATTAAGTAAATAATGATTTTGTCTTATTTTTTAATTAAGTATAAAAATAATCAGTTTGTGATATATTGAGTTAAGAATAATTAGGATTTTTAGTAGATTTTTGTCCTATTTCAATATAAGGAAATTATTTAAAAGGAGTAATGGCAGCATTGAATTTTATGAAAAATTAGATTTAAACTTAAATTGTTGCCAATAGATTTAGCAAAAGATTAGAATATCCTATTTATGATAATGAAGCTGGTATTATAATGGTTAGAGTATTTTAAATGATGACTTAAAAATTAAAAACAAGTATGTTAGGTGTTACAAATGATTTGCAAACTGTCTCAATTGTAAAATATCTTAATATATATTAGGTGCTTTCTTCAATTTATTTAATATTTGCGATATTATCTATATCAGTAATATTTCTAGGATTGAAAAAATATCTAGAAACAGAATTTAATACAATTAAAAGATTCATACAATTAATACCATCTTCCATAACCATGTTAGATGATTAATTTGAAAGATACATTAGAGCATTATTAGTTGAAGAAATTTCGTGAATTATGATATAAATATTAATTAAAAAATATCATTATTAGAGAAATTAAATGAGAATAAAATTCAATGTTATTAAATATTTTTAGATTTGATTACAAGATCTTTAAGTTCTTTATCAATTTCTTATATTTAATCTATTATTTGAAGCAATTATTATCTTTTTTCTTATTTAATTTTTAAATCAATTAATTATGAAATTTCATTTTCTATAGTCTCATATTTCATATTAAGAATTTTCAATTATTCATTTAAATGATGAATTCTTTATTAAATTTAAAAGTATCCTTGTTCTTTATTTATACTTAATTAATCTGTATATAAATGTTCATCTGTTGAATTTCTAATATTATTCCTATCATCACTCTTCTACTAAGTAAGGAAATTCTATTCTTAAGTCTTAACAATCAATCTACTAAAAACACTACTCTATGAATCAATAGTTTTTTATTTTAATAATTCTTATTAACTAGTATTATTTGATTAAGCTAATAATTTATTATTACTATATTTATCAAATTTTCTATTATTCATTAAACTTTAAGTTTTGTCAATTATATTTTTACTCAATTTACTTTTCTTTTATGTTTCTCTAGGACTTTAAGTATGAATTATGGAGTTGAAAGATAAATTAATTAATTATTGCTTTAGTAAATCAATCTAGATATTAGACTCTGATATTTTTTTAACTCTTTTTAACTCTGCTTTTTCCAATTCTAATTTTTAATGTTCTAAATCTAATTTCAACTATAAATTATGATCCTTATATTATTCTATCTAGTTAGTTAATTCTTAAATCTATTTTTTTTACTTAATTGTTTCTTCTTGTATTCCTATATATTAAATGTGAATAATACTTTATATTTTAATCTCATCATATTATTATGTATACCAATTCATATAAGTATGTATTTCAAATATTTATTCTTTTAATTTATTGATTTCATCTTATAAACGTTCATTCTTTTCTATTAAACATTTACCATCTCTCTTTTCCTAATCTAAAATTAATTCAAGATTGCTATTATTCTATTTATATTATGGGTAATAATTACTTATTTCTCTTACTAAATTGTTTGATTTTATAAGTTAATTTTATTTCTATAATTTTAATTGTTTTCTCCTTATAATTCTAATTAATCTGATCTAAAAATAATAAATAAATTAATAAATTACAATTATTGGATATAATCTTATTATTCTCTATATCTTTAGTCAGATTATGAGGCAATATTTATTAAATTTGATTGTAATTATTATATTTTTTATTCATACTCATCTTTCATTAAGTCTTTTTCAATTTCCATTTGAGCTAACTTTAATTCAACATCTTTAATTTATTGGTTCTCATTTAATTTACAATCAGTATTTACATATCTTTCCTTAATCTCATCTTATTTAATCACTTCTTTAGAATTCTATCAAGATATGTTGTAAATAAATACAATCTAGATTAGAAGACTTTCATTTTCATTTTCTAAAGATTTGATTTTATCTTATAATGCTTTCATAGCATTCACATAACTTTAAGATGTTGATAAATTGTTGGATAATTTTTAATCATCTGATGGGCTTAGTTAATTATATGATTTTTTAGATTGATCTTTTCCACGAACTCTATAACCACTAAAAAGTTAAGCATTTAAGAATTGAGAGTATTTTGGTTATTTATCAACAATTATTGAATGAACACTGTTTGTTTTCATAAATAGTTATATTAAATTAAATATATTAATATATAAAATAATAAAAATATATAGAATAGATAACCAAATAAGTTGTATTAGTAAATTTAATCATAAAACATTCAGATTTGTACTTTTTTCTATTCTTCCTATTTTTTATTAGTTTCAAAATATTTTTTAGAATCAGATATCAAAAATTGGATGATCTCATTATCATATATTTCTTATGTACTAAAAATAGCATTCAAATAAACTTCTAGATCTTCTCGTCTTTTTTCAATAGTCTCTAAAATAATTAAATTAGATTATATACCTGGATTTTCATTTGTTTAACCAAAAAGCTTACGAGTAGGAAATGGAGGTAATTTGCCTTTATATCCTTAATCGACTAATGCATCATGAATATTCTTAATTTCAGAGTATCTTTATTTGTAAATCCACTCTTCTTTTGTGATTCTGTTTTTAAATCTCATAGAGTAGATTACGACATCATCATAAACTGTATAGCTTTCAATAGAGACAATGATTTTCATTCTAGGATTAGATTAGATATAGTTACTATTAATTTAAAGGTGTTTCAATAGGTAAATATGATTGGACAGGTGGTAAACTAAGAATTTTATCAATGCTGAAAAGTTAATTGAAATATAATTCTAATTCTTGTTGTCTTTGTATTATTTTTTCTTGATTCTTATTGGTTTTAGAGAATAGTGATCTTTTTGGGAATTCAGGTAATTATAATTAAAGTTTAAGTAGATTGATGTTTTTTATTAATTGTTCATGAAAATCTTTAAGTTCTGAATATCTATTCATTGTTGTTTTAGTATCTGAAGGATTGTTTACATTTGTTACGATGATTTAATAATGGACTTTTTCATTTTGAATGAGATTGTTGATTTTGACTGAATAATGTTTGAGTATCATTAGAGAATGTTGAAAAACAAAATAAATTAAATTTATAGGAAATATTTAACTCAATATATTACTTTAATTAATTAATGGATTTATTTGGTGTTTTTGAAACAAATGCTAATGCTGATGGAATTCAAGTGGAGAACCAAGTGGAAGAGGAAGTGTCAATGAATGTAGAAGCATAGGAGAAAGTTGAGGCATTTAAGATAATAAAAAACCAAGAAAATGAAGGTTGTATTCATGAGTGGTACACACCTGAAGATTACTAGCCTATTCTAGAAAAGAAATAGAATGCTAAATAATATAAGTTTACTTTGGATCCATTCCAAAAAGTAGCAGTCAAGACTTTGGAATCAAATGAATCTGTATTAGTGGCTGCACATACAAGTGCAGGTAAAACAGCAGTAGCAGAATATGCTATAGCAATGGCTAAAAGAGATAAACAAAGAGTTGTGTATACCTCTCCAATTAAGGCTTTATCAAATTAAAAATACAGAGAATTGTAATAAGAATTTGGAGATGTTGGATTGGTTACAGGAGATGTAACATTGAATGAGAATGCCTTTTGTTTAGTAATGACAACAGAAATTTTAAGGAGTATGTTATATAGAGGTTCAGAAATTGTAAGGGAAGTAGCATGGGTCATAATGGATGAAGTACATTATATGAGAGATAGAGAAAGAGGAGTGGTTTGGGAAGAGACTATTATCTTATTAAATTAAAATGTAAGACATATATATATATTCATTTTTTAGGTTCGATTTGTCTTTTTATCTGCTACAATTCCTAATGCTAGTGAATTTGCTGAATGGGTTTGTAGAATCAAACGTTAACCTTGTCATGTTGTTTATACTGATTATAGACCTACACCATTATAACATTATCTATTTCCAAGTGGAGCTGAAGGAATCTATTTAGTTGTGGATGAAACAGGAAAATTTAAAGAAGACAAATTTTAAGAGGCTGTAGCAAAGTTGGAAGAAAATGTTGAAAATACAAGGAAGAGAAAGGCTTCAGAGGGTTCAGATTTATTTAAATTGATGAAGATGATATAAGAGAGAGAATTAGCACCAGCCATAGTGTTCTCCTTTTCTAAAAGAGAAGTAGAAGGATATGCTATTGGAATGTAGAAATTAGATTTAACAACACCAAAAGAAAAAGAGAATATTGAAACCATTTATAAAAATGCCATGAATTGTTTATCTGAAGAGGATAGATAATTACCATAAATTTAATTAATGCTTCCAATTTTAAAGAAAGGAATTGGTATTCATCATGGTGGTTTATTACCAATTGTAAAGGAAATTATTGAAATACTTTTTTAAGAAGGATATCTTAAAGCTTTATTTTCTACCGAAACATTTTCTATGGGTTTGAATATGCCTTCTAGAACTGTAGTTTTTACTTCTGTTAGAAAATTTGATGGTGAATAATTTAGATGGATTCAAGGTGGAGAGTATATTTAAATGAGTGGTAGAGCTGGTAGAAGAGGTATTGATGATAAAGGAGTTTGTATTTTAATGTGTGATGAAAAGATGGATTAAGAAGTTGCCAAATCTATGCTTAAGGGAAAATCAGATGGTTTAAATTCTTCATTTAGATTATCATATAATATGCTTATCAATTCTATGAGGATGGAAGATACTGATCCAGAATTCATTATTAAGAAGTCTTTCCATTAATTCTAAAATGATAGATAATTACCTGAAATGAAGGAAAAATTATAGGATTTTAAACAAAAACAAGATTAAATATAAATTGAAAATGAAGATAAATTAGGTAATTATCATGATCTAATCTCTTAATCTACACACATTTATAATAAAATAAGGAAGATTATCTATTAACCATAAATTGTATTACCATTTATGCATATAGGCAGAATTATAAGAATAAAAGGTTCAGATGGAGATTGGGGATGGGGAATATAAATTAATTTTATGTAAAAGAAATTTGGAAATAAAAAGAATAAAGATCAAGAACAATCTATTATTTTAGATGTAATGTTATATGTTCAAAAAAGAAAGAAGGTATATATATATATTTAATTATAAAGAATGAACCACTCTAACCTCAATTATCATATGAATAAGATGGAGAATTAGAAATAGTACCTGTATCTATTGAGTAACTATATGAGATTAGTACAATCAAATTGAATTTACCAAAAGATCTTAGAACCAATGAAAGCAAATAATAAATTAAATAGACTATGATTAAATTGTTAAAAGAATTCAAAGGATAGCCTCCTCTTATTCATCCAATAAAGGATATGAAAATTAATGATGATTAATTGGATAAATTGTTAGAATAAAGATAATCATTAATAGAATAAATAGAATAAGTTAAGAAGGATTTAAATAATTAGAATTTAGAACAGGAATTAAAAGTTTATGATGAGAAAATTAAACTAGGTTAAACAATAAAATTGTTGAATAAATAAATTGATGAAAGTTCACAAATGGTTTTAAGTGGAGATCTAAAGAGAATGAAAAGAATTTTAAGAAGATTACAATATATATCCAAAGATGAAATTGTATAGATGAAAGGTAAAGTAGCCTGTGAGATATCAGCAGGAGATGAAATTATGGTATATTTATATAATATATAAATTAGTTAACTGAACTTTTAGTAAGTGGACTCTTTAATGATTTAGCTTCTGAAGAAATATGTGCTGTATTGAGTGTCTTTGTTCATGATGAAAATAATAGTGAAAAATTCTAATTAAAAAATGATAAAATGTAATAACTATATACAAAAGTACTTGAATAGGCTAAATATCTTTATACTGTATATACAGAATCAAAAATGAATATTGATGAAGTAATATTTTTAATATCATAATTTTTTAGAAAGAGTATTTGGCTACATTTAAGAGTTAAATGATGGAAGTAACTCTAGCTTGGTGTTAAGGATAATCATTCTTATAGATTTGCAAAATGACTGATCTATTTGAAGGATCTATTATTAGATGTCTAAGAAGATTAGATGAATTAATAAAATAAATGGAAGAGGCTGCAAAAGTGATTGGAAATAAGGAATTGGAAAATAAGTTTAAGGAAAGTTCTAAGAAACTTAAGAAAGGTATTGTTTTTGCTGCATCTTTATATTTGTGATTGTATTTATTGAATTATAATTTAATCTATGAGTGATAAAAATTGTTTTGAACCTATTTGTGAAAAGGAAGACATTCTCAATTTTAAATCCAAAAAGAAATCTAAGCTTTAATTTGAAGATGAATAACCAATTCAAGAATGTCCATTAAATAGGGCTACTTATGGAAATTATACTTGGAATATGTTGCATACTACAGCAATCTATTATCCAGATGAACCTACTTTGGAATAATAATAGAAAATGAGAAATTTCTTTGATGCGATTGCTGAGTTTTATGCTTGTAAACATTGTAAAGCTCATTTTCAAAAGGATATATTAAAATGTAAATGGTATGTTAATGTATATTAGATCCTTCATAAGTAACATCAAGGAAAGATCTTTCGATTTGGTTATGTTAGAGACATAATGATGTGAATTAATAACTTGGCAAAGTACAATTTGATTGTAGTTTTGAAAATCTTGAGAAGAGATGGAGAACAGGATGTTAATGAATAAAATTATTTGTGTTATTTTTGTTCTTTTATTTTTTACTATATTTACTATATTGTAAATGTAATATAATTGATTGATAATTTATAATTGAATTAATTTAATGAATGAATAAAAATTACGTGAGATGATGAAAATCTATACTGTTTCAAAATAAGTAAACAAAAAGGCTGAAAAGAATTTTATCAAATTTTCTAGTTAATATTATAAATTGCATAAGAATGACATGACTCCAGATTTATTGAATGAAGTCAATTCTCTTAGAACACAAATCAAATCTGATAGAGTTGCATTTTCCAATTAAAACTCTCCTCAAGTAAGTCCTCGTCTTACAACCAATCCTTTATTTAATTGTAAAAAAAATGGGATTTAAATTTATTATAGTCAAAGAAGAGAAGCCAAAATTAAATTCCATTTATTCAGATGATAAACATTAAGATATTTATAAACTCTACATTGAAGAAATAAGCGATCTCAAATCATGTTACTATATTCATTTATTTCTAGAACTGAATTAAGCCAATTCTATAATAAAATAATAAAAAATTGATTATGATAGAAAGATATTAGGTAAAGTTTTTTTATAAAATAAGAATTAAATTTAAAACTAGAATCAGAAAGAGCTAGAATCAAAGATCTCAATTAATAAGTAATATTAAAAAAAGTATAATAAATTAGATCTAAGAGATGAAATCTAATTAATTAACAAAATCAATTGTACCTATGCTCAATTATAGTTTTGATTAAAAAAAATAGAAATAGAATTCTGATTTAAATAAAGAATAAAGTAGAGAATTATTTAAGACTGAAATTTGTAAGGCCTTAGAAAAGTACAACAACAATAAGTAAGATTAGAGTAAGGAATATAAATGAATAACAAGTCTTATTGGTTTCAATTTTTGTGTATTTATGATTAAATTAATATGGCATAAGAATAATCGATATTTAATTAAATGGATCAGCAATCTCCAGATATTAAGGAATTGTTATTACTTTATAATAATGCTATCTAAATCAAAAAGAGAGCTGAAAAGAAATTAATACGTTTCACTAATTGCCTTTCAGAATTAGATAGAAGAAATTGTGGTGTAGAAATTATTGAATAAATCAATGTTGTCAGACAATAAATTAAAGAAGAAAGAAAAAATCAAGCAGAACAAACCGTTAGGAATTCATATGTATAAATGCAAAATCAAATGGATAAAAGTAGTTTAATTCTGAAACAAAAACTATAAGAAAAAGAACTATGTATATATGTTATCTGATTTAATATAGAACTTGAATCTATGGAGTTGGAGTATAAATGTCAAATATAATAATAATAACAAATAATTAACCATCTTAATATATAAATTGAAGAAGTTAAAGATTGTAATTATTGTTCATTATTCAAATAGATAATCAGGAATAAATTTTCTGTTTGACTCAAAAGAATCAATAACTACTCAATCTTATTTAAGACTTGAACAACTAAATTGCAGAATTAAAATAAAGTATCCTTTTAAATGATATTTTAGTTTTGGAGCATTATCAAAACGAAGAATTCAAATATCAAAATAATAATAACAGTAATAATTTGCATTATTTTAAAAAGGTTCTATAAGAGTATCTTAAAACTCTCAAATGCTTTAGAATATCAAGAAACTTGGAAGCCAAGACTACAATCATACAATTGAATCTATGGATTAATGCTAATTTGAAACTTTGGCTTCTGAAGTCAAATATCAAGAAACTTGTGAAAATTTTGATGAAGAAATTCTTTTGGGATCTTATAATTAATGTTCAGAATCTAAAGGTATACAAATATCCAAATTATAGATTTGTAATCCCCCATCAAAATTTAAGATCAAAAAATAAATCCAAATTAAATTAATGAATTGACTTTTACAATTGAAGAATTAAAAGAGCAACTTCAAAGTAACATATCATATTTAGTTAGACTTGTAGTTTGAAAAACAAAGATTAATTGACAATTTGAAAGAGAACCAAGAAAATTTTGATTCAATTATACTAAATACTTAACAAAATTAGAATAATTTAAATAATTAAATTAATGATTTGATTCAATCAAACTAAGGTATAGATATACATAATATATATATTTAGAACTATTTACTAAAGAGTAAATCCTTTAGACATAGGTTTAAGAATAAATAAATCAAATAGAAATACTTACTGGATAACTAGTAACATCTAAATAGTTATTAAATAAAAATGATGAAACTATTTCTAAATTTAAACAAGAATAAGAAATCACAAAATCTTAAATTCTATTATTTAAAGAATAACTTGAAATTATTCCTAAATTAGAATAAGAAATTAAGCATCATTAATTAATAATTTAGGATTATGAAAACCAAATACTTAGTTCTACTGTAAAAAGATCAGAATTAGATGATAAGCTAAATTAATAGCATATTAATCAAGAGAAATTTAAAACATGTGAGTTGGATTTAACAAAATTAATATAAGATTTAAATTCTTAATTAACTGAATTTTAAATAAAATACTAAGTATTAGAATAAGAAAATATTAAATAATAATAATAGATTATCCTTTTAAATGAATAAAAAAATAAGTAATAATTATAATTTGAGGATTTAAAATAAAAATATTGTCAAATTTAATAGGATAAAATAGAATAAGGATTTTATAAGGAAAAAGAGGAAGATGTGACTAAATAATCTGAATGTAATTATAATTATAATGAATTTTTAGAGAATAAAATTTAAAATTATAATCTTTAAAGTGAGATAAATTAATTGAAAATAGATAAAGAAGAATTAATTAAATAAAACAATAGTAAGGATTTATTAATACAATTATAATAATAATTGGAGAATCAATATAAAGGTACACTATAATTATTGAGACTCTAGTTCTTGAAGAATAACATAAAAATGCTAAAAAATAATATTAGGATGAATGTAATAAAATTACAGAATATTACAAACAAGAAATCAAATTAATGTAAGAATAATTGATAAGAAATTCAGAAAATATCAAATAATATTCACCTGTAAATGATATATCATAAGATGATAAATATAAAGAATATATTAATAGATTAAATGATGAACTTAGATAAAGCAAACTATAAATTGCACAATCATCTACTATTAATAATTAATTAAAGTAATAATAAAAGGATTTGGTATTGAAGTTATAAAGTATGTTAAAATTGACTCCAGCAGTCGATTAAGATTTAAATGATTTGATTTTAATAATTGAAAGCAATTTATCAAGTTGTCAAAGCAGTCCTGTTAGACAATCGTTTAAAAGAACTAGTATGATAGATACAACAAAAATGCTTATGAATAAATCAAGACTCTCATTTGGTTCTAATAGAGGATCAGTTTAGGTTTCTTAGAAATAATTATCAGACAATGGATATAGAAATAGTTTAAATATCTAGAAGGTTCCATAGAGTAGTCAAAGTAATACAGATTTGTAGAAAATTCTGGATGATGTTTCGGATTAGGATATCATTTAATAATGATTAAGAATGTTTCATATTGAATTTATATATTTTTACAACATCTTCAGCATTTTTCATCATGGTAACTCCAAAGAAAACTCTTTGGACCTCTGCCTGCTGCTCTCTTTACAAACTCTGCATCATTTGGAGGTTTCATCTGATAATAATAACATTAATCATCACTTTTTTTGTAGCACTTGATAACATGGATTGGATTGAAAGGCAAACAGATGATACAGTCAAAGCTGCTGACCATTCTAATTAAATTATTTAACATGTAAATACCATCAAATAATATTGACAAACAAATGAATCCATTAGAATAAATATGTTCATGCTCAGGTGGTTTACCAATAAAGATGACCTAAAAATTCTGATTATTAATATTACTTCAGGTGATTCAATTGGCTAATTTCATAAGAAAAAAGAGCTAAATAAGAATAAGTAATTCTACATAATCATTTGAGAATTTGAATTGCAATCTAAAATATTAATATCAATGCTTACTCGAATTTCTCCCCTTAATAAAGAGTACCTTTTGCACCTTCAAATGCAACAATCCAATGTTTAATATCATTATTGGGCATTCTTACATTGAATTAATCAGCATATGCCTTTTGCATCTACTCTAAGTCTTTTTAAAGTCTCTTTGCCATTCTACTTTACATTTTTTCTTTAAAAATAATTATAATTTTTTAATAATAATGCTCTAGATTAAAAACAAAATACTCATGAACTGTACAAAATAATGATTAATTCAACATATAAGACTATACAATATGTAAAGATGAATGATTGAATTAATAATAATTTTAAATAATACTTTACAAAATATAATTCTCTAAAAATAAAAATTGATTGAAAGTAATTAACTGAGTGAGGATCAACAACATCTGTTATTTGTTGCTCCAACAAATTATTTTAAAAAAAAACTTATTTAAATATTTTTTTTTTGGTTTATAAATATCAATCAAAAATTCATTTAAAGTACTTAATTATGATACTATGGTGGAATAAAATAAAAAATTAACAATAAATGGAATTAGTTTTAATTTTATGTATTATATTTATTAAATAATAGAAATAAAATTTGGTAATGAAATTGGATTTATTTCTGTAATTACTTGATAAGCCACTCTAAACTTTATTGAATAAGTTAAAGCTCAACTATTTTAAATGGTTTGATTAATTTATATAATTAATTATTTAATATATGATTAATTAATCAAACAATGAATAACAGTCTAAAAATATCAGTAATTTAATTTAAAATAAATGAAGTATATTCAGTAACTAATTAGCATATTCTTATTCGAAATTCATTTTAAACTTCATTTAATAGTTCTACAAAGCCCTGTAATTACATAATTCAGCTTGATTTAAGGATGGATAAATTTAATTAATGAATATTATGTATTATACGGCATTTTAAATAGCATATCTTTTTTTCGTTTCTAATTATAATATTTCGAATTAAATTACGACTAAATGTATAGCTTTTTGACCAACTAACTCATCTTTGATCTCTAACTTACCTAATAAAACAACTATTGGAATATGTATTAGAATATGCAGCAAATTTATTATCCTAATGTTTATGGCTATCCTTATGTAAATCAACCTTAAATTTATCATTAACTATAAGAGTAAATTGCTGTCTAATCAGAACAAGGTAATAACAGCTACAATTATTTTAGCTTAATTCAAAGAAGATGCTAGTACATGCTAAGGTACAAGAAGATCTCTTTTAGAGATTAAAGATGTTGTGCCTGTTGTATCAAGTGAAACCCTGGAGAAATACATACTTTTGATTGTCAATGAAGATGAAGCTGTGAATCAAATAATTTCTTCGTTAAAAAACAGTGGCTAATTTTCTTTGTCAAATGTCCTTGAGATTCTTTCACAGAAGCAGAAGCAATAACATAAAAGTAGAGAAGAACTTATTAAGTTTTGCTTAAGAAAAGCCTTTAAGTTCATCTTCAGAAAGGTATAAGAGGAAAATGACAAATCAAGTAATTTATTAAACTTAATTTCTTAGAGACAAATTTGAAATCAGCTTAGAAAATATTCATAGAAGCAATCGAATAAGAAACAAAGAAGCATATAATTTTGCCATTTAGAAAAAATAGCAAGAATAAAACTATGAATTCAGATTTCTTAAAAGAAATATTTTCTTCTTCAACATTTGTTCGTTATTATGAGCAATATTTAAGTATTAATATAATATAACTCATAGGTTGCTTAGATGAATAAATTAAAAAAGACTCAAAAAAAAAAATTGCTGCTTTATGCAATAAAATCTAGAATAAAATTTCAGACGATAAAATTGTATAAATTTTTTTGAATTTAGATTTCTTTCGAAGTTAAAAGATTGCCTTGGTCTCTTTCCAATATCGAGAAGGTTAAAATAGCTGCGAAAGAAATGTTATTATATTCTAAAAATTAGTATAATTGACATTACAATATTTATTCCTATTTAAAAATAACATCATATCACAATCTAATTAATTATTATTTATTTTATATTAATCAATATTTGATAAATTCTGAAAAATATCAGTAATAAATTTCTTATATATAAATAAAAATTGAGGACTTTTGTATGAAGTTATTCACACTTATTGATATTATAAAATAATTTATGAATAACCTCCAAAATAACGCTTAACTGATTAAATATAAGATTAATAAAATATTTATTATACTAAATTATTTAAAATAGGATTAAACAAAATCAAAATTCAATAAATCATAATCACAAATATCAATAACATTATATCTATCTAAAGAGCTTTGTTTTAAGTTGAAAGATATTCCTAATAACAATGCTCATTCAGCTCTTCAGAATTCAATTCACATTTATATTTTAATTAGTTCCATACACATTATCCTTTCTTTAAATAACACATAATAGGATTACTCAGTTGTTAGCATCTAAAAATGTTATAAAAATATAATATTACTCAATATTTTGACATTAATTCATGTTCCAAAAACACTAACCTTAATTTTTTATACAAGAATCATATGTATTATAATCTGAACATTTAGAACATTTACTAATATTAGAATATTGTATATACTTATTTCTCCAAAAACATTAGACTCCATTAACAAAATTACAATCAGCCATTTTTATTCTATGTTTACAATCTTCTATTAAACATTATAAATTTAAATCATCAGGTGCTAATCTCTTTTATTATTCAACAACTTTCCCATCAACAATAGCTGCACATCTAAATTTAGTTTTCAGGAATACTTCTATTTAAATCTTGAATTTATGCATCCTTTAATGGTTTTAAAATCTTCACATTTAGTAACTTAAATGCAATTATCATTTTACCAATCACAGGATATATCTGCAAATGATCTACATGAAAAACGATTATTAAAAGATTAACATCTATTTTAATTAAATTTTTGTTTACGTGAGATCAACGCAGTTCCCTTCAGTATTCTCTTATTATGAGCTTTCAGAAAAAATAGATGTTTGCTATCCTTCCCAAAAACACTTATATGATTTTTTTTTGCATGTGTATTCATTAAAGAATTAATTGCAAGACAGTTTTGCTAGAGATACTTTTGAACATTTGTAGTTATAATCATCCCATTCACATATAGAATTATAATTGTAGTCTTTAATAGTTTGGCAGAGATCAATATCAACGATTGATTCACATGTGATAGGAGTAGAAGTACAGGATTTAGCTTGAATCTATAAAATTGATGTTAGTAAAATATATATCATTTTTTTTAGATAAATGAATAAATAGAAAGTATTGTGAGATATCAAATCAAATATGGTGTCATTAATTTATATATTGTCTATTGTGTATTTTTAGCAATATTAATTTTATTTTAGATGAGTATTCATCTCAAAAAGTTTAAAAATTGACTTAATTATGATGTTGAAATCCTAATTGAGTAAATCACTCATTCATTATTTAGATATGATGCTTATTATATGATATTAAATATAAATGAATATCAAATCAATAATATCATTACCTGATGAATTGTTATAATAGATATCAAATTTAAATTGGTCAATTTTGGCTTTATAATGATTAAAATATTTGAATCATTTATTTTCAACAATCATTTATACATTAATCAACATATTATGAATAATAACGATTTTTTGAAAAAATTATTTATAACATATATTTTTTCTTCTGGTATTTCAATGATCAACATACAAATCTTTAATATGAATAGTAAAACAGTTAATAATTTTGAAAATTAAAGAATAAATTTATCAATATTTGGACTTTTCCCTCTTGAATTTAGTCAAAAATAGACTTTTTTAGATTGATAAACTATTTATTAAATTCTCTTTTTTAATTTTGTCAATTCATACTCCTATTGATGTTTTATCTTTATCTAGATTACGTTATTTCATAAAGAACAATAAACTTTTTTAGTTGTTGAATTTAATTTTTTTTATTAAATCACTTAGATATATTTTTGGATGATGGAGGGGAGTTTAAATAAAGTATTTAGATGATTCTAGAAGTTAAAGTGATAGTAAGAACTTGAAATGAAAATCATGATGATCTAAATTTATACCGCTTACTTTTAGTAATTGTATTTAGAATGTCATATAGAGTATCATATATTGATTATACATGATATTTTACTTAGGATTACAAATTGGATAATGTCTTAAACATCTTGGATTTCAATTAGTTAGATTATGCAATAAAAATTTAATTGTATACAGTTACAATTTAAGGGCTTATTTTTTGTAAAAGCATCTATGTGTATTATAGAATTTTCTTCAAGTGGAAAAGGAATAGATAAAAATTGGAGAGACAAAGAGTAATGAAAATTTTTGATTTTTCGATTTTAAGGGGATAGAAAAAATATATTAATTAAATAACTAAAAGAAACACTAAATAAGGGGATTTTTAAAAAAAATTAAAAAAGATACGACACTCACTTAAATTGTAAATACCATAAAGTTAAAAAGTTAAATTAAGCATGGGGGAGGTATATTGGGATTGACGAATCTTTTTAGTTAAAGATCAAAATTTAAATATAAAACTAGCAGAATGTCTGGACAACCTCCTTTCAAGTAAAGAAGCATTCTAATATTTAGTTTTCTTAATATGCCCAATTTAAACATGTTGAATCCCCAAAATACTTAAATATCTTAAGCGTATGAGAAAGCAATTAAAGATGCTGTGAACAGTGTGCATTTATAAAAATTAGGAAAAAAACAACTATAATAAATTGCAAAAGAACTGAATATACATGAAAAAAAAAAAAAAGAAGAAATTATTGCCTCAATTCCAAAACAGCTTCTTCATTATTTGACATAAGCAGATCCTTCTAGACCAGTAGAATAACTTCTTCAACACCAACCAAACCTCAAAAACAATGAAAAAATAATGGCCATCTTATAGAAATTTTAAGGAAGCATAATAAATAGAACATCATAATTCTAACAATAACAATAAATGCAGCGTGCCATTCCATAAATCCTTTAAAATCCCTACATGAATTATGTATTGAATCTATTTAAATTTTAAGATGGTACTTCCATAAGCATAATAAGCATAATAATAAATGTTAACATAATACCCTCCATTAATGAATATTAATCTCTATCAATAACATTTAAGATAAAACACTCCACAGCAATTTTATTATCAATATAACAGTATGTATTTAATATTATTTAGATTAATGGAATGATCCCCTTCCTCAGACAGAAATCTAATAACTCCTAATGTGTCCATGTAAGTAAGAAAATTCTTATTATTCTAAGAATCAATCCTGCCAAAAGAATCACTAATGAGGAAGTTAAATGCATTAATTGTGATAATAAATTACATATTTCTTGTTTGAAATTGTAACACAATGATGTCAAGATGTTTGAATGTCCTGTTTGTATACTTAGTAAAATAGATCCACTCAATCAAATTATTAAAGTTCTTACCAAACCAACATTGATGAATGCTTCTTAAAGTACACTCAATTTCATGCTTACAGCAGAAGAATACCAGTAAAATTTTTATCTATATAAACTTAGTCAATTATAAGATCGCTCATTTTAATACTAGATCGAATTGAGATCTATAAGATTAGATGCTAAATATATGAATGAAATTACTTGGCCTGATTTCTGTGAGATCTCAATTAATCAACAACGTGTTGCTGAATTTAAACCACTCAAATCAAATAGTAGTCTTAAAAAGAGAAAAGATGAAATTCAAATTATTCCTTTATAACAAAATAATTTAGCTCTCTCCATCAAATCAGGCTACAATCAAATCATTATCAAAGAAGTCTAAAATTGTTAAGAACCCAAAATGTAATTTAAATTATGTGAAGAGTATAATCTTATTTTCTATTATCTTAGTGGTGTTTACGCATAAGCTATATACTTAACCAAGAAGAGACCTCATTAGGAATTGGTTAATTAAATAAAATAAAATAAAGAGTGTCTCAAAACTAAAGAAGAATGTTTATAACTTATTTAAAAAGCATGTATATCTGAAAAAACTGATAATGATGTTCAAATTGATAAAATCACAATCAAAGTATCTTTGAAGTGTTAATTTGACTATTAAATGATATAAGTAATAGTGTTTCAAATTATTAGACACCTGCTAGAGGAAGGTTTTGTACTCATGTATAATGTTTCTCTCTTGAAAATACTATTACTATTAATGCAGGTACATCAAGAAAATGGAAATGTCCAGTTTGCAAGAAAAAAATATTTGATATTGCGATTGATTCATATTAATTGCAATTGCTTGAATAATATAGAAATAATAAAGAAAATGTCAAGGAAGTAGTTTTTGATTAAAATGTAATTTAATAATTTATATTTTAGGGTGAAATAGTATAAGAAATAAAGGAAGAATTGGAAGGATAAGAAGAATCAGAAGAAGAATAAGTCAGTCTTAATAAATAGAATCAATTAGAAGAATTATAAAAGTAAACTCTTTAGTAATTACCTGATCCAGCATTTCTTTCCAGACTCATGTTATTTAATCCTGCAGCTACTTTTATGTAAATACAATTGTGTAAAAAATAAATTGATTAAATTAATGTCTTGTAATAACAACAATAACTATCATAACAATAGATGTAGTAAAAAAATGAAAATGTCAATACTTCTTAAAATAAAGCATAATTAAAATAATTGGTTGAGTCCAATTTATCAAATATTGAAGGAAAATAAAATTCATTGCAATCTCAATTATCTTAATAGACTATTACAAAACCTAAGTTTATTAAATTTAAAAAGTTTGAATCTTGGTTGGATGATGTATCGTAATAAGAGATTGCATAAAAGAATTAAGAAAAATAGATAAATAATTAATTAAATGAAGAATAAAATTTAGAATAAAAGTAGCCATAAGAAGAATAATAATAATAATAATAATAATAATAATAATAATAATAATAATAATAAATTATACCTTAAAATAATGATAAACCAATTTAAAAGTCTAATAGATTAAAAGAAAGAATGGTTAGAGTTATCAAAAAATAATTTTCTGAATTTATTAGAAAAAATTTTGCTAATAATATGAATACAACTAATGAAAATAACCCTAAAAATCCTTAATTAACATAATAATAATATAATTAAAGTGCTAATAAGAAATATATCTATAAACTTTCTGAAGAGAAACCTAAAATTAATACTAGTACTCAATTCACTAAAATGTTGGCTGATCAAATTATAATGTAAAATCCTGGTTAAAATGAAAAGCAACATGAAGATTTAAAAACATTTGGAGAAGAGTAATTAAAATAATTATAAGCTTTTCTTCCACAAGGATTTCCTGCTTCTTAAAATTTATTTTAACAATAACTAATAAATTAAAAATAATAAGATTCTAGTGTTTTAATTTAAAAAGCATTAAGTAATCAAAATCCACCAATTATAAATTAATAACAACAATTATAATAATAAGTTCAATAATAAAAAGTGAAAGAAAAACCATTTCAAAAAATAAAATCTCCTCAACCTAGTAGTAGTAATGAGGGTAAAAATGGAAAAGATATGGAAAATCCAATTTGTATAGATTGATCATAATACATTTTTTTTTGTTACAAAAAATTAAATTGAATAAATTATCAATAATAATTTCGATAAACATTTAATTCTCTACCTTGTTTCAATCCAAAAATTGATTACCATTACTAATCATAAATTTAAGTTTGTTTGTCTGGGTATGTAGAATAAATGTGTACATAGAATATTAATACGATAATCTTAATTTTATTATAATTAAATACTTTGACTAATAAAAGCAGCCAACTTAATATCACTTAATATTTTTATAATCCATATTCCAAATGATCAAAATGTGAATTAAATTCTCCTAAATAAGGCTAATATTAAATTAAATAAATACTGTGCTGTAAATAGCCAGCCAGATAATGTCTTAAATCAAAACAACAATTAACATAGCCATTATTATTTTGATATGTAGCAAGGATTGCAATCTATAATTTTTTTAATAAAATAGAAAGCAATAAAAAATTACTATATACTTTTATATATATAAAATAAAATACATCTAAATAGATAGTTCTATAGATACTATTAAGTAATCCAAATATTAAATAGAGAATCGTTAATAATAAAGAGATTTAAACAAGCCTATCAATTTATTTATCATCAATGGATTAAGCTCCATTTTAAGATTAATATAATAACTATTACTATTAATGTTGTTATGTTTAATAGGTTGATATAGCTATATTAGGAACTTTTAATTCTTATCTAAAAGGTTATGCAATGATTTCTAAATCTATAACATGATCATTCAATTCCTACTCTAATAGATTGATTTGAACTGTATTTTCATTGATTAAGTCATTTAAGTATTTATTCTATATCTTAATAATAATTAATACTTTTGAATGTATCCATTAAATCTTCAAATGCAATTTAGCTCTAATAACAGAATTACTTTCATCAGTAATATTGACATGAATATCATGAAGCATTTAATCATTAAATGTATTGATATCAAGATAAGCAACTCCTCCTAAACCTCTTTTTTGTTGTAATTCAGTATCTAATAAGATAAATTTCAAGATTGCAGATTCATTTGCGGTACTACATATTTAAGATTAAATACAATTCAAATTATTCATTCCATTAAGGTTTTTATCTTCTGGCTAATTCTAAATAAATTATTTATTGAATAATTACATGTATATACTACTGTTGACATACATTCCACACTCATTTACAATTATCCATTTCCTTAATAAAAAATCTCAGCATCAAGAATTTCGATATTTAATTTATTGGTATTAGTGATACTTGCATTTTGAGATTATCTCAATTTGTCTTAATATGCTCTAAGTTCGCTTTTGAAAATTCAAATCTAAAATTTACATATTTCTTTGATCTATATTTTGTTAGCATTTATTTATCTTATCATTTAAGACTTCATAAGCTTTCTTCATCACATAAATCAGTTAGTTAATTGTACATTGTTATTGTGATTATGCTCCTGGTATTTAATCAATTAACTATTGAAATACATCACGATCAAAATATCCATTCTAACATTTTGAATCCAAAAATGCTAATAAATCTCTCAATTTGAATTATTGATTATGTTATTAGGAAAATTCATTAAATACATCTGTGAATGAATTCATTTTAATTATATAACGATAAATTAATATATATATTTCATAATTTCTAAATCTACATAAATAATTGTCGCAATTCATCAAGTTCTTTAATCTTGAATATCTTCTTACTTTTTAACTAATCAATGCATTACTAAATCAAATTATAACTTGAACAATCATCATAATATTAAATTATCTTAGAATGTTTACACCAAGTTTTAATTTATTTCATTATTTTTTCAATATCAATAATATTATTTTAAGATTTTACAATTTATCCTAATTCTGAATTAGATTCAAGATATGTCAAAGGTTTTGTTTATTATTTTTCATACTCTATTATATTCTTATTTTCATTAATAGAATTATAAATAAAGTCAATTCCTATCAATTTGATTTATTACAATGATTAATTCAATATTTGATATTCTTCAGCTATAAATGTTTTTACAGTAGATGCCCTATTCTCTATTTTTTATAAATTCTATAATGTAAATGAATGTTATATTAATTCCTGTTATTAGGATTTATCAATTAATTGCTACTTTTCTCTTAAAAGCAATTGATACTTTTATTTAAGCATTTATTTAATATTAATAAGTCTATCTTATAATTGATTTTATATTATAGGGCCATCTATTTAAAGTTTTTAATTAATTTGATTAATTTTTTTGATGTTTCCATAATCATATATCAATATATCATTATTATAGATAGCTTCTTTCATATGTTTAATCTTCTCATTTTGAACTTTCTATTTGATAAATAATAATATCTAAATAAATTCAATTCTCATCTTTTCATCATAAATTTTTTAGAGTTCTATACATTCTTTATTCATTGTATTAGTTTGTATATTCTATTTTGGTTTTTATAGTTTTTTCAGAATTTCAAATTCCTTAATCATATAAGTACCTAAATTTTATAAACCTATTAAACCCTAAACTAAACAATTTTCCTCTAAACCATTTCTAAATAATTATTCTATATCATATAATTATTTCATTAGATCTGTAAATTGACTAGCTAATCTTTTCTATTATTGAATAATTGTTTAGTATGGATATTATTTATCATTAATAAAAATTGAATTCAAATTTTCACTTTTACTTTGTATAAGACTTTGTTATTAGAAATGTTATTATTTAAATTCTATTTAAGCCACCTTATCAAAATTTGATCTAGACTTTGATTTAATATTCTGTAATAATTCTTTAGCTCTTTCAATTGAATTCATAAAAATAGATGTTAGTAAATTAATTAATAATTTTTAATAACAGAAATTTAAATGAATGAATCTCAATATTATTTAAGATAATTAGATTAAATATAATTAAAAATCATAAATCCATTTACATTATTATATTATATATATGTACTCACATAGATAATATATTATATAAAAATAATAATACAAATAATATAAAAATTAATTAATCAATCATTTGCAAACAAACTTAAAAAATCTTGATCGAGAGTAGTCTAAAATGGAACTTTAGGTTATGCGCTTCTAGTTGTATTATTTGAGTTACAAATAACATGATAATTTGACTACTATTGATATTCTCTATTGTTTATGAAAAATTGATTTTACTAATTATCTTCTTCATTTTCACATTCTAATATATCACATTTTAAATTTGAATTCAGATTTCCATTTTATGTATGTTTCTCTGAGATTCTATTTCGTCTACTTCCCTCAGAAGTTTATGGTCTTTGCATTTTTTATATTTCATCTTCATTCATTAATCTTTAATTATGTTGTGTAATAGCTCTGGTGTGTTTGATAGAATTGTTTCTTGATTGATATTCAGAAGAAAGGTCACAAGGATATTCTTAACTTTTACGTGTCTTGAAAATTGTCTGATTTATCTACTATAATCTTATAGCATTGAGTCCCTTCGGTTAATAAGACATTAAATTATTTTATATTTCAAGATTCCAAGACAATAACTATTTTAGATCTTTTCCATTTTCTTTTCACAATGTTTACATCAATGAAATTATGAAAACTAGCTATTTCCCTACTCTTTTAGAACATTTCTTAAATTAATTTGAAGTTCATGTGAGGCATATATAATTCATAATCTCTCTAAATCTCAAAAGATTCAAAAATATCTTTATACCTCCCCATAGATTCTTAATAATCTCCTTTTAATATAGATAGATAATTATACTTTTAGATTCAATTAATAATGTCTTCTCATCTTTTGAATCATATTCTTTCTCTACTTCTTATATTATTTCATTGTTCTTAACAATACTTATGCTTGAAGTTCCTTTAGTTAAAAACTTTTTATTCAATGCTGCAAATATTTTTGAACTTTCATCCAAACTTAGTTCTTCATCCAAAAGTGTCATTTTTTTCTATTACTATATCACTCCTTTACTGAATTGAAATCCTAAGTTTTCTTCAAAATTAGTTTCTACTGTTCTTGAATATTATTCTTGACTTAAAAACAATGGCACTCCTCTTTTTGGTACACTAGTTATTTTTTTTTAAGATTTTCTAAGATTTTATGAATTTGACATATTCCTTTTAATTTGATAATTGAATTGTTCTGACATCTTAGGATCTTTCAATAAATAATATAACACACTGTCTGCTATTTTACCTTCCAAACTTAATGTTGATATCCTCTTTTCTAAATTGGTTCTTTTAAAAACCTTTCTCTCTTGACAATACTTTTTTTTATATTTTAATAAGGTTTTAGTTCTACTTGGAAATCCTGTTAACATAGGACAATTATAAAGTAAATGAGTTGATTTATTACATCCTATACATTAAATATGAAATTCATCAAATCTACCTGAGAATTTAACTAAATCTTTAAGTTAACAATATTTTTCCTAATATTATTTAATTTTTAGTACATAACCAAACTTTTTAGCAATCTATTAAAACTTATCTCTATGCATTTTTAATATTCTAGATGGCTTTGTAGTTCTGCAATTAATTGAATAATTTTGATCCAACAAAAAATCCTATTATCCAAATATTTCATCTTATCCATCCATTTTTTGAATAGATACACAATTACCAGAACCTTCAGGTAATGATACATAATATTCAACTTCACCTTCACAAAGGATATATAAATATTGACTTTACTCTCCTTTTGTAAAAATACTTTACCAAGGAGTCAACTTTTCCTCTTCAAAATCACCAGCCAAAGCTTATAAAAAATCAGAACTAAAATTATCATGAAAAAATGGAATTTTTGATATACTCTTCATATTTAAATCTAGGATCATTTCCTAATAATTATCTATATATTATTATTACAGTATACAAATTACTAGGTAACAACTATTACAATTTAGACATATCAAATTATTCTTGTCCCATACAATCATTCCATAAATATTCAAAATATCTTCTAATTTTTATTTATAATTCTGAATTAAAACCTCTCACTCTTAAATATTTTTTCAAATCATTCAAATCTAATCTTATTTATTATTCTTTTTTTTAAATTGAGTAAATTATTTATCCTATTGATGATACAAAAAAACCAAATGTACAACAGGACACAATTGCTACAAATATAATCAATACTCTTTCATTCAGATTCTATGGAGTAAAGTCTCCATATCCTATTGTTGTCATTGTTATTACACTCCAATAAAATGTAGTCAACTACAATCATTTTACTATTTACATAGCTTGTTATAAAATTTGCTTCAACTAAATCCTCATTTATAATCCATGAAACATTCTTATTTTATTTCCCTACATAATATAGAAAACAACAAAATATATGAGCTTCTATTATTATTAAATAAATCAATCTAATTAAATCATAGACTGCCCAATAATTTGTTGTTAGTTCTAATTTATCTAATATCAAACCAACTCTTTTTGGAACATCCAATATTTTTATTATCATAAATAATGACAATAAATTATTACCTTTGGAATCAAAAAAATAACCTAATGATATTATTATTATTATTGAATCAATTATGCATTCATTTGAATGATAAAAGTGTTTAATTATTTTGTGTCTATCTGTCACTAAATAACCAGCCTCATAATAACAACTATTTAATTTCACTAGTATATCAATTAAATAACTAATAAATGGAATTATAAGGAAGAATATTTCCCCTTCTTTGTAATATTCTGGTTCTCTGCCATCAAAATCAAAAGAAAATTTTATGGAACAATATAAAAAGTTAAAGTTTATCATTATAAGCAAGTAAACATTCCAAATGAGTATATATGTTTATTCAGGCTTAAAAAGAAATTTACTATGGGATAAGTACTCCATTAATGATTGTATAGTGTAATATTTTAGTATAGTTATTTATAATATATGTTGTAACCTAGATTCTGGAGCTGCTTTCTATGATTAAATAATATTTACTATATATTTAAAGTAATCATTTTTCACATAAAATCCAAAATCTGTTGCCTTATCACCAATTATTTTAAACATATTGGAATCTAAATATTTAAAATCCTATGGAAAAACCGATTGAGTGATTAATGTAATGAACTTGATAATTCTTATGAAAACATTTAAGGGGTTAGCCTTAGAAAATTACTAATTTTGCTCAGATGTCTAAATATTCTAATATTTTTAAAATTGCAATGTTTTGAAATAAGCTGGACAAGACTTTAATTGTCTTTAGCTTCTCATTGAGTCTTATTTTTTCATTTCTTGTAGCAGTTCTCTATTAGAGTATAATTCAGAGTTCATCAACTTTTGATATTTAATTAAATATTTTGTAATTAAAGTACTAAGATTATTAATTGGATATAATATTAATTCATCGTTTTTCAATTTCATTTCATGTCAAACATTATTGCCTTTTTGAACAAACAAAATCAATTTTAAGTATAGAAATTTTATTTTTATTACAATCGAATTAATTCTGAAATTATCAAATTTATTTGTTTAAATAATGTGGATATATCATTTTTAATAACAACAAGAATATTCTAATTAATAAAAAAGACTTAATCTATATAGTTCCATTGTCAATCTTGGTAAAGATTAAACCTTCCATATATTATAGTATCTAATTACTATAACAACATGTAATTAGAAAAATTTATACTTTAAATATCAAATATATATTCATGAGTTACTCAAATTTATATACGAATTATTTCAAGTTGAAATAATGTGTCACTAATAAATATATTAATATAAATACTAAATGTAGTGTATTAACTACATTTAGATATATCCTCAATACCATAAATAATATTATACTTCTAAATGAACTTGTAGAATTTTTTTATTTTAGTATAATTTTTGATGGCACAATAAACAACAATAATAATTTATAAACAGTATTTAATAATATACAATAAAATAATATTTCAAAATCTAGAGATGATCTAAAGAGGAAATATGTATATTTTGAATCATTTTTGGACTAAAATATAAATATTTATTGAATACTTAAATTTGAATTATTATCTCTAACAGTTTATAATATAAAATAATTTAAAATGTTAAAGGATTTGGAATATCCCCAATAATTAGTCATAACTCCTTATTTAGCTTCTAATTCTGTTGGCTATCACAAAGAATATCCAAAATCTTTGTATAAGCAAGTCTTTGAACCTGACATTATTATGAAACCAAACTATAAAGCAATCAAAATATTTGATCCTTAAGAACTTGTAAGACATTTGCAAAAAAATTTTCCTTTGATTAGGAAAAACATTTTGCAGTTCGATGACTAAATGAAAAAATTAAATTTAACTTTTGGACATATGATAGTAAATGGTATTATATATTTAAATATATCAGGTTTTCACATTGATGATTTCTTGAAGAAATTCTTTTTTGTTTTAGATAAAAGATTGCATAAATTTTTTGATCATCTTGACTAAAGTGTTTTCAAATTGGATGGAAAATAATCATAAGAATTAATTCCAGGTGATTACAGAATAGGAGATACTAGACAACATATTAGATAAAAGTTAATTGATATGTCAAATGATCTTGTAACTAAGTTTGCTTCCAGAAAAACTCCTTAAGAATATGATAGAGAAGTCATTAAGAAAATAGATTAAATATTAAGAGTTTATGAATTATTGAAATATGATTAAGGATGGCATTTTATCATAAATATCACAAAATTCAATCTAGAAGATTTACTAGAAAGAGTTTGTAATAACGATCTCACATAATTTTCAAAAATTGATGAATTGATTGAGTCTATGTTTCTTATATCCATGAAATAAATTAAAGATGCAACCGAACATGAAAATACAAGTCCACTCTTTGTTTTTAATAAAGATGTAGTATTGTCTAAGTAAATTATTAATTTTATATTAGATTTCATTCTATTATTAACGATAGAACAGATCCTTAAATGTCAACAGATGATTTGTATTATGTAAGTAAAACTGTATGTATGAGGGATAGAAGAATCATTTACAACGAATTTTATAATTAAATTAATAAGGAACTTAAAGAAATTGCTCCTGAATATTTTTAGTTTGCTACAACAGAGAAGAGTGAGTATTTAAAGAAAAGAGAAGAACTTCATAAAAAATTATTAAAAATTTAAAATGATTGGGAATCTTTAAAGGAAGATGAAAACTACTATCTAATTTTAGAGGACAGAATTAATGAAGAGGATTTAAGAAAAGTTCCATTAACAAGTGAACAATAGTTACAATAATTATAAAAATTAAATATCTTTGCAAATAAAGCTTCCAACCTATAATATGATGCAGTCACTTTATTTAAAGACATTTTGGATCATAAAGATAACTCAAAACTCTTAATTGAAAGTAAACTTCAAGAAGCTTTGGAAAAGGCAAAATAATTTTATAATAAAATGACACCTGGCAGAGCACCATAGTCAAATTAAATAAAATAGCATGTAGATAGTCTTTATAGTGAATTAATAATTTTGTTAAATTCAGATATATCCAAATACTAAGGATAGATGTCTCTAACTGATAAATCAATTGAACAATAACTTGCTAAAAACAAACAAAATCCTTATTTATAATAAGTATCAAAAGAAATTCAAAGATAACAGCATGTTAGAGATCATATGTAAAAAGAATAAGAAAATGAAATGAAAAAAAGATCTGAATTAGTTAATGAGTAGATTGATCTCATGATAAGATAACAATATTAGCGAGATCTCTTTAAAGAAGATGGATCAACAAGACCAACCTAACCTGTAAATGCAGGTAAAATTATGGAAGGAAGTTCAATTACTAATGAACATTATTATGAAAAAAAAGTTGCCAACTATCAAAAACCTGAGTAAGAAGCAGGTAAATATGAGAAGAAGATAAATAACAATAAGGGTTAAAATGTTTCTAGCCTCAGTAGAGATGTTTATGTTGCTTCCACACCATAATATTATGTTGATAAAATTATGGGATAACCTGTAAGCTCTGAATAATTAAGAGAACAATTATAAAATAAATATAATCAACCACCAAAAAAAAATGACCCTTATAAAGAAATACCTAAATAAGAACCCCCTAAAAAGCCTGACCCTCCTAAAGAAATTCCTAAATAAGAACCACCAAAAAAAGCAGAACCTCCTAAAGAAATCCCCAAGAAAGAACCAAATAAAAAGCCAGATCCTCCTAAAGAAATTCCTAAATAAGAACCCCCTAAAAAGCCTGATCCTCCGAAGGAAATTCCTAAATAAGAACCCCCTAAAAAGCCTGATCCTCCTAAAGAAATTCCTAAATAAGAACCACCAAAAAAAGCAGAACCTCCTAAAGAAATCCCAAAGCAAGAACCACCAAAAAAGGCAGAACCTCCCAAAGAAATTCCTAAACAAGAACCCCCTAAAAAGCCTGATCCTCCTAAAGAAATCCCTAAATAAGAACCACCAAAAAAGCCAGATCCTCCTAAAGAAATCCCTAAACAAGAACCCCCTAAAAAGCCTGACCCTCCTAAAGAAATTCCTAAATAAGAACCACCAAAAAAGCCAGATCCTCCTAAAGAAATCCCTAAACAAGAACCACCAAAAAAGCCAGATCCTCCTAAAGAAATCCCTAAACAAGAACCCCCTAAAAAGCCTGACCCTCCTAAAGAAATTCCTAAATAAGAACCACCAAAAAAGCCAGATCCTCCTAAAGAAATCCCTAAACAAGAACCACCAAAAAAGCCAGATCCTCCTAAAGAAATCCCTAAACAAGAACCCCCTAAAAAGCCTGACCCTCCTAAAGAAATTCCTAAATAAGAACCACCAAAAAAGCCAGATCCTCCTAAAGAAATCCCTAAACAAGAACCCCCTAAAAAGCCTGACCCTCCTAAAGAAATACCTAAATAAGAACCACCAAAAAAGCCAGATCCTCCTAAAGAAATCCCTAAACAAGAACCCCCTAAAAAGCCTGACCCTCCTAAAGAAATTCCTAAATAAGAACCACCAAAAAAGCCAGATCCTCCTAAAGAAATCCCTAAACAAGAACCACCAAAAAAGCCAGATCCTCCTAAAGAAATCCCTAAACAAGAACCCCCTAAAAAGCCTGACCCTCCTAAAGAAATTCCTAAATAAGAACCACCAAAAAAGCCAGATCCTCCTAAAGAAATCCCTAAACAAGAACCCCCTAAAAAGCCTGACCCTCCTAAAGAAATACCTAAATAAGAACCACCAAAAAAGCCAGATCCTCCTAAAGAAATCCCTAAACAAGAACCCCCTAAAAAGCCTGACCCTCCTAAAGAAATACCTAAATAAGAACCCCCTAAAAAGCCTGACCCTCCTAAAGAAATCCCTAAATAAGAACCACCAAAAAAACCTGATCCTCCTACAGTAGTTCATAAGCAAGAACCACCAACAAAAGCAGAACCTTCTAAAGAGATCCCAAAGCAAGAACCCCATAAGAAACCTGAGCCATAAAAATATATGGAATAACCAAATCAGAAACAAAAAAACGTTGATCCTTATGCAATTGATTTCGCTGATAATGATGATCTTGATGATGATGAATTTGATAATGACTATAATCCAAAAGCTTAATAATTTTTATAATAATAGCAACCCTAGAGAGGTATATTTACAAATTTATATAGGACTTAATTAATATCAATAGCCTTCAATAAAACCAGGAAATGATTTCAATTTAGACTCTGAGGAAGATAATTAGAGGCCATAAAATTTAAATGAAATATTATAACCTGATGAAGAAGGGGAAGAGATTGATTAGATTCTTATAACTCCAGAAAATTTGCCAATAATAAATAAATACACTAAAGGAACCAAATTTGGGAAGTCTACACCAATAACAATTTAAGAATTCAATACTTTTGATCATGTTATTTAATTATTTGAAGATTTTATTATTTAAGATGAAGCTTATTTTTTAGATTTTGATGAAACTGGATAAGTATTGTTCATTTTTGAAAAATTACTTTCTTAAGAAGAACCTTAAGAGGAAATTGATGAAATAGAAAAATATATTTAGGCTAAATTTTTTGAAAAAACTTAAAGAACAAACTTCGGTGAGTAAAGAAATTTTTTCCCATTTGAGGATAATCCATTTTTATTCTATCTTATAGAGAAGGATCCCCTTTAAAAATAATTAATATTATATTATGATGAATAGCCAAAAGAAGATCATATGGGGGAGGAATTTAGTTAATTTTTGAGCATCTTCCAATAACTATTCTTATGTGAAGAGTATGAAATTTCTCAAGCTCTTCTTCCAGCTTAATCAAAAAAAAAGCTTGATTCCTTTGGACCTGATGGCAAATATTTAAAATATATGCTTACAGTTTTTACAATTATTTATGAACAATAAGCTAATTAGGGAGACATAATTATTAATGATGACACTATTGCAAGAGCCTTTTGGGCTCTACATTAAGCTACAGAATTATACACATTATTACAGGAAAATGAGGAAGATGTTAGAAATGCTTTTGTTGATATTTTATAATAGGCTCAAAAGAATGATAAAACTGTTTAAATTGCAACAATAGAAGAGCCTTACTCAAAATAAGGGATTGAAAATTTATAATAGGTAACACCTATAAATTATTATTTTAGCAAGTATAAGAGATTTATTAAGATTTTCTATAAAATAAAGCTATAAAACAATCCTTTTTCTCAATAGATATTATAATTCAACAAGAATAAAAATATTGTTTATATGTGCATTTACAAAAGGTTGCTTAACTTAATTTTCTTAAAGTATGAACATTAGATTTATCTAGATATTTACTTTGTAAAGTTATGGAGAATTAAATTAATAAATGTTAGAATTTTTATTAATGGATGATGGCTTGTTTACATAGAAAGTCTATATGGATTTTCCAAGACATAATTTCTTCTAAGAATATAGTGAAGTAACACTAGGTGCTTTTTACCATCTTGTAGTTAAGAAAAATTTAAAGCCAGAAGAGGCTATGGTTAATTTAGTTTTCTCACTAGTTCCATATAATCTAATTTTTACAAAATAAGAATGATTTTATTAAATATTCATAATAATAAATTAATTTATTAAAGTATTTAAAAAATCAGACTAATTTTTATAATCTCTCAAATTAGGGAATATTTTTTTGAATTAATATTTTTAACTTTATTTATAGATTCTATGTAAAAACGTTGGGATAAAGACTTTAAATTTATTTATATGTTAATTGATAAGATTTTTTTATTTATTAGAATAATAGCTTTAAATAAATAGGATAATTTTTGATGATTGTGAATTTCCAATTTGATGAATGATAAATATATAAATTCAAGATTATTTATTAATATAGAGCTATGAAAATAGATAATATATCTGGGAAAATTTTGATTAAAGGGATTATACTTGCTTTTGCAAAATCAATATTAGTTTCTTGCCTGCTATTTTGTCTACTACTCACTTTAAATATGTAGATATATCTAATAAACGATGATTTGATAGATTATTAATGGTACTTATAAAAACTGATTTTGTAGAATTTATAATTAAACATAGATAGTACTTGAAATCAAATTAAGTATAATCTTTTATCTGTGAAAAGTCTAAATGTAATATGAAATTAGACTTTGATTAAAAAGGAAAAGGTTATCGATGTATATTGAAATTATCATCTAAAATTTTTAATCATTACAAATTATTTACAGGATGATTTTTTCTATTAATTTGTAAATAAAAACGACCTAATCCTTAATAAATTTATCAATAAATATAATGAATATTAATTTAATTCTTCTCTTTCTTTCATATCCTATTTCCCATTAATTTAAATCAACATTCCTGATGTTTCAATTAACATAAACCAAGATGTTTTTATTATTTTTAATAATTATTAATTTATTATAGTGAAATAAATAATCATTAAAAGAATTTTTTACAAAAATGTTATTCTACTTAAGAAAAATATAATTTTTGACTTCATTATCAAACAAGGTCTCAATAAGAACCATTTATAATTTTATTTATGAAGTGGTTTAATTAAGTACATCACAAAATATGATAATAATTAATATAACAACTTTTTTAATTAATTAATTCAAATTCAAAAAAAAATAGAAAAATGGACTTCATCATAAAAGTAGGAATAGATGGTCATTAATTCCTTTTGACACTTTCACCTGAAAATAAACGGTATTTATTGCAAAATATCTTAGGTTACAATATCTATAAGAATAAATTTAAAATGAAACAAAAGTAGAAGTGAAAAATTAATTACTTTTGACAAAGAAAGGAGTAAGATTGGAAGATTTAAATTAATTTGATGTTGATTAATAATTGCAATAAACTGTTTAATAATTTCAAGATGAATAAAAATTTTATGTAATAAACTCTATATTATTGGAATAGACTATTTATTTATTTGATTTAAGTGAAAATCCAGAACAAGTTACTTTTCCATTCCCTAAATATGAGCCTAAAATGGACTTAAAATAGTTGTTACTATCAGATTAAGCAAAAGAAACTTTAGTTAATTTGAACACAAACTTACTTAATCATGAAAAAATATTTTTTTAGCATTTACAAAATTTAAAGAATAAATATATACCTTATTAATAAAAGGTTAAACAATTAGAAAAGATTGGTTAAGATTTGGAAAATTAAATTTAATCATTTGATATTGTATTAAAAATGAGTAGAACTACATATAAGACAACTAAGGCTAAGAAAGAGGAATTGACAAAAAAATAAAAAGAATCATTAGAAAGAAATTTATAAACAGTTAAAAAATTTGATGATAGTTTAGAATAGTTAAAAAAAATAGAATTACATGCTGCTTTACAAACAAATTCATAAAAATATTTAAGTGATATTTATTATAAACCAGAATCAATGCTTAAATGGAAAAATAGTTGTTTGAATACTTAATAAAATTTAAAATAAAAGATTGATAAATTAAGTTAAGCTATATCAAAATCAAAATAAAAGATTAAAAATGAAAAAACAGAAAATATGACTCAATGTTTATCAAGTTATAAAGCAAATTAGTAATAATATTAATAATTCATTCAAGAAAATAAATCACTATTATAATCTGTTGTTTAATCTACAATTGATGGTAAGAGTATTAATTATAATTAGAATACAATACCTTAAGATAATATATGATTGATTTTTCTTAAGATATTAATGATGAACCAGCTATGTATTATTTATCTTAATTTGAATTATCATAAGAGCAATTAAAATAATTTGAAGATGCTGTTATTCATTTAGGTGATCATTTAGAAAAAAGTATCTTATTTTATATATATAATCTTAGCTAAATAAGTATTTATGTAATTTAACTAATTAAAATAATAAAATATGTCTAAAATTTTGAAAGTTTTTTAAAATTTAAGAGCTCTTGACAAAGAATTTGAATAACACAACGAAAAAATTAGATAATATGATGAAGAAGTTGAGAAAATGGAGAAAGATTTTTCATATCTTTTAAATCCTGTTTTATTACCATAAGCATATTAATAAGCATTAATAGAAACTAGTAGAAGGAAAGAATTTAGAGATATTTTTGATAAGAAAATTAAATCTTTAATGTCAATAATAGATTAAGAAAAAGACAAAAGGAAGAAATTTTTATAATAATACGGTAGAATATTACCATAAGATTTTATTGGGTAATTAAAGAACTTAACTCCATCAATATAAATCATAAATGCTTTTGTAGATGCTGAATTACCAAATATAACAGGATTGCATACTGATACTTTTAAGAAAAGATAGGATAATGATTTAGATTAATTAAAATAATAAATAGAAGATTTAAATTAGTAATGTAAACAAACTCATTTGTTTTATTAAGAGAAAACTACAAAAAAATCTTCGACTTATGTTGAATTATTATAATTGACAGCAAAAAATTCAATGAAAATGTTTATTTAAAGAGCTGAAAATAAACCATTGTCATCAATAGATGTTAATTCAGATAAATCTTAAAGAGAAAATGATTCAAAATTAATTAACTTAAAAAATGAATTTAGTGAATAATTAAATAATTAAAGATAAGAATATGAGAAATTGAAAATTAAATTATAAAAGTAAGAATAAGATTTTGAATCTAAATTAGTTGAAATAGATACAAAAAATAGTTTAATTACAGAACTTTAATAAAAGTTAGAGTTTTTATAAAACAACACTATAAAATTAAAGGATGATTTAAATAAATTTGTTAGTAAATGTGAAAATTTAGAAATTAATTTAATATAAAAGAATAGTGAAATATCTAAATTACAATAATAGTAAAAATAACTAAATGATTAATTAACATAATCTAAATAAATTTAATAAGATTTACTTAAATATAAATAATCATTCTAATAATAATATGAAAATCAAAATGATCAAATTAATGAATTAGATTTATTAAATAAATAATATCTTTAATAAGTATAGGATTATTATACTTAAGTAGAAACTGTTTAAAATGAAAATGAAAAATTAAAATAGAAAATTAAGATGTTGGAATTAGAAAGAGATAATAAATAAATAGAATTAGAAAAATAAAATTAAGTTTATAATGAATTATTAGAAGATTATATAGAAAAGAATTCCCTATTAGAAAATTTGAATGAAGAATAAATTAAAAAATCCTAAAAAGACTAAAAATTAGAAGAAGATTAAAAATCACTTTAAAATAAAGTTGACAATTTAGATTTAGCACTTCAATAAAAGAATAATGAAATAATTTTATTGAAAAATCATGATTAATTATAATTATTAAAAGTATAGGATGATTTTAAGGAAGTATAATAATAATATGAGGATAAAATTAATTGTTTAACTTAAGAGAATCTAGAGATGACAATATAAATTTAATCATTAAAGGGTTAAATTGAATATTTAAATTAAAAATAGAAATCTGAAAATATTATTGAAGTTCAATAAAAACTAAAATTGTCTGATCCTTAATTTTTATTTGACTTGTCTAGTGTTTAAATTGGCAAATAGAGCATATTTATTCCAGCATAAAATGATGTTTATGTTCCATTATTACTAAAAAACATTTAGATTTCAAATATTTCAGATGATTCCTTATCAAATACTAGCATAGATTCATCAATCAAATAAAAACAATATAGAGTTTAATTAGCATCAATTCCATAGACATTAAGAGAATTTATTATGTAATTTATATTTAATTTTTAGTGATACTGGTTTACTATTCATATCAGAAGTTAGTAATATCACAGAAACAGAAGAGTACTTTTAGATTAGTGTGAAACAACCAAATTATATTATAGGATTTGAAGGTTAGGATAATTAAATCAAGAGTTTTACTCTTTGAAAAATAATTCATTTTAAATATTAATGTATTTGTATTATTTAAAGTTATAAAAATAAGGTAAAAGATGGGAGCTTTGATAAAATTTTACTTCTTCAACATTCTTTTTTATATTTGAATGTTGTATTGATATTTACTCATTTAATTTATAAATTCCAGTAATCCTTAAATTATATTATAAATTTTTATAATTATATTATTAACGATTTCATAGAAGTTATATATAATTTTTTCATCTTTCTTATATAAACAAATAAAAGTTTAAATAAAAGAATAGCTTTAGATTATTGAAGTTACTCATATATAAACATAGTTTTATTTAAATCTACTTAATTGAAAATCAATAAATGCCCAAAAAGATGAACTTAGAATTTTGTTTTTTTTTTATTTTGACTGTTATGTTAATATACAATTTTGAAGAAATCCACATATTTAATACATTATGATGGGATTATTAAAATCTGAAAATGAATAAAACTTTAAAATTTAATAGAAGATTATAACAGCCTTCCGAATAGATGGGATTTTGTGTTCAATGCTTTAGTTTTATTCCAATAACTGAAATAGACTCTCATTGTCTTAGTTGCATGGAAAATAAAAGAAATATTGAATGTTATTCTGACAATATTTCATTTTAATTGGAGCATATTAATTAAGTTGCTTAGAATGGAATGGATAAATGTGAAAAAGGATCTGAAAAGTCAAAGTATTTAATTAGAATTTAAGAACTTTGCAAACATATACAAAGCATAAAATGTTATAATATGTTAAGTATTAAAAAACTTGAGGATCTGGAAAGTGAAGTAAAAGTCTTACTTTCTTATCCTCCATAATCTATGAGTGTTGTAATGATGTTAACAAGATTATAATCTCTTTTAAAGGAAAAGTTAGAATTGTAAAATTAACGCAAGCAAATAACATATAATTCATTACCTTAAAATAGTACAGCTAGAATAAAGACTGAATAAAACAATAGTGATAATAATAATTCAATCTATGATTACAGACAATTTTAATCTGAAAACAATCTAAAATAATCATTAGAGTTTAAAAGGAATTTCTATTCTAAATGCCTTGAAATGAAAGTAAAGTTGCCAAAAAATCATCCAGCTTAATAAATTTTAGTTTAAGATCTATACAACTTTGTTATTAAAAAAAACTATACTTAAGAATAGGCTGTAAATTTTATAAAGAAATGTTTTATGGAATATGAAATTAATTGAATATGAGTTAATTTATTTTTTGTACAATTAATTATTTTAATTTTAAGCTCAAGTTTCAATATTTCAACTTGAAAGAAATCCTCAAATTCTTAAAATCTAACTTCAATACAAAGAATGAATAAAAATAAGTTACAATAATTTATAAAATAATAAGTTAATAATATATTATATCATAATTTTAATGGTTCAGCAAAAATAGGTTCATTTGTATCATGATTATATCCGTAAAATTAAGCTTTTTAGATCTATAATGAATACCTTGAATCGAATTACGTCTAAGAATAATATCATTTTCTTTTGTATCCTACTCTGTATCCTTTGTTGATCCACCTTAATTACTATTATTATGTGGTAAATATGGAGGTTATAATTGTTTATTTAGTAATTTGTTCCACTCAAATCCATTAAACCATTCATGATTTTTTACTGCTTCTGGATTATCAGACCCTAATCTTTAAGCTGGCTTTCTCTAAATTAACTAAAATTAATAATTTTAAACCTTACTTAATTTGCAAAATCAGCTGCTTCTAAGGACCATGCAATAGGTATTTCATTTTTTTTAATTTATACTTGCCTAGCCAACACATTGTCTCTAATTTCTTATCTATTTCTTCCTATATAAGGTCTTCTTCCCATCATACATTCATATACAATCACTCCTAATGCAAAATAATCTACTGCGATTCCATGATTTTGTCTACATAATACTTCTGGAGCCATATATCCAGGAGTTCCACTTGTATCGGCAGAATTATCTGGTCTCCAAATTCTTGCTATACCCAAATCAGTTAATCGTAAATAACCTTCTGAATCAAATACCAAATTTTCAGGTTTCAAATCTCTATGAATTATTCCTTATTAATGAAGATATTCTAAGGCAATTATGATGCAAGCACAAAAAAATTCTAATAATAAAAACTAATATTACTCGTTTCTACTTCTGAAAATTTTTTATTCTTTCCAATATGATAACGAAGATCTCCTCCACTTAATAAATCCATAACTAAGTATAAATTCTCTCTATCTTAAAATGCAGCAATCATATTTATTAATGATGGATGTCTCAGTTAACATAAAAGAGTTCTTTCATTCATAACCGAACTTACACTTTTCTTTAAAAAAACTCTAAAATTCAAAAATTTTAAATACTTTGCCTTCGACATCATTTTCAATGCAAAATAACATTTATTTTTTCTTTTCTTTACTTTCCATACTTTTCCAAATCCACCTTTCCCTAAAACTTCAATAAATTCAAAACTATGAACAGAAAGAACTAGGATATATGATTCTAAGTACTTGATGTTTCTTAAAAGTCATTCTTGTCAGTAATGTTACAATTACCCATTATTTAATTAATTTTAAGTTATAACTCAAACTCAACAATTTCAATTATTGTTGGACTAACTCATTAACATTATCTATACTATACTAAGTTTATCATTTTGTCAAGGATTAAAAAATAATAAAATAGTAATCCAAACAATTTTTATCAATAATTATAGTTATTCTCCATCATATTCTGTAGCATTAGCATTGGATTATTGTTCTTTTACAATTTAAATAGAATAAAAGATATTTATCTAAATATATTCTTAACATTGATTTATTTTTATAAAAGATAAGTAAAATAATTAAATTAATGCTATAAAATCTTTTCGATTATTGTCTCCTTATTAATTTCTTGAAAGAGTGTTTCTTATTCATCAAAATATTCTAAAATATATATAATCTATTTCATTATTTCTTTAATAATTTAAATTAATTATTTATATGATAGATTAGACATCATATAAACATTATAATTAGGAAGGATTTAACAAAACCTAACTAAAAATAGTGTTAAAAATCATATAATTTCTAATAAATATAAAATTTTTATTATTATTATAATAAATGGTTGCTAATTTAGAATTAAAGAAGTAGAAAATTAAGGTTAATTTAAAAGAAGAGATTAATTATGTTCTTATAAAAAGGACATTTATTTTCACAAACTATCTTTAATCAATCATATATATTTTGAAACAAATCTTTGGACATTATTATTGCTCTAAAATAACATTCATTATGATAAAAAAAATTATTCATACCAAAATAATTAAATAAATATTTTCTTATCAAATGTAGTCTTTAATTCTCAATGCTAGATACTGCATTAATATATCATATATCTTTTTCTTTTTTTTATATTTTTCTTAAGTCATATTCAAAAATATAATTGCTTCTTAGATCATAAAATAATTTTATTTGTTTATTATAAATATTAGTTCTTTAGAATATATATTAATAGTAATACTAGATTTAAAATAAAAATAATTTTGTGTACTTTAGTGAGATTATTAATAATTAAAGTAACTTAATATCAAATAAACAAAAAAAAGTGTTTGATAAATAACTTCTTCTATCAATTGATTATCTACTTATTTATATATAAAAATAAGAACTATGATATGACGTATAATTGGAAGTGCCTCTAATCGTTTTAGAATAATGTGAAAAACGGATAAATTAAATAAAAACGAAAACTAAACAAAAAAAACAATAGATGTCAAGAGGTTAAATAATAAAATATGAGGTAGATATGTATGAAAGCAAAACGAAAAGAAAGAGCGATAAACGCAAACTTAATCAACAATCTCCGATCGCTGATTATGAAAATGATAAAAAAAAGGTAGGTAGATGGACGCCCGAAGAGGATGAGAAGCTTTAAAAATTGATTGAAGGTTTTCTAATAAAATTTATTTGTAGAATACGGAGAAAAGAGTTGGCGAATCATAAGTGACATGATGGAAGGTCGGAGTGCCATACAATGTCTTCATAGATGGACTAAAATACTTAAACCTGGACTGAAGAAAGGTGTTTATAGTGTGTTTATAATTTAGGACCTTGGTAAGATGATGAAGATGAAAAGCTATTAGAATGGGTTAAGAATAATGGGCCTTGTAAATGGTCTTTATGTGCTGAAAATATAGCAGGAAGGTCGGGGAAGTAATGTAGAGAACGATGGTTCAATAATCTCAATCCTAATGTTAAAAAAGGAGGGTGGACATCTGGTTTATATCTATTTACTATACGTAGAGGAGGATCATGAAATTTTTAAAGGGTATCTACAGTATTCGTCATCTTGGTCAAAAATTGCTAAGAACTTGTCAGGTAGAACTGAAAATTCTGTGAAGAATAGGTTTTATTCTACAGTTAGAAAATTATTGGCTGATTAAGAAAAAAATGGGATATCACTTAAAGTAAATCCATTTTATTTATTTTAGATGCTTGAAGCATAAGGAGAAAATGGAACTTCTGCTTTATAAACTTTTGTAAAAGAGCATCTATAAAAATATGAATAGCAAATGTAAATGTAAATGGAATAAGAAGAACCTGAGTCAGATAAATCAATGTAAGAAGAAAAAGTGGAAGAATCTGAAATTAAATCTGAAGAAGATGATGATGATAGTAAATCAAGAAAGAAGATGTAAACAGAAACATATTAAGAATAAAATCTTCTTTATAGGTTACTTAAACAATAAGGAGGACCTATTAAAAGAACTTCATGTATGAAGGATTATTCGACAATCTATAAAAAATATAAAAAAAGATATAATTAAAAGAAGAAAGATAAAAAACTGTCAGATAAGGTTGAAAACCTTAGAAAAATGATATTAAAAAAGGATGATTATAAAAATTCATCTGAAGAAAAAGAATTAGATTTCTAATAAAATCTTGAATAATAATTAGCTAATTTTTCGTAATAGAAAATAGATGCTCAATCTCAAAATGGTGATTCGGATAAAATGAATGAATTTTAAGAAAAATTATTGGCATTCTTCAATTAGCAATTAAATGAAGTAATGAAAAAATTTTATGTTGAAATGGGTGATCCAAAATAAGCCAAATGGCATATGATTCTTGCTCCTGATGACAATAAAATATAATAATAACAATAATTATAATAATAATAATAATAATAATAATAATAATAATAATAATAATAATAATAATAATAATAATAATAATAATAATAATAATAATAATAATAGTTGTAAGAAAGTAAAAAAAAAACAAAAAGGTAAATTGCAAAGAGTGTCAAAGTTAAAGAAGAAGAAGATGAACAAAATTAAATGGTTATGAATACATTTCTATAAAAATTTAATCATCTTGGTTAAATAGGAATTACTCAATTAGGGTATTATTGTTAAATAATTTATAGTGCTAATGTAAATGAAGGTAAAAATGAAACTGAAAATTAAATGGTTTAAGATGGTAAAATAGATTAAAAAATGGTGTTCCTTATTAGTTAATTGCACACATTAGAGAATATGTTAGGTGATACAAAAAAGGAATTTAGCAGATTAGAGGCTAGTCTTTATGAAAAAATAAACAATACTTCATTTCACTCTAATAATTCGAGTGAAAAGAACTGATACTTAATTATTGTTATTTAATTTCTTTGATTTTGTGTCAGCCATATAAAATAAATAAATATTTTCTTAATTAATTCATCAAATTTCAAAAATCATTTCATTTTTAGATGTTATTAAATCACAAAAAATAACTAGTATTAAAGTTAATCATATTTCTATAAATATAAGTTAATTCAATTTAGTCACATTACGTTAATTTTGATTTAAATGTATTCTATTTTCTTGTTAGATTATTAAATTTGCCCAACACTTATAGGCAACAACTATCATTCTTGATATAAATTAAAAAAAAGCTAGTTTCTTTTTAAATTGATAAAATTTTATTTAAACAAATGACTATGATTTTTTAGAAGAATAGACTATTTTTTGGAAGCTCTTATAAAGAATTTATACAAAACTCGAACCAAAGGTTTAGTTTTGTAGATTTTATTAAGGAAGAGGGTTTAAAGTTGTTTAAATAATAACAAAAACATAATTTTTGTTCATTATTTAGATCCTTTGATCAATTGAAACGAAATTAATCCTCTAGAACTTCAAACTTATTGTTTTGGAGCCTTCTAGTGAATCAAGCCTTTGTTTTTAGATATCTTTTTGTTTATTTGTTTATTTCTTATTTTGCATTTAGAATTTTCTTTTTATTCTTTATCTATTTCTATTTCTTAAGCTCTGAGTATTTTATTATGTATGAATTAGGATAGCTTAAGAATTTTATCTGTAAATTAGATTTATTATTCTTGGCTATAAGCAACTATGGCTAAAGCAAGTTCTAAATGAGAATGTTTGTAAATATCGAAATCTATAATAATTAAAAATGAATACCTAAGAGAATGAACATTAATAAACTTTAGATATTTTCATTTATTTCAATATTCATTGCTAATAAATAATCAGATGAAGTAATGTAATTTAGCTAAAATCCCATAACTTTAATTATCTACTCTTCCATTTCATCATACTCTCTATTCTAATAGAGATTCTAACCATCTGGATCATATAGTTTAATTTAAGTCACCATTTCTGTTTCATTAAACTATATTTTATTTCCATTTTTACTTTGGATGCTAAAGAATAGGCTGAAATTCCCAATAACTATAGATATTCTTAGGTTATCTTAAAATAATTAAGATAAGTGTCAATGTAGATGATTGCAAGTTCAATAGTTTTTAGAGAATGTCTGAATTGAGATGATTACTAATTATATATGAATATATATACTGCCACAATCCATTAAACTAGAATATCTCTTCTACATATGCCTTATGAATCATTCAAGTAAAATTCATTCGACTTATTTATTGGTTTTTACTAAGAAATTTAAAAATACAGATACTTTTTCTCTAATTAATAAATCTCTTATTTGAGAAGTATCAGCCATTCTGATTTATTATCTAAATAATAATAATAAATTTAAGGACCACATAAAATTCAAATTTATAGATAAATATTAAGGTGTATCTGAGTAATTTATCATATCAAACAGAAAATTTTGAAGTTTAAGAAAAAAAAATAAAATCATTTTAATCTACTCATTATCTTAGTAATCTAATAATTATCTATAACTCTCTAGTTTGTTTATGATGTTAAGATTAAAATTAAACAATAAAAACATCTTCTTTATTTAAAAATTGTTACTGAGTTAACTAACTACCCTTATTAATGGTAAAAAAATATTTAAAAAACTAATTATATTTATAAGTTAAATATTTTACAAATTAATTAAATCCATATCTCTTTAATGATGATTTATAAATTACAATAATTCTAGTATTTTATTAGAGGAAACATATTAGAAAATTTTATTGGTTTAATTCTTTTATGATTTTTATTTAGATCACTAAATTGTATTAAATGAAATGCATTTATCTATTAAAATTATCATTTAATCTTTATCATAATTAATATCTTAAGTCTTCAAATTATTGTTTTTTTGATGTTTTAAAAATAAAATGACATGAGGAATAATGTTAGTTATTATGTAATCAAGAAGTTTCAAGTATTAGTCAATGATATAAATATGATGTCATTAAAGAGATAAATTTTAATATAAATTATTATTAAAAATATATACTTTGATTTGCTATTATAAGTTTATAATGTAAAATTTATCTTTAAATTTGCATTCAAATAAGAAGTTATTAGAAATTTTAGTTTTTATTATAAAAATCGAGATCACTCAATAAAAATGATTTAAAAAATTGATTTTTGGATAATTAAAATTATTATGTGAAAATATCTAATTACTTAAGCCTAATTGAATATTTAAAATTCTTAGTCAATCATTTTAGAAAGTAAAAATTATTTATTTATTTTATTGATAACACTTTTACAAGTTTCAACATTATCTAAATTCCATAATTTTTTTATTTATAATATCATATATTGCATTTCAATTAAAATAAAAAAGATTTTATGAGTGGTCAAAATAAATTCAGCTTTTCTCGCTTTTTTTTATATTTTTTCTATATTGAAATAAAATATATAATATTGATCTATTACATGATAGTAAATTATTAGATTGAAGGAGATACAATTATAATTTAGTATATCTATTTCTAGTAAAAATTAGAGTCAAAATATGATTATTTTAATAATAAAAAATAAGCATGAGAATCATTGATTCGATATACTGTTAATTTTTGAATGCTAGATTTTCTATCTTATACAATTTATTCTAGCTGTTAGATTTTCGAGATTTTTTTCATCTATCATTTAAGGAACATATTTATATTTTTGTTATGTAATAATTCTCTCTGTTTTAAAAGCTTTCTCTAAAATCTCTTGTGGAACAGGTGAGCCTTTATTTGGTGATAATTTTTGTCTTATACCAGGTTAAGCAGTAGAGGCTTCTGTTCTACTGAATTTGTGTTGTGATAATCTATTGTTATTTGAAATTTATTAATCCATAAAAACAAGCATAGGTTATCGTTTTAAGATATCTTAGGGTTAATAATAACCCAAAGGGGGAATATAATTTTCTGTTTTATATTTTTTTCCAAGTCTTGGTGAATTACAAATATTTGTAGTAAACTTTCTTATTATTCCATCATTAAATTACAACTTTTAATTTAATCCTGTAAGTGGTTTTTAAACTTGAAGCTCTGTTTCAATATTTAATTAAAACTTTTTATCCAGCTTACGTAAATTAGTTAAGCTACACCAATCAGAATTACCATGTGTTGAGTAAATCTCTTTTAAAAATCTTACTTTTTTATTTCTTTCATTTATAATTTTTAATTTATTACCTTTAAGATGTTTTGGAAGTATTTGATGTTGTTCTATCAAATATGTGTTCACTTTTTTTTTTATTTGCTCTTGATAAACTTCTTTTTGATAAACCCTTAAGATTTCCTAGTTCATCTCTTTCATCTTTAAATGGAATGAAACCAGTGCCTTCTTGCTCAGCTTTTTCCTATAAAAAATTTAATGCTTTCATTTAATTTATTTATAAACATTAGTATATACAATATATATAAATAATATATCTTAGATCAAAATAAAGGATATGTATAGTGATTCATTTGAATTAAATAATAGATAATTTGTCATTGACATAGAGAAAATGTATAAATGAAATCTAATTATTATTATTTTATATAAAAATATTATACAATATAATATCTATATGATTTTCATTTTGATTCTCAAACTCTCTAAAAAACAATTTCTATTTGATTATTATAAATTAATTTAACTGAGAAGGTTATTCTTTAAGGAAATAAGTAAAAACTTAATCAATTAAATTGATTTATATAATAAATATAATATAAATGTAATAAGAGTTAGATTAACCAATATTGTTTATTGATATTGATGAGGATGGGAAATTTCTAATGTCTAAAAAGGCTGTTCAATTTATTTAAGCAATTGAAACTAATATAGCAATAATTTCAATTGTAGGGTAATATAGGACAGGAAAATCATATTTACTAAATAGATTTGCTGGATAGTAAACAGGGTTCACTTTAGGATCAAGTACTAATCCTTGTACAAAAGGAATTTGGATTTGGGGCAAAAGAGTTGAATCAGATAATCTTACAATTCTTCTTTTAGATACAGAAGGATTGAGTAATATTTTTAAAGTAAATCGCAGATTCCTATGAAAGAGACTAAAATAATGATGCTAGGTTGCTTGTTCTTGCTTGTTTGATTAGTTCTACTTTACTTTATAATATCATGTAAGTAATCGATGAGAAATCATTAGAAACACTTTCATTTACAACTAATATTAGTAAGCATTTATTAGGAGATGATGAATTTATTACTTAATATCTACCATCAATTACTTGGGTAATAAGAGATTTTGGTCTTGATTTATAAGGTTCTACTGCAAACACTTATTTAGAGGAATGTCTTGATGAACAATAAGGTTTTGCAGATGAATTTAAATAACGTAATTTAATTAGATAGGCTATTACTAAATATTTTAAAAGAAGAAATTGTTATACTTTAGTTAGACCTGTGGCAGATGAAAGACAATTAAGAGAACTTGATAAAGTACCATATTCTGAATTAAGATATGAATTTAAAATTTAATTAAATTAACTAATCCAAAATACTTTATTAGATATTTAACCAAAAATGTACAAGAATACTCCTTTAAATGGAAAAAGATTAATTGAAATAGTCACTCAATATGTTACTACAATAAATAATGGAAGTGTTCCAAATATTGAGAATGTATGGGATAGGATTTTATCAAAAGAATTTAATAAAATGATGGAAAAAGCAAAAGAAATTATATCATCTGATATATCTCTTCCTACAACTTATGAATTATTATTTTCTAATTTACATTAGATTAGTACAAAGGCATAAGAATCTATTTTGCACTATCACATAGCTCCAGATAGATAGATTGAAGGAATTGTTTAATTGAGTAAATAAATAACTGAGAAATCTCAAGTATTATTCTAAGAGAACTATATAAAATCTAAAAGAACAAACTAAGTCATTTCAAAGTATTTTATTTATTAAAATTTAGTAAAATGTATGATATTTTAAATTAACTTTCTGAATAAGGAAAATTAGTTAATGTACAACATATCATTGCTTAAGTTAACAATATAAAAAAAGTATTGAAATATTATGATGAATTTAGATTTACTTTTAGGAAGCGAAACCTCCTTCTAATTATGAATGTTATGTGTAATTTTTAGAATTGGTTATGTAAATTATTGAGAAAGTTTCTAATACAATGTAAATGAATTATTAAAGAAAAGAAGAGGATTATAAATAAGAAATTAATGTTTTAAAAAGTCAAATAAATACTTTATAAGAGATTTTAAAAAGTGAAAAAGAAAATTTACATAAATAATTGGATTAAGTTAAATTAACTTTATAAGAGGAAAGGGTTATGTATGAAAAGAAATTATTAGAATTAGATAGCTCTTCTTAAATTGAATTCAGAAAAGGGGAATTATTTGAAAATCCTGATTTATTTATGAAAAAGGAATTAAAGAATCAATAATTATAATCATAACAAACTTTTAATTTAACTTTAAAAGATATTAATTAAAAATTTATGGATTTAAAGGAAAAATTAGATGATATTTATGAATCAAGAGTAGAAATAGAAAAAGAAAAAATATATAATAAGGCTATATATGAATGTAAAGAATAAAATTAAGCCTAAATTGATAGAATTAAATTGACTTATGAAAGTGAAGTTAAGATTTTAAAAGAAGATAGATTAAGATTATAAGAATAAAGAGAACTTTTATAAATTTAATTGACACAAAAAGATTGTGAATATTAAATCTTAAAAGAAAGATTAAAATAAATTGAAAAATAAAAAACAAAAGATATAGAACATGCAGATATGTTATGTAAAATAAGTGATTAGTTAGTTAAAGCATTAAAAAAATTAGAGAAAAAAAAAATTTGATTTATCATATATTTTAATTTAATTGTATGTTTATCATTATAGAATATTATCAAAGTATTAATTGAATTTTATATATACAATAATAATATTAATCAATATTATATACTAAATTATTATCTTATACTAATTCATCAAAATAATCAGTAAAACCTATTCAATGATATATACTATTAAAATTTGTAAAATTTATTTAGTGTTTCCTTTAATAGTTTTGGTTGGAGTATTATTTCAACTTTAGCATCTTCTATTATAAGGTTTTATTTTAACATTTCGTAATAAAGTGATGAAAAATCAATATTACTTTGCTAAAAGATATTTTAAAAGCATTTTAAGGTCTTGATTTCTCAAATTTTTAGTAATTAATCTAAATACTTATTTAAATCCAACTTAATTATATAATAATATTACAAAATAATCCTGTAATCCTGTTTATCTGAGATCTTTTATTTATTTATAAATTCTTTTATATATTTTGATTTTTATACAAATTCAGTAATATTATATATAATAAAATTTATAAGGTTATTTGAGTTTCAAAAGAATTGTTTAATATTTGATAATTTTTCATTTTTGATTATTATTTATGATTTAAATATAGATTGAGATACAATTATTCATTAGTAGTAAATCAATTTTTAACTAATATAAATAAATAAAAAATCATAAAAATTAAATTTAAATTTTATAAATAAAACAATCATTAATACGTCTTTTATAATAATTTAAAATTATATAGAATGGAATTTAATCCATATCTTTGATAAATCAATACTATAATAGTGTTTTATAAGGAATCAAAAAGAAATATAGATTGAATATTAATTTAATTTACCAAATGTTAAAGCCACAAGTAATCGAAAGTCAACAGAATTTAATTTGCATGAATAAACATGACCTACCAATTAGCCAGGTAGTGTGGGATCCTAAACTAAATTATGATCAACGATTATTGTGTACTCAGTGTGTTGAAGATTATGAGAGTGAAACCAGAACCATGGGATACAAAAAAGTATTCTAAATAATAGAAGAAAAATAAAGAATGAAAATTCAGGAATATGAGAATTTACTTATGCCTCACATCAATTCTGTATTATAATTTCAAACAGCCATTAATACTCTTAAATAAAACATAATATAACAATTAGATTAACTATAAAGGATTTCTGAGGATTGGATAAAGAATCTAGAATCAACTAAAAAAGAAATATCTAAATACTCATTTTTTTAGGAATTAGATAAATTAATCAAAAATGAATAAAATCATTTTGATGAAAATAAACACAAAAAAGAAATCTAATTAATCCATACCGAATGGAGCAATCAATTAACTGAAAAATTAGATTTGTTCAAAAATTTTTAATAATACAATGATTGTCTAGAGATTCTAAAGAAAATAAATTAAGTAGAGGAATCACTCTAACTTTCTCCACCTCTTTCTCCAATTAAATTACTTTCAGAAAGATTCTCAATTAAACTACCAACTCAATCCAAATCATCCAATTAATTATCAAACCTACTTGGAAATTCATAAATTTCAAATAGTCCTTTTACATATTAATTACTACCTTAAATGAGTCATAAACAAACATATTTTTGTAGAGCAATAGCAATCAATCATGATAATAGCTTAATTATAGTGGCCTGTAATTCTAATATCAAAATTATGGAAATCCTGTTAGATTCATAATTATAATTATCATCATCCACAATAAACTCAATAAATGAAATAGAAATAAAAAAAACTCCAAAACTATTATAATTACTACAAGGTGAGCATTAAGATTTTGTAAACACTCTTAATTTTTTCAGAAATACTCCTTCTATGCTTAATTCTTTTCTATCAGGTTCAAAAGATTCAACAATAATTATTTGGTCTCCAACAAATTTCTCTTCTTAATTGTAACCTATTTTATGGGGTCCATTATTTAAATTAAATGGACATTCTAATAGTATTAGATGTTTGATTATTCATCCACTTTCTGAGGATCTAGTAATTTCAGGTAGTGATGATAGTTCCATTAAATTTTGGTCATGTGCAACATTTTTCTAATAAAAATGTTAATGGACATGTTAATAGACTATAAATGAACATTTAGATTGTGTTTGGGGATTGTCTTTAAATGAAGATGGAAATAAATTAATATCCTGTGGTGAAGATAAATAAATATTAGTGATGGAATTGTCTAATAAGTAATAATGGGAAATAAAATAATAAATTTAGGTTGAAATCTAAGGGATGCGAATATGTTTTATAAATAATAATTAATTTTCTTTTTAAGCATGTTCAGGTAAAGCATTACCAAATTTACATATATATACACTCAATCCATCTTCAGGATTGTTTTCAAAAAGTAAAGATATCTTAGTGTATGGAGGAGGACAACCATGTGTTTTCTATTTTCCTTAATAGTATATTCCATCTAAATAAATCTTAATTTCAAAAAATGGATGCTATGTGAATTTAATAAGATTTTAATTTTCCTCTTTTGATGAAATTTAAGAGAGTTAATTAGAATAATCAATTCACTTTGGTATCGAATGTGATGGAGAAATATTTGGAACCATAAGTGAAGATGGGGAGTTTTTAATTACTTGGGACTCCAAATCAAAAGATGTTCAAATTCGATAGTATATTGAGAGAAAGCAATGAATAACAAAAATTCATTGAATAATTTAAAAGCAATGAATATCTAATATTCATTCAATAATTTAAATTTAATTTACTATAACATCTAATGTATAGTAAATAATCAAAAATATTCTATTCTAATAAAAGTTATATAATTATTAAAATAAAGTACTACTAAATCAAAAATTAATTGTATTCTCTTCATTCTTATTAAGTTCTTTGTCTGATTTCTATTATTTTTGTAATTTTATCATAAATTATAATATATTCGCCATTTTCACTCACAGTTCCAAATATAATGTTATTTTCAAATTTTATTTATTATTGTAATTTATATTGTAAATTCTACATGTTTTTTACATCTTGATTATTGATATCTTAAATTTAAGTTAATTCAATAATATTCAGATATTATCCATTTTTAACAATAAGATTGTTATTAGATGTTATATACTGGAGAGGAAACTAATGCCAACATGGTTAATTTCCACCTTTAACAGGAATCTTATATAAATTATGGAATAAATCTTCAGATGGATTCTGTTTATATATAAGAAGATGAGTGCCTTTGAGTGCTTAAAATGCAAACATATAATTATTTATAAAGCACAAACGATATCCATAGTTGTTCAATTATATCTTCTATACTACTAACCATTAAGATTTATGAGATCCTTTCATTATTATTATCTAATTATCACAACTACAAGAAATCAATTTATTCCCATCTGGACTCAGGGATATTTGAAAAATAAAATCATTATGTTCTTCCATTGTTTAAACACATGACCATGACGATTATTGTAATGACCAAAATTTAATTGTTTTATCATCTGAAGCACTAATTATAAGATCTTCTTATTAAGGATGTACTATTATAAATTTAATATCATTAGAATGTCCATTTAATTAATGTGTATATTTTGGGTTGGACATCAGATTGCATGCCCAAATTATAATTGTTCCATCCCTTGAACCCGATATGAGAAGGGGTTTCTTTTTGAAGAATTTAAGAATTAATACAATACTACAATGCTTCATTAAATCTTAGAGTTTTTTAGTCTTTCCATTTTTGAATTATTAAATGTTAACATTAAATTTTGATCCAAGCGCAAGTAAATTATTTTTGTCATTAATAGCAATATCCACACAAAAATGATCATAAGGCTATGTATTGATTACTTTATAAGATTGATTCTTAAAATATTTATTTCCCATATTTACGTTTAAATATTATAACAAATTCTATAAACTCTATTTGTTTATAAACTTAATATATTAAATACTAAAATTTTGATAATAATTCCATATTATTAAACTTTATAACATTTTATATTAATTTAAAATTTCTTTTATAATATCATCCATATTCAGTCAAGAACTACTTCCCTTATAACCATTGTAAAGGTATAATCTATAATTAAATTTATATCCTTATTAGATTTAAAAAATATGAAATAATAAACTATTTTTAAACTTTATTATTAAATGTAAATATGGTTTATTGATATTTGAAATTTTCAGAATAATTCAAGTCTATTTTTGGATTGATAATAAACAAAAAAAATATTAATATATAAAATTGAAATCCTCAATTTTTGAAATTGTTTTTTTATATTTACAAATCTTTGAATTTTATGAATTCTAATTCCATAACTTGATGTTTAAAGTATATAAGATTAAATATAATCTGAGAAAATATTTAAGGTGTACAAAATAAATCAATTGATAATAAATACAAATATTTATAAAAATATTAAAAATCTGTCTATAATTTTTATCATTATTGATTATTAAACTCTTAAAAAAGATCTCTCAGATGATTTTATTATTAAGTTTCATCTATTTTTTCAAATATTGTATCCTTTAATGTGAATGGTTCTTATTTATTTTGTTTAACATTTTCGATTATTTTTAATAGATTTTCACACATTTGATTATCATTTTAATTTGAATTTTAGCTAAAAACTATTCGATCTTCATTATTTTTCAATAAAAATTTAAGTTATTGTTTTAAATTGTTTTTATCTTCATCTTAATCTTCACTTTAATCAAAATGAGTAATTGCAATAATGATTAAATCTAAATAGCGATGAAAATATTTAATCACAGATAATAAGCTTCTTTTCATAAGATCTGTTCTTTCAAATTTAACACTCACAACAATAGAAACTATTTGACTTTTTTTATTAATTTTATTTTCACAAATATTCTGAAAATCATTGATAAATTTTTCTCTATTTTCTATTGATTCCTCTAAATCCATTGCAGGAATATCAACAAAGGAAAATTGATCATTAATGTTTTAATTCAATTTCTTATATAAATTTGTTTTCCCTGAACCTGGAGATCCAATAATTAAAACATAATCATTATTTTTCCTTGAAGAACAACAACCCATAAATAATATATTGTTATTATCCTTGATTGTTTGGCTCTTTTTATTTCTAAATATAATTCTATTAAAAGTTAAAATGGAAATAAATATCCCCATATATAATAACTTTATTAAAATTGTATTGTAAATTAATGCGGATTATGTATAATTGAGAAGCAAATACAAGTAATACTTTATTTAAAGAACACTTGTGTCTTATATAATTATATTGAAATAAATATTAATTGTAAAATTAGAAAAGCTCAAATTCAATATTATTTTTGATATGTCTAATTATTTGATTTTCCAGAGGCAGTTAAATTAGGATCACCTATATTATTATAATTTTAAATTAAGCTTCCTCCATTTTGTTGCATATTCTATGTGACCCTTACATCAGTAGGATTGAATTAAGTAGTCTTAGGATATATATTTTATAATTTATATTTCGTCTAGTTTTAGAAATCACTAAAAAATAAATTTAACATATACATAGCTTTATTTTTAATCTCTTATTAATCAGGAATTCGATAATATTTTGCCTACTTTATATGTTGTATTTATTATTCAATCACTTCAACTTAAGGAATTAGTTAATTTAAAAGATTTTAATTAAAGACAAAATCTTAAGTTTATTATAAAGCAAGCTATTTAATACTTACCTTCTACTATAAGCTATTCTAAATATAATTATTTATTAATTATTATTATCCCTATCCAAATTCATTATAGAAACTCTTGAGCATATTTTAGACTTTATATCTTTCTTCAATAATACAATGTTAAGCTTAAATACCCTTATGTTCTTTATCTAAATCATAATGGATTGAATTTGAAATATTTAATTGTAAAATCACTTTATTTATGCTTAAAGTTATTGCTGGATGATTAGGTTCATTTGCAAAATACTATTAAATTGCTTTCATAGAGTACAATAGATTTATAAAATTTTAGAGGTCTTGATATACATAGTATTGAATTAAAGCTTACTCCTCCTTAAATGATTATTATTCATAAATTTGTTATTATTAAACAGGTCCTCTTGATTAATAATAGCCTTACATTAGTAAAATAATAATATAAATAAGAATTAGTCTTCCATTAATCTTTAAACTTAAGTTAATAGAATAAAATTATATCCTATTACATTATATTATTTCAAATTTATTTTATTATTAAATTACTATATTAATATGACTTTTAAGAATAAATTGATTATTCTAAATACAAACTTATTGAACAATAATTCTATATTATGAATCTATATTGTAATTTTTTTTAAATTATATTAAATAAATGAATGAAGTTATTTATAAAAAAATATTCTATTGAAAATTAAAAATTTTGTTGCTCATATCAAATAGATAAATATAAGGCGTTAACAAAAGTAGAATGTATATTTTTTAAAGAAGAAAAAAAATCAGTAGTTATGGATATAAAATAAAATAAAATAAAATAAAATAAGAAATCAATCTTTAAGTTCATAGTCAAACCTATAAATATTATTTAAAGTAAAATTTCTTTGATATTTCTTAATATGAGATTNAATAAATTTAACATATACATAGCTTTATTTTTAATCTCTTATTAATCAGGAATTCGATAATATTTTGCCTACTTTATATGTTGTATTTATTATTCAATCACTTCAACTTAAGGAATTAGTTAATTTAAAAGATTTTAATTAAAGACAAAATCTTAAGTTTATTATAAAGCAAGCTATTTAATACTTACCTTCTACTATAAGCTATTCTAAATATAATTATTTATTAATTATTATTATCCCTATCCAAATTCATTATAGAAACTCTTGAGCATATTTTAGACTTTATATCTTTCTTCAATAATACAATGTTAAGCTTAAATACCCTTATGTTCTTTATCTAAATCATAATGGATTGAATTTGAAATATTTAATTGTAAAATCACTTTATTTATGCTTAAAGTTATTGCTGGATGATTAGGTTCATTTGCAAAATACTATTAAATTGCTTTCATAGAGTACAATAGATTTATAAAATTTTAGAGGTCTTGATATACATAGTATTGAATTAAAGCTTACTCCTCCTTAAATGATTATTATTCATAAATTTGTTATTATTAAACAGGTCCTCTTGATTAATAATAGCCTTACATTAGTAAAATAATAATATAAATAAGAATTAGTCTTCCATTAATCTTTAAACTTAAGTTAATAGAATAAAATTATATCCTATTACATTATATTATTTCAAATTTATTTTATTATTAAATTACTATATTAATATGACTTTTAAGAATAAATTGATTATTCTAAATACAAACTTATTGAACAATAATTCTATATTATGAATCTATATTGTAATTTTTTTTAAATTATATTAAATAAATGAATGAAGTTATTTATAAAAAAATATTCTATTGAAAATTAAAAATTTTGTTGCTCATATCAAATAGATAAATATAAGGCGTTAACAAAAGTAGAATGTATATTTTTTAAAGAAGAAAAAAAATCAGTAGTTATGGATATAAAATAAAATAAAATAAAATAAAATAAGAAATCAATCTTTAAGTTCATAGTCAAACCTATAAATATTATTTAAAGTAAAATTTCTTTGATATTTCTTAATATGAGATTAAATTTATTACTTTATGAAGATTTTGTTAATTTATATGAATATAATAATATAATCATAAATTTATACAATTGATAGTTTTATAATAGAATATCTTAATCTCTAATTTCCATTTATAAATTACTCATAATTTAATGAATATAATTTTATAGGATGAAATATAGTACTTGATTTTATTTAAATAATGGTAGAGATTGTTTACAATAGTTAAATCATTACATCAAAAATTAATAAAATATTAAATAATATTTAATTATTATTTTTATGTTCTATTATTTTATTGATTGCTCAATTATAAATATATATTGATTTTAAACCAATGATATTTATTAATTAAAATAATGAATAAGCAAAACCATATAAAATTAATGGATGAAGATTCATAGATTTAATAAGCAATAAATTTAGATTTTGAGATAGATTAAGAATTGTGTTAAAAATAAGAAAAATTAAACTTAGAGAATACAGTGATATACTTTCCTCATAAACCTTATGATGTTTAAATAAAGTATATGGAAAATGTTGTCTAAATATTGGATAAAAAATTTAATGGATTGTATTATTTATTAATTATGAAAAATTAGATTAGAATCTCCAACAGGAACAGGTAAAACTTTATGTTTATTATGTTCATCAATGGGTTGGTTAAAAAAGCATAGAGAAGAATAATTGATATCGAATAATTCTAATAATTTAAAAATTATTTATGCTTCAAGAACACATTCACAATTAAAATAAGTAGCCTAAGAATTAAAGAGAACTGTTTATAAGCCAAATATATCTATGATAGGTTCAAGAGATTAATATTGTCTAAAAAACTTTTAAAATTTAAAAGGAAATTCTTTAATATAAGCATGTAGAAAGTTAGTAAAAGGAAAGAAATGTTAATTTTATGACAAAGAATTTTTACCAATTATAGCTGCCACAAATAGTAAATTGATCAATACTTTAGAAGAAACTAAATAATTTGGATTTAAGAATGAGGTATGCCCTTATTACTTTGAAAGAGAAAGATTAATAAATGCTGATTTAATTATGATACCATACAACTATTTATTAGATAATGAATTTTCAAATATTGTTGATGTAAAAAATTCAATAATTATTTTTGATGAAGCTCATAATGTTCCCTCAACTGCTGAAGATGGTTAATCATTTTATATTAATGATAACATTGTTTAAGAAGCAAAAAAAGAATTAGAAAGATGGTTGAAATAATTAGATGAAATACCTGATTTTTTAACAGGTTTCTAAAATGTATTAGGCTAGAAAAAATTTTCAAAAATTGCAATTAAAATAAATGAATATGAAGAAATTGTTTAAACAATTGAAGCTTTTTCAAGATTTTTAAAAAGTTTGTTAGAATCTACTTAATTTAATTCTTAAGATATAGAATAATGCAAAGTATTTAATGCTTAATAGATATTTAATTTCCTTTATGAGAATACATCTATAAATAAAAAAAATAATGATTCCTTATTTTCAAATGGGATTAATGATAGTAATATCTCTATATATATCGAATATTGTTAAACAATAATTAATTATATGAGTGAAATATCTCCACTTGAGGGTTCTAATTTACAATCTTGGACTAGATTTTTAATGAATCTTGATAATTTCACATAAGATAATGAAGATAATTAAGATAATGAATAATTAAATTATTATGATTTCTATAAGTTAGTAGTGAAAAAGAATAATTAGAATTAAATATCTTTGAATATGTGGTGTTTAGATCCATCTTTGGCTTTTAAGAAATTGCTAAGTCAAAATATCCACTCTATAATATTAACTTCAGGTACATTATCTCCTATGGAATCTTGGTAAAGTGAATTAAAAATGGAGTTTTAGATTCAATTAAGTAATAAACATGTAATAGACATTACAAAAAATGTTAGAGCATTTGTAAATTAAATTTATGATTTCTCTTATAAAAATAGAGATGATGAAAAATAAATTATCAAATTAGGAGAAACCCTACTAAATTTTGCATAAATTATACAGGGTGGAATTATTGTCGTATTTTCTTCATATACTCTTATGTAACATATATAGAAGAAATGGTCTAATTAAAAATTGATATGGAGACTAAATGAAGTGAAAAAGTGTTTATGGGAAGAATAAGGAAGTTCTTCATTTCATAATACATTAGAAGTTTTTAAATAAAATGTTTAAAAGGGAGCAATTTTATTTGCAATTCATAGGGGAAAAGTTACAGAAGGAATTGATCTACCTGATGACTTATGTAGAGCTATATTTTTAATCGGAATTCCATATCCTCCATTATAAGATTAAAAAGTAAAATTAAAGAAAGAATATTTAGATAAACTCAGGTAAGGTTTGTCTAGCAAAGATTGGTATGATTAATAAGCAATTAGAGCAACTAATTAAGCAATTGGTAGAGTTGTTAGACACATTAATGATTATGGGTATTGATTTTTACTTTATTTAGTGCTATATTTCTATGTGATAAGAGATTTTAATGGTCGAATATGAAGAATGGAATATCAAAATGGGTTTAACCAGCAATCAAATCTTGGAGAACTGATTAAGATATTGATCAGAATATTAAATTGTTCTTTTAAAGATAAACTCAATAAAGCAATGTAATAATGCATTTGAAAATTGATAATCAATAAAGTAACTAAAATTCTTAAGAATAAGTATAAAGAAATATTTATTAGGAAACATAGAAATAATTTAATTAATCTTTTAGGTAATCTTCTGAGATATAACCTTAACATAAATTTTAATCTCAATAATAATAAAAATAAAATTAATAAAAGTTTGGTATTTAATATAAAGATTATCATTTTAATAATAAAAAATAAAAGTGGCTCTTGGATGAATTATCAGATTAAGATATGAAATAATTTATAGATTAAGACGAAGAACTATCTTCTATTTTATAAAAATATGAATTGGTAGATTAAAAGTAAGAGATTAATTCAGAAGAATCATCAGACTAATCTTAATTTTAAGAAGAATCATAAGAGTAATCTGAATTTTCACAGGAATCATAAGAGTAATCTGAATTTTCATAGGAATCATCATAATAGTTTCAATATTCAAAAGAATCATCTTAAGATCATAGTGATCCAAGAGAAGCATATAGATAAAAAAAAATAAAATATAATAAACCTTAATAATATCAAAAAAGAAAATATAGACTCAATTGAATTTGAAGCAATATTAAAAGTTAATATTATGATAGAATTTATTTTAATATAAAAACAAGACTTAGAGATTCTAAAAGTACAAATAAAAATTCAAAATATTAGTTGATCTGAGGTTAAAAAAAGTATTAACATTTCTAAAACTTTATAATTATTTAATTTTAAAGAATAAATAAAGTATTTATTATAATTTAATATTTCATTCATGAATATATTTTCTAATTTATATTTCTTTTGAATTATTATCCCAAGAAATCAAATATTCACCATCCTCACTTAATGTTCCAAAAACTTAAGAACTATTAAAATGAATTGAATAATTCATAAGATATTCAAAATTCTAATTAAATTGCACAAAATTCACATGTGATCCATTTTTATTTACTAAGAATGATTTCTATTTGATAAATTTCTAAGGGAAAAATAAATCACAACTATTTCCATTCATAATTGATATTTCTTTAGTTTTACTATATAAATTATCATTCATTTGATAGATCTATAATTTATTACTATTAATAGGTTAAAAACTAAAGGAATTTTTATTAATGTAACATATTCTATATCCAAATTATTCTACTTTAATAGTTTAAATGACAACCCATATCTTATTTTCTTATTGAATTACTAATATTGTATTATCCTTACCACATGAAATTAATGTATTTTATTATTCATTTAAAGATAAACTATAAATACAATCTTTATGAGCATTTATAGTTTATATCTATAACCATTCATTTTAATTTCCCCAAAATATAATTGATTTATCTTTACTTCCAGAAATAATTAAATCCTCTTTATTATTAATAATTAAACAATAGACTTAATCTTTATGTAGATTTAGAGTTTATAAAGAGATCCATAAATTATTTTATATTTTTGTCCAAATTCTTATAGTATTATCATCACTACCAGAAATTAAAGAATTAGAATGTACCATAAAAGATAAACAATTTATATTTTTTGTATGTTCACTTAACACTTAAGTTTCATTTAATTATCCATCTATGAATTCGAAAATCTTGATTTTTTCTTAACATCCAACAGCAACTATTTATTAATCCATATTGATAGCTATTGTATTACAGATTTCTGTTTGTTTGATTGAAAATTTCTAAATCAATTCATATCTAAAAGTGTTCTTTTTATTACTTTATAGTGAATTATCATAAACTAATTTATGTTGATTAATATAGATTGAATGATTTAGGTTATCTTCATTAAAATATTTTAATTTTGTTTCTATTTCATGAATGAAATTTGATTTTTCAAATAAATAAATTTTGTTTAATAGATTGTCTTTAATATTTTAATAGTTTGGTAATTAAGTTTTAATTTGTTAATAATTACTAATAAATTAATTAGCATCAATTATTGGAATTTAACTAATTAATGATTTAAATGCTTTTGTTGACTTTTTGATTAGATTTATCTATTAATTAGTATCATTAATCAATGATTCTAAAGCAACTATTAAATATTATTTATGTTAGATCATATTTTCCTTTATTTGATAAAGCAATGCAGAATTATTGCTACATATTTCTTCATTTTCTTAGATTAGGATATTTTATAATCTCTAATACTATATTATGAATATTTTATGAATACCTCCTCATTCTTAAATTCAGCAACACAAAATTGACATAAGTTCTTAAACAAAGAAAATTTCTATGATGTATTGTAGAAAATTGGAATTTATTCATGTTTGATACATTTCTCATTGCTCATTTTTTTAATTAATAAACTTAAATTAAATTGGTGATGAGAAATATATTAAAAATCTTGTTTTATATTTTATATATGTTAAGATTATTCAAAAAAATTAGAATGAAATTAAGATAATATAAAACTCTCTTTCCTCAATAATGATATCTTGCTTTTATAACTATATAGAAGTAATTAATAATTTTATAAAATCAAAATTATTTTTTAGTTCAAGTTCAATAACTATTCCTTAGAAAATATATGAATTACTCCTTCCATCTAAGAAAGAAAAATAATAAAGTTCAAATGTGAATATGAATCCTATTAAATATAATCACTTTTATTATAATTGGTCATTAATTCTTTTTCCGTATCAATATAATTAAAAAATTAAATATTACTATTTATGATAACTCTAGGAAATCTATCTAGCAAGTATTTTTTAAATTATTTAAATTATTTATTTTATCATCCCTTTTCAAAATATCCCATAATCAAACCTTTTATTCTTTTTCATACAGGCCAACTATTAGTATTACTTAAAAATATTCTATATAACATTGTTTTGAAGTTTCAAAAGCTTAACTAATTTTGATCCATTTCCTAATTTTTTTGATTCCATTTCTATTTTAATTTTCTCCTTTAATGAAAATGAATTATAATTTCATTAATATGAATTATAAAAATGAATTTATTCATCACCTATCAAAATTTTAATACATTCAAAATTTGTCTGATTATTATTATTCTAAATTCAAAAAATACATTTGTTTTTTGATGAGCCATTTAATTTTGAAAAGATGGAAACAATTTTTAATATTAACAAGAGATTTACTCATTTAAATCAAATAGATATGGAAGTAGAAAAAGGTTAGAGTAAGAGAAATAAAAAAATCAGTTCCTTCTCTAATATTGCTTTTATAATCTATATCTACAATAATAAATATATTTTATATTTCATTTAAATTCAGGTTGCTTAATATATTAAGGATTCCAATATTAACGTATACTCTCTCTATATTAAACCCCTATTATAATTAATTATATCTAAATGCATAGTTTGAGTATTAAATTAATTAGTGAAATTATTAATAAGTAAATTTTAATAGGATGAAGATCCAAAAATAGAAATATTGAAAGATTATGGATTTTATATTTGACATAAACCTATCAATGAGAAAATTGTAGAAATTTTTGAATAAAAATAATTAAATAGTTTGAATCCACTTAGCATAAATAATGATTTTAATCTACTTAACATAAATAGCTGGGATACAAAGAAATTTTACACAAACTGTTTTGTGAAAGATATTCAAATAAATACTCTAAATTGCAGTAGTTTAAAGACTAAATTTAATTAAGATATAAAGAAAACTTTCAGAATATCGGTAGAAAATGTTTATAAATTGAAAATTTAGTTCATAAAAGAAAGATGTGAGATAAGAGAAATCGAAATTAAAAATACCCTACAATTAAATTGATAGTCTTAACTTTAATTTCATTAGCTCTGCCATTTTATAAAGAAAAAATATGAATTTATATTAAAATTAGGGATACAAAAAAGATCCAAAATCATATTCTTTTTATATTAATGAAAATATTGAATTATTAAAATGCCTTTATCAAATTAATATTAAGTTTTTGGGTTGAATTTAAAAACTTAAAAAGTAAGTTGGAATTTCATAATTTCAAAAATAGAATTGTTTTTAACTCATTTATGAAATCTTCAGCCTTCAAAGAGAAAGTTAATGTATATAATTAGATAATCAACGAAAATTTTTTAATTATTATTGATTAGTTTAGGGTATGGTTGAAAGAATAATTATATTAAGTTTTTTAATCTTAGTAATAATCCTATAGCTAATTTTGAAAATTCAAATTAAAGTTAAAACCTCAAGATTAAATTCTAACAATTGTTTTAAAAAATCTCATATGAACTAAAATTTAATGGGTATCAAATTATTTAGTGGTTAAAATTACATCAGGAAATAGATTCATTTTTTAAATAAATACATTAAAGTTATTATAAAAGATTTAGAATTGATAAGAGTATGGTTTGTATATAATTTAATATCATTAAAATCACGCCAATAAGAATATTAAAATAAGGTAAAGTAATTTTGACAAATAAGTTAATGATACCAAGCAATTAGGAGATCTCAAAATATGAACTATACAATCCAAAATTAAAGAAATTTTCAGCATATATAAATGAGTTTTCAATTTAATTAAAAAATAGATTTAATGAATAATTGCTCAATTTTACTAATTCAACTTGTTAAATTATGGAATCTATAATCGATATTAAAAAATAAGATAGATTAAGTTCAAGCAATACTTCATTAATATATTTTAATTAAACAACAAACAATTTCGATTTAGGAATGTTAATTTTTAATCTTGATCCATATAATCAAACTGACAAATAGTATAAAATTGAAATTTAATGCAAAACCTAAAGTTTAATTAAGGAATTATTGTATAAGATAAAAGTATAAAGCCTAATTTGTTAATTAGGAGAATTTAATGTTTTAAATGGTTGTTTGACTTGTTAATCTACATAAGGGTTTTATTCTGTTACATACAATGCTACAAAGTGTTCAATATTTGATAAAATAAAATTTGAAGCCATTACTTCTAACAATATTAAATTGAAACCTGGATATTGGAGATCTCATCAGGAATCTGATTTAGCGAATGATTGCTTCAAAAATATTGAATCATACAAAGGTGGTTGGGCTGTTGGCGATGAGATTTGTAAAATTGGGCATGTTGGAGGATTGTGTGAAGAGTGTGATAAGCATAATACTAGAGGAGATGGATATTATTTTATAAATGATCAATTTAGTTGTTTAAATTGTAGCAATTTTTCTATTAACATTTTATCTTTGGTTCTCATAACAATTTGGTAATAAATTAATTCTACAAAAGGGTCTTTCTATCAGCTTTTATAACATTAAATAGTGTATAGAAAACTAATTAACTCTTTGCTTCATTAAAACTCACTTAAAATTTTGCTCATATCCTGTTTAAGATGAATATAAGTATTTGTTTAATAAATATTATTTTTAGATTAAGAGATTATCTTATTAAAGTTATTGCTTAATTATATTTGGATATTTTCTGTAATTTATACTTTTAACATTCAATTTTCTTTTTCATTTATTTTGTTAAGTAGATGAATGATACACCATATTTCCTTACTCGTAATTTAGATTGTGAAATTTCATAATCATTTGAAATAGAATTAATATACATAAGAGTATTAGGAATGTTTACTCTAATCAGTTTATAAATCTTCGTTATTTAATTAACAGTTAACATTTTTATAATGCTTACAAAAGGAAAATTCAGTAGTAACATATCTTCAATTACAATAATTTATTTATATATATCATTAGGCATGGATTTATAAGTTTGCTTTACCTCTTTGATTACTGATAAGGTTAATTTTCCTCATATCATTACTTTTATTTTTGAATAGATCATAAAATAAACTTGATTCATACAAGAAAAGAAATTTTTTTTATAAAATATAATTCAGAAGACATATTGGCTATTTATTTAATGAATATAAAGCCAACAGCTCTTTTTGGGAATGGGTTAAATTATGGAAGAAAACCATCATTATAGTTATTTTGATATACTTTGAAACTAGTATATTTTAAAAGGAATCTTGATTGCAATGTGCTTAATGATCTATTAAGTAATCACATCATCATATTTGCCTTACATTTATCCAAAATTAAATAAATTGGATTTGAGTTCAGGATAATTTTGTACAATAGCCATTTTCTTAGCAGCTGTTTAATATATTTGTGAATAGTAAGGAGATAAATCTTAGCAAAAATTTTGTAAATCTTAATAGTCCTTATGTGCTTTAAATTTAGTTTTCCATATCTTTTTGAGATTATCTCTTCTTCTTCTGAAAAATACAAATAAAATTTTTTGACATACCACACAATTATTTTGAAAAAAATTTATCTTTAATGAAGTTTTATCTAGAAACTCAATGATAAAATAGATAAATGGAGATACAGATAAATAAAATTAAACCACTACGCAAAATTAAAAGTGTTGAAATAATGAAATCGATGGAAAATGAGATATAACTATATAATCTATATTTAATCAGAAAAAATTATATAGTATTATTATATAAATTATATATTTTTATATAAGATTCTATAATAATAAATATTGATATCAATTTAAATATCAAATTTTTATTTACACCTAGTTTCTGATCCAAATAGTGTTATTTTACGGAAATATCTACTAATTTTTATATTGTGCATAGACTTTGTTAAGATTATATTTTTAAAAACTATATTCAGAATAGTAAAAAATATAATTTCACAAATTCAATTAATAATCCAAGATTTTTTAGATTCCTTATTTGTTTAAAAATCAAAATTGAATAATTATCAAATTAGAATCCATATACTTTTGAAAAATAAATATATATATTAGTAATTTCGTTTTAATATTTATAAATGTAAAAAATTGAATAGAAACTTAGAGCAATCAAGAGAATCATAAATAAAGTAATAGCATTTAATTACTAAAGGGGGATATTATTTTAATTGTATTCTGAGTTTTAAGAATAATTTATAATAAATTGTGATTAGATAATTAAACACCTTATTTATAGTAATTAGTGATTCTAATCTGAGCTTCATTTCATTCAATCCAAAATTAATATCTATGTTCATTAAATAGAGTTAAATATATAAGTATAATGACTAATTTATATTTTTTATGAATAATTATCATGAAGGCTTGATATATTTTGTAAACTAAAACTTGATGACTAAATGTTTACCTTAAAACCATTCAAACAAGGTTAGGAAGTAGTAAACTCTTGTAATACTCCTGAAAAATAGTTTGGACCTTTAAATTTCACAATAATACCAGGACCCATTAGAATTGATTTGATTTCATAAGGAATACTAGTTTGCTTCTTTGTTTATTCACCTTAACATATTTAAAATAATGTTCCAGTATAATTACATTCGCTATAAAAGTTAACACAAGGGACTGCAAGCCTTAAAATAAAGTCTCTAAATCCCCATGATTCTAAAAATAATTAAATTTATACCATCCCAAGAACTTTAGTCTAAATTATCTTTTAATTATATTGTTAAATCAGTTCCTGATATTTAAAATTTTAATGAAAGGGGAATTAGTTAATCTTAAAATTCGCCATTTCTACAAGTAAAAATTCCTTCATATGCTGATACTAAAAGAGTTTATATTAATATATCATTTGCATAAATCTCAAATCCTTCTGAATCCCAAGAGTCAAGTTTCCAAATACCAATTGAAAGTTCCATTTATTTGTTTGGTGGAATATTTATAAATGTTTTGGTTACTCTAGTTAACTATGCATAAGGTCCCATAAATAAATTTTTAGCTTGTGAGCCACATCTATCTAATGTTGAACCACTCATTCCAGCAATAGAGAAATCTGTATATCTACAATCAGCAGTATTGTCTGTAATACAATTTTCGTAAATTATCGATTTTAGAAATAAAATTTTTAGAAAGGAAATAACAAATGCCATTTTAATTATTATTAAAATTGAATCTAATATTAATATTAGTTTTTTGATTAAACGAAAAAAGCACATATAGTAATTCTAAAAATACACCAAACATTATTATTAGATTGTTTATGATGAGATACAAAATTTATTTATTTTTTTGCTAGTTATTACTAGTTTATTTTTTGATATACAAATAGAATAGAAAATTATTATGAGAATAACTACTGTAAAAGGGGTGATAAAAGACAAAATATGAAGAAAAATTTAACAGAGTCTTAAAAAAGAAATCAAAGCCCATTTTTGAGTTATTTTCATTAAATTTTTTATGTTTGATATTGCGATTATTTTTTTTGAATTTCAAGCATTTTTAAATATTTTACTAATTTAATCAATTCGTTTAATCTGATTTTTAAATACTTTTATTAAAACTCACTTTCATCCTACTTCAGGTTTTTTAATTTTTTCTTTAATTATATTTCTATAATGACATTTATTTTTAACATATTATTCGAATATTAAAAAAATAAGAATTCTGTCACAAATAAACTTGAGTTAAATTAAAAAATGAATTAATATTCAAAAAATATTATCTGACTTTTATGAAAATGTATTTGTAAAAAGGGTAACTTTTTTTTTATAAAATGATTAGGAACATAAAGTTCGATAAAAAATAATATTATTCTTAAATTCATTGATTTTTCATCAGCTTATAAGAACAAGAATTTTCTAAATTTTTCTTTCAAACTGAAATATAGAGAAATCAACAATAAAATTATCTTTCGAAAATGGATTTACCATAAATAGTATCCTACTTCAATTTTTATTTGATATTTACATCAACTTGTTTATAAAAGGTCATATTAAAACCAAAGCAAATATTTAATATCAACTTCTTTCTGCTGATTTAATGGCATTTCTTTTTAATAAAAAATCACAACTAAAAATTTTTAATATTTAAAAATAAAACAAAAAAGACCAAAATTGAAAAATGATTTAGTAACTCCATAAATTATTCCATATTAATTTTTAGAATTATCAAAGATAAATTAGAAAAAACTAAAGATCTAATTTAATTAAGGATGAATTGTAAATTAAATTTATTTGAGATTTAAAGAGAGGAAAGAAATTAAAAATCTTAGTGAATTTATGATAATTATTTTATTATCCCTGAGATATCATGATAATAATTTGATTAGTAATAAATTATTGAGATCAAGATGAAATTTATTATGTCTTCAAATGAACAAAGATATATTTCTAATAAGAAGATGAAATTTACTTTGTTAATACTCAGAAAGTTAGTGGAGTTGTCTATCTCTATAACTGGATTTTAGGTACTAATCTTAAAAAGAGAAAGACAAAATTACAAAATAGTGCTGAAAGTAAAATAAATTTATATGTTAACATACTAAAACCGATTAGTGATACTAATGTAATTCATTCTCCTGTTAAGATGTACATCATACTTCATAATTGATGGGATTGGATAATACAAGAACGATAATAAATCAAAGTTCAAAAGTAAATTTATAAATCTTAATGAATAAATAATATGTTCATCTTATAAAGAACTTAGAGAATGATTATAATTTCTCAGTAAAATGGGATAATTCTAAAATCTTATTATAAATTCATTATTTTCTGATTATTTGAATTTTGTTTTTTTACATTGAGTTTAATGATTAGATTTCTGAAAAATTGTAAAAATTAAAGATCTGACTTCAAGTCTCATTTGAGCTTGATTAAAAAAATGGTTCAATTAATTTGCTCTGAAATACTCAAAAGCTATTGGCCTCTTTTATCATAATAAGAAAAATCTTATTTAATATGCTTTCTAATATAGTTGAATTATTAGATTCAATGATTATTTAAATTAACAAATATCTTTCCTGCCAAAAATCTTATGTTTAAATACAACAGTCCAAGGAAGAATAAGAGATCAAATTCAAAGAAATTTGCCTAGAATCAGGGACCTAAATCAAAGGGCCTATAGGAAGAGGGCTCAATGAAAGA